TCAGTTTTTCTGTCAGCTTTCTGTAGGACGTAGAAAGGTACGTACATCAGGGTGTAAAATTTCACAAACACGGTGTTGACTGTGTCTACACGGGAAAATGGACCCTCTCTTCCACGGTATTCCTCATGGAGTTTCTTCCTCTTTAAAAGCATTCATTCACCCCGAGGATAGTTACGTTAACACTGTGTTGTTACCATGGTTACAAAGTTACAGGAGGGATATTCCGCTGTCAGACTTCCGATGAAAGCAACTTAGCGTCTAGCATCCAGACACACAGTATAACACTGTTCAAGTGACTTTGCTGGTATGACTGTATTCATCGTTGCCAAAGATTGTTAATTCAAACTATAATATCATAATAAACATAAACAAACAGTTTTCTCAATATTCTGACACCTGCCACCTGACAACGTCGTCAGCTGGCTTGACAGGGGGGGTTTACTCTGCTGCAGCTTTTCTCTGCAGCATTATAAAATGTTTTTGTCTAGTCGTGAACTTTAAAGTTTATGAATAAAAGGAAATGTGAAATTGTGAAAACAATGCAAAAAAATGCACAGTGAGTGTGTACATTAGACAAAATAGATAATAAATTAACAAAGTAACAAGATTATTTATTCAAGATTTGGTTCAATACAGGTAAAAACTAAATTATAATAATTACCAACCAGGTATTCTTTGAAGAGGATGTTCAGCTCTCCGTGCCCTCAGGACCCAGTTCCTCCTCTCTTCAACAGTTTCACTCTAAAGAGAGAAAAAAAAATACAGAAATACTTCAGGACTGCATTTACACAAATACTACACCTCACATTTCTATAAGCCTATGAAATGAATGACATCTCAACTGCAGATAAACATGTACACAATGATCAATTAGTCATCACATGGACATTTATGGTTACCTTGTCAAACAAGGTTACCACCACTTTATAAATGAAGCAGGGAAGGGAAAGAAAAAACAGTAAAGTATCTTCCTTCTTTGTTAGAGCATTTCTTTCACATCCGAAAACTGAACCTTTCAACCCTAACCTCTGAAAACACTCACTTATGGATAAATCTGAAAACAGAGGCCTGAAGTTTTAGTGTGGATCGGGGGAAACGTTGTTGTGCTGCATCTTGAGAAGCAAACTTTCTGTTGCTCATTCTTTATGAGCAAAAATCAAACCACAATTTTATCTTCAACAGGGTGCATTCTCAGACGTGATTGGTTTCTGACTGTTTACGAATCCCTATACCTGCAAACCAGAGTCAGAAAGGTCATTGAGGTAAGGTAGGTATGTATCTTTACATGAAAATACATTATTAAATACATTATAAATAATGCTAACCTACAAATTCAAAGTCAAACCCAGTTCAGGTATTGTATAAATAAACATATCAACACTGGATGCCAATTTCATCTGTTCATGTTCAAAGATTGGGAGAAAAAAAATTCACATTTGAGCAACTAAAATAAACAAAGTCCAGTTGAGTTAGGTTGAGTTTCCAGTCATGCTTAAACACTTAAAAATAACTTCGAAAAACCTGTCGTTGAGAGATGAAAATGACATAAAAGTTGATTGAAGAAAGTTAAATGTCTCCTCTCATCACACTGATTCCTTCACTCTTAGTTTTCAACAAGTCATTTTACTTCCTGTCTCATGTCATGTCCAACTAACCCTTTCCTTCGAAAACACTGACTTGTAGTCTTGAGTTAGGCATGAAGCAATGCATTTGCATCTGAAGACATGAGGTTCCTTTCACATAATTTCATTGGACAGGACTCCAAACAATCTCTGTACATAGGAATAAAGACAACACTCTGACATTTACCACAAAAAAGCAAGACTTAAACCAACTACAAAAAGAAACAGCAGAGAGGAAATGGTGTTTATGTGCAGTGAAAGTTAACGTCTTAATGCACCCACAGAGGAGTTCAGAGTCGTCACAGTCCAGTTTTCATGGCTTCAAGCACACTTCAGGGAGGAATGAATCCTTCACTTAAATGATGACATGCCCCTCCCCTCTTTTTGGGGGGAAAAAACTGAGCACAAATAATACTTTCATAATACTTTCACACAACTCCACCGCCCCTTGGTAGATGTGAGCAAATCGTCCGCTGCCTGTGTGTATGGATTGAATCATAAGAGTCTGATATGGCGTGACTGCGGACTGTGAGTTATGCTCAGATCTCTCCCAGACATCAAATGCTCTGGACATCCATCACTTAGCCGCTACATGACATTTACAGCCACTGATGTGTTGACTCCTTTGCTTTTGTTTTGGCACTCTGAACAATGCTTTCCACAGACGCACAAGACATACAGCAACTACACACTCCTGAAAATAGAAAGAGCGTTTTATAAGGCCAGCTCCTGTATAAAAAAAGAACTGAAATACTGCGGGATATTTTTTCTGTATGAAACTGAAAACAACTTCCAGAGTTTGAGAGAGAGTCTAACATCCATCTTGTGCTGAGGTCTGTAATTTCACAAAAAATCTAAATAAGAGAAATTTTCAAGAACTCTTTCCTTTATTTATTCTGACTTTAGAATAAAACAAAACCAATAAAACCAGAGGTCTGGAAAAACTTCGCACTGATGCCAACACTAATTAGCTTGTTTTAAGAACATTTTACAAGAAATCTATTTTATACTCATGTTGCATGATATGGACAATAACTTCACAAAGCAAGGAAATCGATAACTAATCCAAATTGTTGAGTAACCTTCTTGTCTAAGTTCAAATGTTTGAGATGTTTTTCTTTGAATATTCTTTAAGTCCCCACACAGACATGTTGAATGTAAGCCCTGATATAATGGATTTATGTGACTCACTCAGTTATTGTAGTGTTGTAGCCACCAACAATTCATTTTGCCTGTCATTATCTGAGGGCTTAAAGGTTTGCATTTTTATAATGAAAATTGTAATCTTTAACAGTTTTTTACCAACCATATCACAGTTCTTGAAAACCTGTGTTTTCACTTTGCCCGTTTTGTTAAACATTGTGTTTTTATTTGTTAACACTGATCAATTTTTATCAAATCAAGTTAGGTCAATTTTATTTATATAGCTCACTTTATCACAAATTTGTCTTAGACAGCTTTACAAAAAGACATTATGACACCATCTATCCTGAGACACTGAAGTCAGATAATTGACAGTCTGAGAACAAAGAGGTCTCATCTTTAGCCCTTTCAAACTGTTACCGCTTGCTGTTCGTCTTAAATCATTTTGCCATTCATTTCTCCTTTTATTGCTGTGCAGCAAAACAACAAAACAAATTCCTCGTATGTGAAAACCTACTTGGCAATAAACCTGATTCTGATTCTGGTAACGTCTTTTTTTTCAACATTCCTTTGCTGTTTTCTCCTGCACCTCCCGCTCTGGCCTGTGTGCAAAAAGTTAAAACCATGATGGACAGCCATCAGGTTAGGCCTTGCTGCATGGATTTGCGGCCCATGTCTGTAAACTTGGCTGTATTTAGTCTGATAATAAACCTGAGAGAGACAGAGGTGGAGGAGCACAGAGCCTCGCCAGGGCACGATAACACCTTGACAATTCAACACACATGTGCTGCGGCGTGCTAGGCCGCAGCCTCGGGGCAGAGCCTCAACCAGCATGTGGAAAAGGTTTTCCACTCAGCTGAACGTCCAGTACCTCCAAAACTACAGCCCCAGAGCCAGATCTAACTCCGTGGTATTAGGCATCGAGGCCAGCTGTGGATTAACACAATTTGCACCTCCTCTCGGTGCAGATAACACCCACACCTCCCCGTGGAGGTCCAGCCCGTCAGATTTAGCCCTTGGCTCCACCTTCACAGCCTTTAGTGTAAAAGTCAAAATAAAACACATAAATTCAGAGACACACACAGAATGACAGACGTGTCTTAAGAAGCCAGGTTTTGTTACCAAAGATATTACATTTACAAAGAGTGAATTCAATTCAAAAGCTGTAATGAAATAAGAGCGAGAGAATCTAATTTAGTATCACTGCACCCCACTGCTGTTTTAAAATGCTTGAACAACTTCTCGGGGCGTTTTGTTTCGTCCGCGGTGAGCTGAGACACTGTGACATTACCATCAATCCATCACTTATGTGTGGGGATCCTAACATAACAAGCTCATGATATCAAAGGTTGGGACATCTGTGTTATATATGTAAAGAGCCTGAAAACACCTGTCAAAGTTCCAGTCTGTTCGACAAGTTTGACATTTTCAGAGAGAGTCGTGGCGCATCGCAAAGTTTTTTTTGCTTTGTTTTTCTAACTTTTGACTCTTATGCATATTTGATCAGAGTTGGATAAAGTCTAGTAATTTCCTTTATATAGTGATCCGTGTGTGACACTTAAAAACAACTAACACCAACTAGTGCTAAAATGCAAGTGCTGGTTTATGCATCAAAAGCTTGAAGGAAAAACAGGTAAACAGTAGCAAAAGTAAAAGCTTGACTTGGCTGTTTTTGTTTCCCTGTGCAGTGAAGATTAAGTATTAACTAGGAAGATTACTTCATTTGCTTTGGACACTGATTCACTCACTTAGACAAACACATAAAGGCCTTCATGAACATTCAAAACACAGGGAAAAAAAGGATTGCAGGAAAGAAAGAAAACAAGGGAGGAAAGAGGAAGGAGGGAAGGAGAGAGTGGCAGGAAGGAACAGGGAAAGAATTTACAGAGGAAAGAGTAAAGGAACAAAAGGAAAGAAGGAGGAAGGATGAGGAGAAGGAGGAAAGGACAGATGAAATAAGGGAGGGAAAGAAGGAGGATGGATCAAGATGGAAGGATGAAAGTTAGGAGGGAAAGAAGGAAGAAAGGACAGAAGGAGAACGGGAGGTGTTTGTTGCTCCGATAAACAATTGACCTGAACAAGCTTTTGGTGGGTTTTGGCACAAAGAGAGGCCGCGGCCCAGAGTGCTGACGAGAGGCTTAGCTGGTGTTGAGCCACTGTGGGAGGAGCATGACACTGTGAGGGGGGAGAGAGGTGGGGGAAGGCAGAATTGGGGGGGCAAGGGTGGGGTGGGGGCTTTGACACGACCCTGTCACATGAAAGGGGAACTAACACGTAGCGTACGCCGGCCAAGCAGCGCAGGTGAAGGTAAGACACTGATTTTATCCACTCCAGTAGCTGTATTTATTCACACTGTGTGAATACTGTGTTGGATTCTGCTTTTCAGTTGTTTACCTTTGACCTAAATGTAAACACCTAGAGTTTTTCCACCAGATACATGAATGATAGCAACAAGGTGTCAGGATGTGTTTATGTGCTGGTGATGTGCAGCACTCCTAGCCACTGAAACATAAGCAAGGCCTGTGTGACATATACAAATAATCTATAACAGAAGCAGGCTAGATCTTAACCTTGTTTAGTATTGCACACTAAATACCAAACACCAGGTATTCTAGAAACTCACCTGGACAATGTGCTATCAGCAGCCATTCAATGGGTCTAAATGACCGACACCTTTCAGAGCCTACACAGGACAGAGGCTCACATTCATCAAACACATCCAGCCACAGGGAAAATAATAAACCTACAGTAGAAACAATTCAATAATATTCATATACTTTTTTTTATAATTACAACTATTTTGTAGAGATTATGAAAGCGTTATTTCTTCAGTAAAACAAAAACAGAGAAGAAAACACAGTAAAACTAAGATGTTCAATATCAACATAAACACATTCTAGTTAAAACTGACAAAGCCTGCAGAGATCAGGAAGTGAGTTTGTGCAGTGTTGTAGAGTGTGTGGTTTAACATCGTGTTTACAAAAGTAACAGGTGTGACATCAGAGGTCAGTTACAGTTTTTTATAGAGGCACTGAGTGTGTAGCGTGCAGTACTGACACAAATGCATTAAATTAAAGTCTCCTTATGTTTACCTGCTTTACAGATGTTGAATGGAGCTTTAAGAATGGACTTTCACTCATTCAGTATTGCACTGCCCTCAAGTGTTCATAGTTGAAAGCTTAGACAACAGGATTTGTGGTGGAAAGATTTTAGTAACAGTAAAACTGTAACCATATATAGTACAGAATCAATTGTTTAATTAAATTAAGAGAAAAAAAAGCACTTCCAGTACAATTTAAATACAGGCATTAAATTAGATCTACAGGCTAAAACTTTGTCTGTCTGTACTAGCTTTGCAACCACAAATAATTCATCCTTTAAAAGACTCTGGATCCTATAACTATTAGTGGTAGTTGTAACTGTAATACTACTAGTAGTAGTTATAGGGCTAATTATAGCAGTACTGTTTGTTTTTTCTATTTAGTCTATCTGACATAATAGACAATCAATAACACAAATATGTCACACAAAATCATACATTTATATCAATAGTGGTTCTTTATATAAAGAGAATAAAGGTGGCAGTAGTAGTAGTAGTAGTAGTAGTAGTAGAGGTTGCAGCAGTGATGGTCATTTTATATTCATGAACTGAAAGTAACAACACAGTAGCAGCAGCTACTGGCAGTACCACTACAAATATTTTTGTAGTAGTATTATCAATATTTTTAACATTAGTAGCAAGTGTTGTAGTAATAGCACAGTATCTGTGGCAATAGTGGCATTGCCATTTGTAATATAGTACTATAATGGTGAGTATTTTTGGTGGTCGAAGTGTAATATTTGAAGCAGAAGTAGTAGTATGGAGCACCATCAGCACTGGTGGTAGTAGCACTATTGGCAGTAGAAGGAGTAGCTGTGGTAGTTGTAGCAACTGTAGTCAAAGTAATAGCAGTAATGGTGGTAGTAGTATTAGTATAAGTAGCAGCAGCAGCGGTAGTCAGCAGCAGTGATGGTAACTCCTCTGCTTCCTTCACAGGGTATGAGTCTTTTGGGAAAAAGGAAGCTCAGCAGAGAGAATGAACATGTGCAATCGGTGAGTAAACTGTGCGCAGGTAAATACAAGAGAAGAAACTGCTCTCTGTCTATTCATCCACTGTCTGTCTGCTCAGAGAGAAAATACTGAAAAACACATGTAAACTGTTAATTTCATTATCTAGAAAAAAATCACTCAACAAAATGTTTAATCATTAATTACAAAAAACAGCTATACTGTCAATTTTAAGATACTATTCTTTAGTTTTCTTTTAATTATTATACACCCTTGTTGCTATGTTTTGATCAATCTCAATTTAGATTTTTTTTATTGCTTAAGTGTTTATTAATTTATCTAAATTTTTTCCAGTGAAAAATCTCTATCAACTAATTTGTTGTCTATTAATTTGTAAAATGAATTCTATCAGTTAAGTGGTGATACGTACAAATGGGCCAGGGCAGTTTTGCTTGAGTTATGAAGAGCATGATTATCATCATCATTTTTGTAATCAATATTAGTTGTAGTAAACACAGAATAACAATTATTACTGGCATGTTAAAGCATTAATACTTAAAAAAAAGAAATAGATCTTAGGCCCTTATTGAACACTAGGCGCATGTGTTATGGGTCTTTATCACTTGATATCTCAATGTTCAACAAACTACTAATTCAGGTTTTACTTACTTATTTCCCTTAAGACCCCTTCAATTCACGAAACAGAAACAAAAGAAGAAAACTTGTACTGTATCTCACTGTCGTGATCCAAATTCCAGGGCCTCACTGCACCATGAACAAGAATGAGGTGCTTCCTCAGCAAATCCTCTGTAGAGTTTACACAAAAACCTCCAGCTGTTTTTATTCTTTAAGGCAGGAATTTAGGTGCAGGTAGGAATAGAGCTATACTTTCCATCCTAAACGTGCTACGCCTGAGCCTGATACCATGCATAGATGCCTCCAGTTTAAATTAGAACAGCAACAAATGATCACTGTTATTATGCAATAATTTGATAATATTACTTTCAATAAATCATTTAAGGTATAACATGTAAAACGAAAATGTCCAGCGGAAGCATAAGGTACATAAAAAGGTAAAATGATAATGAGCAAATCCCACACTTGAGAAGCCAGAGCCAGCATTTTTTTAACTGATAAATAATAACTATTATTTTTTTGACAACTGATTAAATATTACTCCACTGTAGTACATAACTCTATATTCAGGTATATCCAGTTAGTTTGTACTTTTGATATAAACATGGCAAGTACTTTTTGTCTACTTTAAAGACTTGTTTAGAAGGGTCCATCCAAGCTATAACAACACTTGCTGAGTCCCAAACACAACAAAAACAGCCCCAGGAACATTTGAGAAAACAAATACATAAGTTATCTGATCTTAGGACATACATTTTACTTAGTCTTTAATATTTCCACCACTATAGTTTAGCAGTAGCTTTCTGAAATCGCAGGTGCATTGATGTTGGGTGGGCTAAGGCATGTACTGTACCATTTCCTGTTAGTATTAAATAGTAAAGTTCTATAAACCAACATCTTGTGTTCTTCTAACTGTAAGAATAGGGTAGTGGTATATATATTACGTGGATTTGGGCCACAGGCTGCCTTTGAACTGAATTTGTGAAATTTTCTTATGTATACATTTGAGTAACTACACATAACTTATGCTCAGTATTCAAGGCCTGACGTCATGTAACCGTGGTTGTTGGGCTACTGACAATAAAACTGGACGTTACCTACACCGTTAGCTTAAACGTGATTGATTTTGCGTTTCAACATAATTTACAAACTAAAACAGTAGACTAGATTTAAAAAGAAAAAAAAGAAAAAAAAAAGGAACTGATAGTGGGCTCAGACTTCATTATTCTCCCCAAATGTGAAGCTGTAGGCTACATAAAACTGATACCTTACGAACCTAGCTTGATAATTGTGTTGTGATTATGTGTGTATTTTACAGTAAGTAAACAAAACTGAGAAAAATAACTGACAAGAGACGAATTTAAATCAAAATGCTAAACAACTACTAACACTAACAGGCACTAAAAGCTGTGTAACTTACCTAAACTGCAGCAGTTGGCCTCTCAAAAGTCGGTTGGTAGCACGAATCAGGAGTAACATCCACAAGCTAACAGGCTAACTAGCCCTGAATCTACGGTCTGACTGTGTTAAATGAACGAAACGGGCAAGCGGCGAAGCACCTAGCTCAGTCCCTTCGGCATTCTTCGGTGTATTGGCTGCAGTTCGGTTCGATTCGTACCCAACTTAAAAAAATACCACTAGAAAACTACTCGGTCGGCCATTTTGGCCTAGCAGTCGTACCTGTTGCGCAGCTGTATGAAGCCTAGCTAATTAGGTGATGAGGTCAACAAAACCCAAGTCAGTTTACGGTGCGTTTCACGTGCACTCTTCTCTGTAATTACTTCTCACCCTGCGGTTCCCGCCTGCCAGGACGTGGCTTGAATCAGCCCATTGAGAAAACCAGTCACCTGTAACAGGTATGTCTCAAACTTAAGTCAGACTTCCGGTCTGATAAAACCCTAACCCCCACCACTCCTAAAATGTAATAAATCCGGATAAAAGTCTATAAAGTTATATATTAATTCTATATTTTCAACCAGTTAAGTTAATTTAAGAATTTTGTAGGCTCATGCACAATTTCCACTACATGATAGTCTAAAAGCTGAGATTAACTATTGGAATTGTTATATTTGTTTACTTATCGTCTAAATTTTTCTTGCATCTGCTTCCACTAACTAAATTATAAATTATAAAATGTAAAGTGCACCCCAGGTTCCCAAATATTCTCTGTCCTCGATGTCCTCATAGCTTCAGTTGTGGATAGTAATTTAAGGAAATTTGATGATGATGATTTCATTTTATTTTTATATAATTTATAGGAATTTTGTACTTCACTGACTCCAAACCTGTTTTTGACAGATGTAGTAGCTACTTAACTTATAAAATCTGCATATAAAATATGATGCAATTATTCTATTATTTGTAATGTATTTTTACAGTGTGGTATTGCACCATTTACTTTAATAAGGATCTGAATTCTTCCAGGTCTGGGTGTACCACACTATATATCCAGCAATTTCACCATCTGTATAAAACCATCTGTGGTTAATGAGAATTTTTTTTACTATCCCTCAATTAAGACATTACTCCTTATGAAGTCAGCGTTTTCTGAGGGCTTATAAAAAATATACCATTTTAAACAGTTGACAACATGAAGACAACAACAGTGTCCCCTGTGTTAGCATGTAGGATTGTGTGTACACAGCCTGTAAACGTGTATGCCCACATGTACTACTGTATGTACCATCTGGACCGCAGAGCACTGTGTCAGACGCCTCTTGTCCTCACTATAGTTGCAGTCACCATCAGCACATTTCCAGCTTGTGTAAACACAATAAGAGCAGGGGTCGCTCTCAGGTCACATACACTGTCAGTGGCTTTTATAGTGGCTCTATGAAAGTTTGATTCTGACTGATACAAAGGCAACACAGTGGACACAAGGACTGACACAGACACAAGGATTTAAACCTGTTCTAAAAAAGTAAAACAGTCATTTTAGTTGCTCAGATGTTAAGACGCAAAAGCTTGACTGTTCAGTCGCGGACTTTGTGATTACACTACATTTGCTGATAGAGGGGAGTTTCAGTTTGAGCAGTGATGTTGCAACTTCAGTCGTCCATGGAGGCTGTGTCATGTGAGAGTGAGGGACCTTGTTTATGACAGATCAATCATTTGCGGTAAGTCTTGAAGCTGTAACGTCGTGCCTGTACACTGGTTTTTCATTCTGTGCCTCAAGTGCCTGTTTGCTGTCTGTGCCTGCAGCGGTCTGTCTCACATGCAAAGCAACAAATCCTGTTTCCAGATGACACTGAATGAGAGCTGACTGGTTGTAAAGACAGAGAAGAAATAAGGAAATAAAGGGATATTATAGATATCATAAAGAGATATTTTGGACCGTGAAAGTCTATGTTTTCAGCCAGTTATTATGCATATGGTGAAATCCTTCATCTTGAAATATGTTATATTGTTCATTTCATTCCTGTTCTGCGACAAACTAATATTAATAAGCATCAAACTGAGAATTTACGATCTCTGTTTCCCCACAGAGAGGGAGGTCGCTGTGCAGAGATGGCTATGGTATGCCTGACGGATTTTGAGGAGTATGCTAAAGAGCATCTCTCAAAGGCCACCTGGGATTATTATGCAGCTGGAGCGGACGAGTGCTGCACCCGGGACGACAATCTGCTGGCTTACAAAAGGTACAGTGGGGAAAAATAAAGTTTAACCCGGACGTTCAAGGTCATCACAAATACACAATTTCAGTGCAGCAATAGTGCTCTAATACTTGACAATTACATCTTTTTTATTTTTATTTATTGTAACACACATGCCGGTCCATCTACAGACAGCACAGAGAGAGAAAACAGCATTTTTATTGACATACTGACTACAGATGTGCAGTCATTGTTGAGCTTGTGCAGTGTCACAAAACCACCTAAACTAATTTCCACTTTCTGACAAGCCCTTGAGAACTGATTAAATTTTATTTAAACTGTTTTAATATTAAACTGCAGGTCATCCGAGGACACAGCCTGTAAAAAAAGGCAATAAATTATTGTTTTTGTGAACTTTAAACTGCTGTGACTGATTTTTGTATATACATTACATGTGTGGTTGTGATTCCTTATAATGACAAACAGGCAGTTACATTTTAGCCAGTGCTCATGCTGCACTGTTGCTCCGGCCCCTTGTAGTGACTAAGGAATTGTGTTGAAAGTTGCACGAGCAATGGGACAAAGATAAATGATAGAGATAAAGATTTTTTTCATATTGTCATAACTTTTCCTTTGTGTGTCCTCTTGTGCATTCCTCTCAGCTTTGCTAATGTCTTCAGAAAGACTTATAGGCTGTTTTCCTCACTGCAGTGATGTGTACATACATGTTTTTGCTACAACAAGCCTGTTACTAGGGATTTGTTTGCCAGTGCATTTGGTTAGAAATTTGCCCCAGTAGGATTAAAGGTTGGGTTGTGTCCGGAATAGATAATGTTAGGTCGGAGCTTTGGGAAAAGAAAATCACGGTGTCCTGTCTCTGCTTATTCAAAGAAATATGACTTGTCTAGCAAAAACAACATGTTATCGTCTCAAGGCGGCTTTCTCCTGAAACAATGGCTCTATGTGACAATAATGGATACTAAGATTTCACAATGCTTCGTCAGCAGGTTGGATTGGTTCCATAGTTAGCTCAAGATGTTTTTCCCTCCAGAGGAGGAAAATGAAGCAGAATGACAAAAAATTTTAAGAGAATTACATATTTTGATTTAGTGAAATGTTTCTTTGAATTAAATTTAAAGCTCCTGCGTTGGTTGAGACAATATAAACCATTAGAGATGTTGTTATATAATTCTTACCAGGCTAGCTGTCACTTTGATATCTGTATTATACGGTGTATCAGGCCACCAATGTTTCAAAACAAGGAGCCTGACTGGATTTTTATTAAGATATTTTGGATCAGTATGAGAAAGTTGTCTGTTCCAAAGCTTCTCAGTTGATTATATAAATTAATACAGTACATACTGATACTGTGACATAAAAATACATATATCGCAGTAGAGGATTTTAGGCCCATTAGAGCTGCAGTGATTATTCCATAAATCGAATAGTAAATGGACAGAAATTAATCAGCAGCTATTTTGTTAATCCAAGTATCATTTCAGTCATTTTTCTAAAAAAAAAAAGAAAAAAAAAAGACAAAGATTTAGTGGTTTCAGCTGCTCAAATGTGAAAATGTACAGTAAAGTGAATATCTTTGGTTTATGGACGGTTCGTCAAACAAAAACAACACCATCAAGCATTTGACAACATTACCTTGGTCCTAAGGAAACTGTCATGAGAAATTTTTACTGCGTTTGATAAACCTAAAGACTAATCAATCTGGAGATAAATCAATAGCCACAGCAAATCGCCACATCGTCGTTTATTAGCTGTGATTGGACAGATTTATCTGAGTGAACCCCCATCCCCTGCCCCCCTCCCTCCCTGCTACAGTTGATGTTACTGTTTACATGTCGATCTGCACTTCACACTCAGGATCCGTCTGAGGCCTCGCATCCTGCGGGACGTGTCAGTGAGCGACACGCGGACCACGGTGCAGGGCACAGAAATCAGCTTTCCAGTCGGTATCGCACCGACTGCCTTTCACTGCCTGGCCTGGCATGAAGGGGAGATGGCCACTGCTCGGGGTGAGGACTGTGTTTGTGTGGGTCAGTGACACCGTGTCACTTCATTTCAACAGAAATGATACCTGCCTCAAATGCTTTATTACAGAATTGTTCATTTTAATGTTTAAACGTAATTTAAAGGCTCCTGCATTGGTTGAGAAAACAGTGAGCTTTTGGCTTATAAAGCTCATTAAGTCTCATAAACCCTTTATCAAATGGGACTATTCAGAAGAGAAAATTAAGAATATTTCATCACACAAAAAGATGTTTTCAAACTTCCTGAAAATGCTACACAATAATAATGTTAGTATACACAGCCAACACTAGATGGAAGCATACGCCTGAAATAATCTTGTGCTGTCAGAAAGATACTGTGTTGGTCTTTTTTTTCTTTCATCAGCACAAAATTATTCAGTCAATTACTCTTTAAATCTTTCTTAAAGCTAGTTTAATCCTAAACTAATAAACTGGACAACTGAGTTTTCAATAATAAATGAATTATTTGAGTTGATTAATTAAAACACTGGCAGTGCACTTTGGTGGAGCCAGTCTGAAGCACATGGGCACCCAGCTTACTGTGATGTAAATTTGATCTTGAGTGACCAAAGTAATACTTTTTCAACTTCCCGCCACACAGCAACAGAGGCTCTCAACACCTGCTACATCACCAGCACCTACTCCACCTGCTCAGTGGAGGAGATTGTAGCAGCGGCACCAAACGGTTACCGCTGGTTCCAGCTTTATGTGTACCGGGACCGGAAGCTGTCGGAACAGATCGTGCACCGGGTAGAGGCGCTCGGCTACAAGGCCCTGGTCCTCACCGTCGACGTCCCCTACACGGGGAAGCGCCGCAACGACATCCGCAACCAGTTCAAGCTGCCGCCTCACCTCAAGGTCAAGAACTTTGATGGAGTGTTCCAGGTAAGAGCAGATTAAAAAACAAAATAAATCAATAAAAACATGTTTTTGTCTTGTTACATCAAACGTAAAATTCTAGTCTTGTTATTATTTTATCTACATTTCGCCACCATATAATTACATTTCTAATTAAAAAAACTTCACTTCTAAGAACTTTTGCACTAATTTAACTACTTTTTTTTTTTTTTTTACCGCATATTAGCATGTAGCTTGAGACAGTTTAATCATATTTTGTGCATCAGAAATTACTTGTGTGATCTGTGAAATATGGCCAGAAGTCATATATACAAAATATTCAAACTCCATGTACCAGCAGTGTCAGATCTGCCCGGTAACAATAGGAACTATCAGTACCAGTACAAGAAAAAGCAGTAGTCCAGAATACATTTTTATAGAAAGTGGAAACTTAAAGAAGTTGTATTGGTGCCACTACACTGTCAGCAAGAGACGGCGGGCCCAGAAGAGTACGGGATCCCGGCCAACACCTTGGACCCCTCCATCAGCTGGAAAGACGTGTACTGGCTGCAGTCCATCACCCGCCTGCCTATCATCATCAAGGGCATCCTGACCAAGGAGGACGCCGAGCTGGCCGTTGAGCACGGCGTCCAAGGCATCATTGTGTCAAACCATGGGGGGAGACAGCTGGACGGTGGCCCAGCTTCGGTACCACATCACCTCTTACATTATATTTAAGATCTTCTTGTTTATGAAGTCATGTCTGTAGAAGGGATCCAAGTCTTACTTTAATGTCTGATAGCAACAGTAATCATGCAGCTTAGTGATGGTAGTGGTAATGCTAGTAGTTGCAGAAATAGAGTAAGTAGTAGTAGTTGCTCAGCCTGTGTAACATACAGGGTTCTCCACACATACCAGACTGTGCACTGTTTCTATAGTATGACGGCCTTGTTATATCTTCACCTCTGCTGCTGCCAGATCGACGCGCTGTCTGAGATCGTGGACACGGTGCAGGGCAGGATCGAGGTCTATCTGGACGGAGGCATCAGGACAGGAAGTGATGTATTGAAAGCCCTGGCCTTGGGAGCCAAGTGCGTTTTCATTGGCCGTCCAGCAGTGTGGGGCCTTGCATACAAGGTAGGACGGCAGCACTGATATGACTGTATGTGATACTCTGTGTGTGTCTTTTCAGATTGATTACAGCCACATTAGGGTTTTTCTTCTCATTGAAATATTATTACTGACAATTATCTGGTTATATTGACACATTTCCTCTCCTGTTTAGATTCTAATCCACATCTACAAGCTCTACTAACCACTGTCTAAAGTTTATCCTTGAAAGTCACTGACACTGTTGGAGCAAAGGCCTTGGTCTAAGATTTATGTGGTTTAAATTGTTCTTGACTTTGATTTTATAGACATTTACAGATTGTTTTTTGTCTTTTATAGTAATTTGGTTCCTGTGTGATGTTTCAGGGTGAGGAAGGAGTGAGGGAAGTACTGCAAATCTTAAATGACGAGTTCCGTCTATCCATGGCTCTATCAGGTGGGTGATCAGTGTCGCCTTTTGTGCCGAAACAAATACAGCAGTATTCTGCCTCAACTAAAAGAACAATTACTTTTTGTATGCATCTAATTCAGGTTGCAGGAACGTGGCTGAAATCAACAGGAACTTGATCCAGTTCTCCAAACTCTAACTACTCCAGCAGAGGGCAGCACTGAGGAGGACCCACTGAACAGGACTCACTACTGACTCAAACCAAAAGTGTTGAACAAGAGCCTGCATCAGACTGCATCAAGTCAAAGTGAAAGATGTTCACCTCAGAACGCATGTCTTAATCACGTCAAAGGAAACACGATACGTGCAAGCAGCTTCCATGATTTGGAAATGACATCCACTGTGTATTCATGCCAGAGTGTATGGGTGCGAGATTGTCCTGGGGAAGCTGAGGGTCGGCAGCAGATTTAGCAAGTGAATAATGAAAGTGTTTATGCTTTTGGATTAGAGGGGGATGGAGGCACTTAATGATCATGACACCAACAAACCTCCTTTGGTTTTACTGTAACGAATGCAACAGATGATGACATACCAGTGCTTGTGCTTTAATAAACACCTGCTGAGGGTGATGAAGACTTGTTGCACCTTTCTGTATCTGTTAAATAGCATGTGAAAACAGGATGTAGATGTAGCAGAAGTCTGTCTTTTGGTTTTGTTTCATAAATTTATACATACATTTAATCCAGGGAAGAAACATAACACAACATCTTTACAATACACAGGTGTAAGGGGATTATCTGAATGAACAGAACAGGAAAACTAACCTGGTCAGTGCTTGAACCTCGCTACAGCTGGAGGCCAGATTCCCACCAGTTTCTAAAGAACAAGAAGAACTATCAAAAGGTCAAAAGATCATTTTGTCTATTGTTTTTGCATTGGATTTTCAATCAGGAAAAGACATGAAAATACTATAAAACATGTAAGACTGAATGATAAACAGTTTTTGACAAAACATTAATGCATTTGAGATATCATGCTTGTTTTATCTGGACAATCAAAAGGCCTGTTAGTGAGTCCACAAATCTTAAAAACAGCTTGTGAAACTTTCTGCTTATTTCACTAACAGTGACACACGCAGATGCGGAAAAGACACAAGCAATGAGAAAGAGAAGTAACACAGGAAGTGAGTGAGGTCTCGGTTAAGCTAAAGAAACGGCAATACTCACTCAGATGCTTCAGCTCTCCAACCAGCTGGCGCAGCGCAGCAGACACTCTGCTCAGTCTTCCTCTCAGAGTTCTGGTTGGTTAGACGATCAGGCTGGAGGGAGGCCTCAGGTCCAGTCTGCTGAGGAGGATTTCTTCAAGGTAGGTCACCCGAGGATGCGCCTTTTGTACGTGTTTTAGATCTGGCCTCATGTGAGGTAACGGCAGGCACAGTACATGATAATCAAGAACCAAAAATTCATATGTGTGTGTAGAAACATGGTTTGGTTTCAGCTGCACAGGAAGGTAAATTTGGTCTAGAATGCAGCATTTAACTACTCAATTTAAGTTTGCTAAGTGCATTGTATTCATTGCACTGATCCGTTGTGTGTGTTCATTATTACACTTGTCAGTTGAGAAAGATCTTGAGTGGGGCAACTGTATGTCACAATGTTGACAAAATTAACAAACTTCCTTAACCCTAAACTTCTTCTATGTTACGGCACAATGCAAAGACATTGCAGCATTAAATGCTTTTAAATCACATATCATCAAAGTCTTTGATCCATTATGGTGGGACATGAAGATGACTGAGGTCAGAGTTCACTTAAGAGCAGTAAAACAATGGAGAGCTTTCTTTTGTCCATATTCCACTCTTACACATTATCGAAACGACCTCACAATCATCCACACATTTGTCAGTGTATTAATGCGTTGGAGGCGGAACGTGTCACCATTGTTTAAAGGAGACGCCAACATATTCTCTGCTCTCATAGAATACAATACTGAGAATTAAACCTGTCAGATCAGAAGTTCTAATGAATTCAAATGAAGCAGATGGCAAACTGTAATACAACAACAGTAATCACAGGTGGTATCTTTACAGAGTGCACTGCAGACTAACAATAGAAACAGCAAATAAGGATAATAACTAATATAACTAATAACTATCAAATAGATAGTGACATATTGGATTTATTAACAATAAACGTGTGAAGAAAATGTTTAGAATTCATATTAATTCAATATTAAGTACATGTACATGTGGATTACTCCAAGAGATGCCAGATGAGATGCTGGAGCTGAGTACGCTTACAAAATGTCAAACATTAAAAAATAACTACGGAGCCTTTGATGCGGCTCATTTATCGGACGGTAACCTAACTGAAGTTTCAGATTGCAGTACAGAGGACGTGGGAACTGAGTGTTTTAGTGCTCAGCAAACACAGTGCTGTAAATAAAACCACAGATCTGTCACTGACCACGTATTAACATGACGGTTTTACTGGGAAATTTTTTAAAAAGGTTTTGAAAAGTCAAGTTCAGTGAAGCTTCTACTCTCTGTCAACAAATGAGGTCACATGAAACACAGAGTTTATCACGGTAGTTTAATGTGCTGTGAAAAAAAGATAAAATCACCTCACGAAACTTTCTGACTAAACTTTTAAGGTTTCGCATGGATGAGCTGGCTAGACGTTTACTGCTCGCTATATGCTACCAAACAGTCCTGTGTAGCCCCAAAAATATATCTCTGTCCACTAAAACTCTTCTTTTGTCTTCACGTAGGAGGTCTCACCAGCGAAACAACAGTCCTCAGCACCAGGGGGCCAATGATATGGGGTATGGTATTTTTTTGTTTGCTTAGTTTCAACAGTCTTGTATAATGTTATAATAGAAAGTATTTAAAGGTGTCATTGAATTTATTACTTAATGGAGCCGAGTCTTCAGGTTTGAAACAAAATCACAGAAGTGTTTGACTTCCCTGTTTTCAAGTCTGAGCCTTTGCCTACAATCATTTCGTTGCATCTGTTTTGACCCCTCCTGCTGTACAGTTGGCTTAATGCTCTGTGATGTAATGTGATCCTTTTTTTTTCGTTGTTTTTTTGTCAGGTCAGGATGTTTAAATTTTCTGAAAACAGAACACTGAAACATCCTCTTCAGTTTAATGTACTTGTAAAATAATCTTTTAATCTGTTTCTGTCTGAGTATTTTCTTTAACTTTAATTTTACCTACACTAACTTTGTGAGTCAGGAAACAGTTCAAGAGTAGAAGTGGTTTGGCTGAAACCGATTTAGTGGTTCCTCTCTTTCAGATCACAGAGGACGCAGTACAAAACAGATAAGGGACTTTTGTCAGCTTTGTTGAGGAGGCAGGAAACAAGCTCCATTAATTCAATTCCTCACATTAGAATTGGTTAAATCTACGTTATGAGCAATGAGGTCTGCCAGTTCCACTGAAAAAAGTGGTACTTGTACACAACCTAAGAGGAAGTGAAAATAAAAGTCTACCGTTAACATGAAACTGCCAAAACAGTCAACAAGCCTTTCAAAATAAATCTTTGCCCACACTTACTAAGCTTATCGTCCATTATTAAACATAAAAGGTTTATAAACCCAAATCCATGAAGCTGTTTTGGATGCAGACTTGACATTATAATACAAAGCCAGACACCTCTGAACATCATTCATTGTTAATTACTAGGAGAAGCAAAACAACACAGTAACACACAACCTGCTCTTGCACCACGTTTCCTCTTGTGTAGGGGAAGCGGAGACGACAGCGGGCCAGGGAGGCTGAGCCGCAGACTGTCTCGCCTGGGCAGCAGGCATCAGTCCAGGGATCCACCGAGACCTCCGGCTCAGGCAGAGAGACCTGCTGCCCCACCTGACAGACCTGTTCACCAAGGTGTGCAACCGCTGGCTCTCTGTAGCTTTGATTTTATCTTGTAATTATAAATCCCATCTGACACAAGAGATCTGTACCTGAAGTCATTTTGTCTCCAAACCCAGAACAGTGTCATGACATTCTTCATCTTTCAATATCTGTTCTCCTTTTGGGTTTGGTGTTATAGATGACAGTCCTTCTCCATCAGCCCCTGCTTCACTTCCACCTCTTGCTCCAGCTCCAGCACTGGGTCCTGTTCCTCTTTCCCTGCCCAAGGAAACGCCACCGAAACGCCCGGACAAAGCAACAAAGCCCAAACTTCCTCCTCGCCCTCTCTCCAAGGTGTTCAGCAGCACTGATCATGGAGCAGCTGTGTTGCAGGTATATATTTGTGACTTACAAACTAATTTTAAAATATGACACGCCAAGGTATTCATGACAAATATTGTTTTTGGTTTTTCTTCCTCACAGGGCTTTGATACTTTTCGGGCAGATGAGACTCTCTGTGATGTTGTCTTGGTTCCAGGGGACAGCAAGGACACGTTTCCAGTCCACAGAGTCATCATGGCTTCATCCAGTGACTATTTCAAGGCAATGTTCACAGGTGAGCGGTCCTCTCTCACACAGCTGGAGGCAGACAACATAAAAAACTCAAGATATTGTGAAATGCACACAGTGATGAGTGCACTACAAAATAATGCAACCCAACAGAACAGCAACAGACAACAATAGGAACACATTTCAGTATACGCAACTTAATACAGTATCAGTGGAAGTGGTGGCTTTGAGAATGCTACCATCAGCATGCTAATACCCTTACAGTTAAAAAGTATTGGACAAATTTGAATTTTGACCTCATGATAGCACAATATTAAAAGTTAAAGAATCATGAGAGTGATTACAATTCATCTTAAGGAAAACATGAACGTCTCAAACAAATTTCATTGTAATCTATTGTAAAAAAAAAAAAACATTTCTGACATTTGCATCCCTAAGGGCTAAAAACACAAACACAACATCATATTGGAAATGGCAACAAATCTCCAATCAAAAGTCCAAAGAAGTGTCACTGTGAGGCTGCAATACTTTGCAAAACAAAGTGAAAATGAAAAATGTACTGTCAGTCTACTTTTAGATTCTTACCACTAGTGGCCCCAAAATATAGTTTGTCCTGAGGTTGGTGCCAGAGGAAAATAGCCACGTGGAATGGGGTTATTATGTACTGGAAATGTTATTATGTACTGTAATGTTGCCATTTTAGGACATCTCAGACTTAGCTTGTTAGGCTGTTATTAGCATACCACTGTTTTTAATGTACAATATGCCGAGCCACCTTGTTTGTGATTGTACAGCCTATGTAAATGCTAGCTTGTCTTTGCCATCTGATATTGTTTCAATATGTCATTATGGAAGGTGAACATAGAATAGCACGTTGTCAGGGGGGCATTACTCAGAATTTACTTTTAGATAAACTAAAGGAAGAGAAAGTTAGAATTATCTCACTTCTGCATTACTTTCTTTCAGTTCATCATCAGGTTCACTTCATGTGGTTTATGTTTGAGCAGATAGTCTTTACAGCTGTGTCTTTGTATCTTGCTGACTGTGCACTTTGAGTCATTCTTTCACTTTGTCCTTGTCTCTGTGTTCAGGAGGCATGAGGGAGCAGGAGATGAGAGAGATAAAGCTGCATGGGGTCACTAAGTCGGGTTTAAAGAACATCATAGACTTCATTTACACATCCAAAGTCACCCTCGACATGGGTAATCTCCAGGACACGCTGGAGGCTGCTAACTTCTTGCAGGTCATGCCTGTGCTGAGCTTCTGTAATCAGCTTCTGAGCAGTGAGGTGAGAGGTTTTTCTGTTCCTCTAATGTCACACACCGTGCCTCTGCAAAGTTTCATCAATGCATTTATATTACGCCGGCTCATTAAGATGTCCTTCCCATCCACACTTTCTCAGTGTCATATTTGATTGTTAGTTGCAGCTGCAAAATAGTTAATGTGAAACTGTGTATTTTTTATTATATTAATTTAACCCATCTATTTTCTGTATTGTTTGGTGACAGATCACTATTGATAACTGTGTGGAAGTCGAACGCATCGCAACAGACTTGCTCCTGGAGGATGTTCAGCTGAATATAGGTGAGATATGAAACTGACCTGAGAGCACAGTGACAAAAATACAATATTACATCTGTATAAATACATAAACGGGGTGGAAGGTGAGATTAGCATAGAGCTTCTGTATTAGAGTTACAATCTCTTGCAATCTTCAGCAATCCCTAAAACCAATCCGTTATCTTCAGCAATTTGTCCATCACTAAAACATACAGTAAGACCATTAAAGGTTATTGTACCAGGCGTCCTTTTGGTTCAAAAACTAAAATACTGAAAGGTTATCATGATTGTTGTTGATCCTCTCTGTTCTATCAAACCCAGGTGAGTTTGTGGGCCAGAACCTCTCAGCGTTGGTGCAGTGTGGCCGTTACCTCCAGCTCTCTGAGACCAGCATGGCCAACGCTCTGGCCAGCAACTCACTGGAAGGTTTCTCCGAACTGGAGCTCTACCACATCGCCAGAGGATGGCTGGACCACGACCCCTCTACACGTCACTCATCCGTCTACGCCTTAATGCGCCATATTCGCTTCCCACTGATGAGCCCCAATGAGCTGATTCAGATCTCCCAGGATGAAGAAGAAGGAGGCGACTCCCTGATGCGCTCTGACACGGCCTGTGTGAACCTCCTGCTGGAGGCCAGCAACTACCAGATGATGCCTTTCATGCAGCCAGCCCTGCAAACTGAGCGGACGCAAATACGCTCAGACTCCACGCATATTCTGGCACTGGGCGGCGTGATGCGGCAGCAGCTGGTGGTGAGCCGGGAGCTGAGGCTGTATGATGAAAATACCAACCACTGGAGGGCCCTGAAGCCCATGGAGGTACCACGCTATCAGCATGGTGTGGCTCTTCTAGGCGGCTTCCTCTTCATCGTTGGAGGTCAGTGTTTATTTGTATTACTATAACTTACCTCACCTTCAGTTGAAGTCATACATCACATTGTGCATTACCAACATTGACCAAATAATATGAACTTATATTAAAAGATAATATTTCTGGTCCTCATTGACTTCTCAGGCCAGAGCACATACGACACCAAGGGTAAGACGGCCATAGACAGCGCCTACCGCTATGACCCGCGCTTCGACAAGTGGCTTCAGATCGCTTCGCTCAACGAGAAGAGGACCTTCTTCCACCTCAGCGCTCTGAAGGGGAAACTGTTTGCAGTGGGAGGGAGGAATGCCTCTGGGGAGATCGGTGAGCTGCTATTAATTCTTGTTCTACTTCTGCTGTCAGCACTGCTTTTACTACAGTCAGCTGATGAACTGATCATTCATTTTCATCATCAATTAATTTATTAATGCAATCCATAAAGAATTGCAGTTTAAATTAATTAAAGGAGGATTAATTCAGGAGAATATAACTGAAACAAGAAATATAATTGTTCCATTTATAATAATTACTTCTGCTTCTACTCTCACCACTGCTGCTACCATCACTGCTCCTTACTACAGCTGTAGTAGTAAGGAGCTACTAGTGGAGTTTTGTCAATGCACAAAAAACAAACATGTGAATCAGGATGGATTTCATTGCCTTTGGAAAGACAGATTATAAAATTTAACCCAAATGTCTCTGTCACTCCCATCAGAAACGGTGGAGTGCTACAACCTGAAGAAGAATGAGTGGACATTAGTGAGCAGTATGGTGGAGCCTCACTATGGACATGCTGGAACAGTTCATGGGGGCCTCATGTTCATCTCAGGTAAAATAACACTGTTCAACACACTGTCCCCAGGGGTGGAAAGGAACCCTCTTGTGCTCAGAGGGTGTAATATGTCCTCTTGTCTTGTAAACACGATGATGGCTGAAGCTCTTGACAAGCAACCATCACCACCACCTGCTCCCAACAAGAAACCACATTCGGCAGCAGAGAAAACTTACATATAGCCCCTTAATATAATTCTTAATTACAGTATATAAAGCCTTTACAAGTGGTGTTTTTTTAGAATGTGAAAAGCTATGGGATAAAATCCCATAAACAATAAAACATAAAATAGAAAAACATAAAAAGATTTAAAAAGTAAGTTAATTCTGCTTATTTAAAAGACTCAAAACTTTGTACAAGACACAATGGAGGAGGTGTCTTTCTAAACTACCCCTATTACTGTTTAAGAAGTGACTCAAGTAACCGCTCTGTGATGCAAGACCTCTGTGGTTAAGGTCTGGATATGAGAAGTTTACAGAAACTAGGGTAAGAGAAAGATCATGGTCATGTATAGCTTGCATTTGTGGTAAAAAAAGAAACCAAGACTGACTGTACAACGACCCGTGCTTTGTACACCTGATCATCCAACCAGACTTTCTCACCATTTTAGTTTTCTTGCAGCTGCACAACAATGTCTTGCAGTTTTACCATTCCTCCACCAAGAGAGAGCAGTCATTGTTCACCCCATCGGTGGAGGTCAATAAAAAAATCCACACAAAGGTCATTTTAAGTTTCAACAAATGGCCTGTGTACAGTGACTCCTGATGCAAAATACAGTATGATATATGGAGAGCATTTGTGCATTTTGGTGGATACCATCTCTTCTGAAAACACTCCCCAAACTGTCTTAAAACTGTCGATAAAAACAGCAGAAAAGAGCCAAGTGTGGAGGCAGAAAAGCCTCGAGGAGTGCTCTAAGCCTGCAATCCAGAGGGAATTTAAACAGGAATAAAAAGCATAACTCTGGATTTACTTGCTGTGTTAATATCAAGCAGTTGGGTAAAATCCTCCTTTAAATCTCATTAACTCTTAAATGGATGTTGATTTTCTTGACCAATTGTGGTGCTTTTAAAGTGTCCCAAACCCCATGTACCATTATTTACTCTACAGACAGAAGATACAAAATTTGGGCCACCCTGTCATTAATTTTGGGGTCCAACAATCAGAGTCTAGGATGTATTCATTCACATCTAAACCTGTTTAGTTAGATTGTGACAAGCATTGGCTAAAGGTGACAAACGGTTCCACTTTGACAAGATGAATTATCAACAAAGCTTGCTTGGCCCACCTATTTAAAACCACTTCCTTTATAGCTGCAGATTCTCATGAGCTGCTCTTAGCCTGAGCTGTGGCAGGTTTTAAGCAACCTTGGACAGGAAATGGGCTTCTCATGTTGAGAGCAGAACCATAACTTTCACGTGTAGGACTGAGAGGCAGGAAATATAAAAACCTGCGGTTGAAGCAGGCCAAAGTGTTTATCAGCAAAGTTCAACCCCATGACACTATACTGTGGTTGCAACATATACCATCCACCAGAATACAACACATACTTTACTTGGACACAACACTGTTTTAGATCACATACTGTATTCACTGCAATGCTGCTAAGTAAAGGCATTTTCTCACATTTACGTAAGTGTGCATACTGAAAGAAAAACTAAAAAGATTACTTGCAAATGTGCAAAAAGCTATTTTTTTATGTGAAATTACTAGCTGATTAATTGAAGAATAAATTCCTATTTGGATAATTGATCCATTGTGTTAGGAGGTGATCAGACCAAGTAAACAATTTGATGACATTACATTGGTCTTCACATTTATCAACTACATGATTAACTGATTAATTGAAAAAAATCAATAACAACTATAAAACTGATAATTAGCTAGAGCACTAAAATACAGTTATACACTGTGTATTAATAGAACATATTTAGTGTGTCTAAGATCTTCTATGTGGAAATATTTTCAACATGCTGTAATATTTGTTCGATTCTCCTTTGTCACACAGGTGGCATCACACGTGACACATTCCAGAAGGAGCTTTGGTGTTATGATCCTGCTGCCGACACATGGAGTCGGCGTGCCGACATGATTGAGTTGCGTGGCCTGCACTGCATGTGCACCGTCGAAGACAGACTCTATGTCATGGGCGGGAATCACTTCCGAGGCAGCAGCGACTACGATGACGTCCTAGGCTGCGAGTACTACAGCCCCGAGACAGACCAGTGGACGGTGGTGGCTCCCATGCCTCGGGGCCAAAGTGACGTTGGTGTGACTGTGTTTAACGGGCAGATCTATGTGGTGGGAGGGTATTCCTGGAACAGCAGATGCATGGTTGACATTGTGCAGCGGTACGATCCAGAGCAGGACATGTGGGACAGAGTGTTCAACGTGCTGGAGCCTCTGGGGGGGATTCGAGCCTGTACGATGACGGTTCATCTCCCGGAGGGGTCAGTTGACGAGGCTCAGATACAAGAGTGTCCGCTGCCCACAGCAAAGAGTTGAGAGCACACCGCAGACAGGGGATTTCTGATTAACAAAACAAAAATTTACCTACATGCTGTGTCGGAAAGAGGGCAAAACAGGAAATGGTGTGGGTTGCAAACACAAGCTGCAGGTGCTGCAAGTATGGCTAGCTAGCTAACATTAGCATTCTAGAAAAAATTCTACAGCTGTCTATCGAACCCTATCTTTAGCGCTATTTCCCGTCCTTGCATTTACTGCCAGCCATGCAGCGTCTCTCCTGCTCTGCTGCTTGTGTTCTTTCACTCGGCAGCCACAGTATGTAAAAGGAAATCCTCGGTCAAACTTCAGTCAGACTGAACTCTGAAGCAAAATAGGATCAGTTAGGATCAGAGGGCAAATCCAAAGGTATTTTTTGGTGGAAACTCAACTTCATCATGGAAATAATGTGATTGAACAAAAAATCTTACATAATTTTATCTTTTCACTATAATTCTCATAAACTAACCAAAAACATGCCAGATCTTTCATCTATCATGACGCACAAGCTCAGAGGAATACATTGAACTCTGTGTGTCATAATGGAGGATGAAGGAATTTGTTGCACAAAAGCCACAATGTGGTTAATTTGTGAGGGTTTTTAAGTGTCTGGATGATAATGGAGTTCTGTGGCACCGAGTCACAAGATGTAAGCTGGACTGTGGCTACAAAGACAGATTGTCTTTATTATGATTTTGGGAACTTGAATTGGAACTTTTTGTCCCTCTGTGAATGTATCCAGTGACAAACACAGAGGGTTTTCACAATAAAACTTGGGTTTATAGTCCAACAAGAGGCAATCACCTCAACAAAGACTGTGATGTAATTGCCCCAAAGTTTTTCACACCAACAGACACTGTAAAACAATCTATATGAATTCCATAAAACATGAATATAAAGCAAAATAGCCTGTGATTTTTCAGCTCTTTATGCCCCCATAAAGCCTGTGGAGACTGTACTGTAGTTCATTTTCCCATGTCCTCATGTGAAGCTGCCTGAGCCTATATGGTTGAGAAAGAAAGAACCTGAATCATTACCAGCTGTGTCAGCGGGGCTGGTACTGTTTTCACCTTGTGAATCTGTGTGTAAGTGTGTCATCATGGAAAAATATGGTCCTGGAGACAACTACTGTGACCGAAACTAACAGGAAAGCTGTTTTCAGTACTTTGACTTTGGCAACTGTGAAAGATGCAGTCACGAAACTTTACAGGTGTGTAGTTGAGATCAAAATGAAGGTCGTGTAAGATAGGAGTGGTCTGACCCATGAGTACTGACTAGTAGTAATAACTCAGTACTCATGTAATAATGTAGTAATGAATACTGGGTACACATGTAATGTAGTTCATGACTACTGAGCACTCATGTACTATTGAAGTAATAACTCCTGAACACTCATGGAATGTAGTTCATGACTACAGAGTACTCAAGTAATATTGCAGTAATAAGTACTGAGTACTCATGTAATGATGCAGTAATAACTACTTGGTACTCATGTAATGTAGTTCATGACTACTGAGTACTCAAGTAATATTGCAGTAATAACTACTGAGTACTCATGTAATACTGTAGTAATAACTACTGAGTACTCATGTAATGTAGTTCATGACTACTGCGTTCTCATGTAATAATGTAGTAATAACTACTGAGTACTCATGTAATACTGTAGTAATAACTACTGGGTACTCATGTAATAATATAGTAATAACTGCTAAGTACTCATGTAATGTAATTCATTACTACTGAGTACTCATGTAATAATATAGTAATAACTGCTGAGTACTCATGTAATGTAATTCATTACTACTGTGTACTCATGTAATAATATAGTAATAACTGCTGAGTACTCATGTAATGTAGTTCATTACTACTGTGTACTCATGTAATAATATAGTAATAACTGCTGAGTGCTCATGGGTCAGAATGATGATATATAGTTACTGTTTGATAATGATTCATCAAAGTAAATGAGGACAGACGAGAAGCTTCTGGATTTAACTGCTGTATCATGTTGCTATTACACAAGCTCAGTCAATGACTGTCTGTATGTTGTGTTTTGTATATTTATATTAAAATGCAGTGTTTTGAGATTTGTTGATTATGCTCCTCATGTTACACTGAGAATCACATTATTCAATGTGAGCGAAGGCCAAACTCCCATTAGCTATGAAGACAACAAGAAAACGTGAAAGTCCTTCAACAGCTAAAACGATGCACACAAACGCAAGTGCACACAGACACACAGACAGTCACACAGCCACACACACAGACACACACACAGACACACACACAGACACACACACAGACACACACACACACACACAGTGAGTGACGAAGAGACTACCCTTGAAAATTCATCCTTCACCTCCAGATAAGACAACAGACAGTTGTGATATCGACTGCTATGTCAGGGACTACAAATACTGAAAAGCAGACAGTTACTATACTTGAGTATATAATGAACAACATATTGCCAATACAAAATCAGTTATGTTTTTTGGATAAAAAATGCCCAAAGCTATTTTGAATCCACTTTAGCAGATCCACAATAAGACATGAGACATGACCTAATTTGGACTTTTGTGAACTTTATTAAAATAAAGCTAATACCTAAACCTCCATAGAACCTCAAAATAAACTATGTGACTCAGCATCAAGACACTAAATGGCTTCTGCTCCAGAACTGAAGTGTATGGGGGAGGAAAAGGCCAAAGCCAAATATAATTCCAAATATTTATGTACATGTTAATTCTGATTAGAGAGATAAGAGAGAGTGCCTGTAACCAAAAGGTCACACAAGCCCTGCAACAGTCAGAGTTTCCACCACAGCCATTTGACCCAGTGTACCATTTACTGAGCAAACCATGGCCAACTGAAATCCATCACCGTGCACAGGAAAACAAATGTGGCCATCAATGTCAAATCTTGTTTTATTTGTCTGATCCAGCCTTGTAGTTTCCTCAGGGGTGGAAAGTACTAATAGTACAAAGGGTTGTTGTGTGTTGTTGTTGAGCTCTTTGGAGACAAAGGTTTAAAATATACAAAGTGTTGCTAAAAGGGAACCAGTAGTGTTACATAATGCAGAGAAGGAGATTGGTTCATCAGTACTGGTGGAAGAAGTACTCAGATCTTTACTGAAGTTAAACCATTGTGTACCAAAACTGCTACAAGTTAAAGCATTCAAAATGGAGTTAAGTCAAAGTACAGCAGTAATAAAATAAAAGTTGGCTGACTCATAATGCAGAATAGCTCCTTTTAGAGTGTTAAATTATTACATTTTGGATTATTATGTATATGTTGTAGCTTGTCAAGATGGAGTTAATTTCACTACCCAATACACTGTTGGGTAGTTTCATCTTTTAAATGTCTTTTAAATATCTTATTTGTTTATTCTTTTTTTACATGCGAAATCTTAATTAGCAAAATAACTACTCTCAGACAACTGTAGTTGCGTAAAAAGTACAATAGTTACTTGTTACATTTTCAGTCCTACATTTTAAGGTTAAAAATAATCCTCAATTTATAAAATATGTATTGATGTAGATTAAACTACCCAATAGTATATGACGTTAAAACTATCTCTACTTTGGCATTTAAAAAATTACATGTAACAATATAAATATAATACTCTGCACATAGCCATTTCATTGTAGTACTTTTTTACTTTTACTTAAGTAAGATCTTGAATGCATGACTTTAACTTGTAATGGAGTGTTTCTTTTGCAGTATTCTAACTTTTACTTAAGTAAAAAGTAAGATCTCATTACTTTTTCCACCACTGAGTATCAGTTATTGATTTCAAAGGAAGTCATTGACCCTCCACTGAAGTCTTGTTTTTCTGTGTCACATGCCGAGTCTGCCCACCCCATGAAACACAGTGGCATTCTCCCAATTAAACAAAGGGTTATATCTTCCAACCACAACTGTCCTTGGCATATATAAAGTTCCAGCCCGTTTTATCTGGCTCACATTCCTTCATGAATGAGCAGAGCTTATCCCTGTTATTCACACTGTCTTAGGGCAAATAATTTTTTCTCGTAACCTCTTTGGGCTTACAAAAAGAGGAAGGACTGAGGCTGGGAGGGCTAAAGGTGCTGTCACTCTCCCACAGACAGAACCTAAAACATTCACAAACACAAAAGTTGTATCCTTCTTTTTTTCACTTTGAGCTTTTTCTTATGAGAAGGCTCTTCTAGAGGTCTCTGACAGAGGACCATTGGAAAAGAAAGGAGTTTTTTGTCTTCACATTGAGATAGAATTACCTTGCGATGTCTCTGAGGGGTGATGTGTGTGTGGTGACGGGAGCCGGTGGATTCCTGGGAAAGAGACTGGTGAGGCTGCTGCTGGAGGAGGAGAAAGTGGCTGAGATTCGAATGCTGGACAAACATGTGCAGCCACAAATTTTACAGAACCTGGAAGGTAAAACCTGTCTATCCACGCATGACTCTTGAATTTTTCTGATAAGATATAAAACACATTAAAAGTGCAGGAAGAGGTTTGTCTCACATATCTTTTTCATGAAAACATTGATAGTGGAGTATAAATCTGAGTATAGGGGTTTTAAATTTTAGCTTTCACACCTGACAGCATGAGGCTGTGATGATAAGTGGCTATTGTCAAATGCCAAAAAGCTACAGTACATGACAACACTTTGTAATATTTTACTTTTATTTCAACTAATCAGGGATGCCTTAAATCTCTTTTTCAAAATATGTCAAAATATGTAGCAATAACAATTACAGTTACAAACAAATAATGTAAATAAGGATTAATTATTGATTTTCCTGTCTTATCCTCAGTTAAAACAATAGTGATGGGCTGAAATAAATTCTGATACCACCAGGTTTATGTTATTATTTAAAAACCCATTAGATAAACTCAAAAGACACAAGAAAATGCTATAGACATTGTTATTACATAAAATAACCAAGCTGTATGTTGTGTTATTTTATCCTTGATTTACTTTATGTCAGATTGTAGAGGCAACACGAAGCTGAGTGTTTTTGAGGGAGACATCAGGGACAGTGATTACGTGAAGAAAGCCTGTCGAGGTGCATCAATCGTCTTCCACATCGCCTCCATCATTGATATTATTGAAGCAGTGGAGTACAGTGAGATATATGGGGTCAATGTCAAAGGTAAGGCTGTCACTTTAATCCAGTAAAATCTCTACTTGGCAACTTCACACTTTTGTTTCTCTTACAAAATTTAATTTATTAAATTATTTAAATTTCTTTACTTAATTATCAAGATATTATGTACAATATACATATATAGATAAGGTAGATTAAGAGAAAGCAGAACTCTTGATTGCTTGCACTTCAAATAACACTTCAAACTTCACTTCAAGCTGCTTCCACTGCTTACATTTCACCTAATATTTCAATTTAAAACTTCCTTCATGACTTAGTAAGCTCGTTGACACTTCAGTTGCTTTCACTGCAACACTTCTGACAATAATTTCTTCCAGTGCTTACACATCAACTGTCACTAATCCTGCTTTAAACGCACCTTAAATTACATTTCTGTAATTTCTCAACTGTTGTCATGACGTACAATGATCAACACTTCAGTTGCATTTCACTGCTCCCATTTCAGTGTTTACATTTGACCTGACACTTGAACTGACAGTAACATCTGCCTGTGCTTCCACTTTACTTTAACTTTACTGTAACTACCACTTCAACTTCTTGAATTTCAATGCCTCCTTTTGAACTCCCACTATGAATTTTTCATTGCATCCACTTCAGGTACAACATCTAATTATTAAAGGTGTTGTTTTTGTTATCCTCTTGACTTTAAAACAAATTCATTACAATAACCATGGTTTTGAGTTTGCCGAATTATACTGATGAAAGAGAAGACCAGAGGATTGGATTACTTGCATGATGACCAATCTGCCAAGGGTTTTAGATGTTTCCATAGCTTATTTTCTGTCAGTCACTAGCCTGAATGATAAAACGGCCCAATGCAAAGAGTTAGTTTGTCTTATATCTAATCTGTTAACTTTCTTGTTGTTGTGTCACCTCAGGAAAAGGTTTGACCTCCTCTGAGACATGAAAAAGAAAAAATAGTGATGAGGATTTTTTTTTTGGCTTACATGAACTCGAACATTTTTGCTTTGCAGGAACGCAGGTGCTTCTGGAAGCATGTATCCAGGAGAACGTGGTGTCCTTCATCTACACCAGCACCATTGAGGTGATGGGACCAAATTCCAAGGGTGAACCCATAATTAACGGCAATGAAGACACAATTTATGACTGCACTCTAAAGTTTTCCTACAGCAAGACCAAAAAGGAGGCTGAGCAGAGAACCCTGCAGGCCCACGGCGAGGTGCTCCAAAACGGAGGCCGACTGGCTACCTGCGCCCTCAGACCTATGTACATCTTTGGGGAGGGCTGCCGCTTCCTGCTGGGCCACATGGGCGACGGGATACGAAACAAAGATGTTCTGTATCGAATGTCTCTTCCGAAGGCCCTTGTAAATCCTGTCTATGTGGGCAACGTGGCTACGGCTCACCTCCAAGCAGCTCGTAGCCTCAAAGATCCACAAAAAAGAAATGCTATTGGAGGAAAGTTTTACTTCATTTCTGACGACACACCACATGTGAGTTACTCAGACTTCAACCATGTTGTTATGTCGCCTCTTGGCTTCGACATTCAAGAGAAACTCGTGGTGCCGCTAAGCGTCTTCTATGTAGTCTGTTTCATTATGGAGTTCCTGTGCATGATGCTCCGACCTTTCAAACGCATCGTCCCGCCACTGAACCGGCAGCTCCTCACCATGTTGAACACACCGTTCACCTTCTCCTATCAGAGAGCTAAGAGGGACTTGGGATACAGCCCCAGATACAGCTGGGAGGAAGCACGCAAACGCACCATTGAATGGCTCGCCTCAGAGTTGCCAAAAGAGAGGGAACGAATAAGAGCTATATAATCAATGAAAACCTGTTAGCATTATATCAACCCTGTCTCCTAGCATTTATGTTTATAATTAATTTGCAACAGCAAATATGTTTTGAAGGAAACATTATTGTAATCGGATTGCATTTATGTTGTTAACTTACATATTTGGTAAGTCTCAAATATGTTGTAAAATGTTCACAAACAAAGTATTTGTTTCACGCCAAGAGGATTTTTGACCAAAAATAGCAAAATAAAATAAGTATTTTGCTATTATGGTTTATGTCTGTTTGGATAACACCATTTTCCCGCAGTTATAGAAAGCAGTAAAAACATGTTTAGTGAAGGTATATGTGAAGCAATAAACCATCAAAAACATGGAGCTCATCGCCATTAAAAGTTTCTTAAAGGCAATATGTGTGAAACTTTTATGTTGTTATAGCATGTCTCAGATTATTCTAATGAGTTTAGGATATTGTAGGTTTGTTCATACTCCGACAAGGAGTCACCAAAGATTCCTACACGTTTAACTGTAGATCAGCTGCATGTCTTCTTTGTCTCTTCACATCCAGATAATTACTTCAACCTGATTAACTTAACCACATGAGGGAGATGAAAATAGGACTCACAACACACTAAAAGCATAAAAAAAAAATGATGAAAGTTCAGTATCATCTGTTGTACCTGTGCTGTAACGCTTTGTATGTATATGGTATGTATGTACAGTATGCTATTAAAGTTTATGGGGAAAAATAAAATTATTTCTCGTTGTACATTTTTCATCTATATTTTGTTTGGTAAAACTTTATAATAATGGTAGCCTAATATAATTAATGCATGGCTTGTGATGATTTTATGCATAAATAATGCAGGATGTATCCTGAATTTCTGCTGCTCGGGATTAAGAGATTAACAAATCACTATGAGCTTATTGGTTAAAGGGTAACTCAGAGATTTTTTTAACCTCAGTCCTATTATTTGTTTTTGGGTGTAAATGATTGATGTGGACAAAAATCTGTGCAATCAGTCCACAATTGAGAAAGAACGGTAAACCCAGCATCCACTACACGGCTGCTGCAGTGTTAACAACAGGAATATGAAGATGTTTTTATCAGACTAGTAAGGGGAGATGCAAACATGCTGCAGTTTTCTTTCTCAATTCAGTGTACTGTAAACTGTTGACATACAGGCATACTTAGAAATGTCTGTCTCCTGATTTGTCAACTGGCAACTGTATCATTCTCTTCTTAGCTCCATCTCTTTCAGCAACAACAAAAGATATTATATTGAGGGTGCCTCGGTGGCTTACCTGGTAGAGTGCGTACCACACAGGCTTAGTCCTAAGGGCAGCAGCCATGGGTTCAAGTCTGACCCATGGCCCTTTGCTGCATGTCATCTTTCCTGTCTATCTCTCACTTTACTGTCAGAACAGGTAAATATGTCCAAAAATATAGTTTAAAATAACAACATATATCATAATAAAATAGAATTAACCTTATTGCCCCCAAAGAAAAAAATTGCTCCCCTACTTCTTCTTTGAGGTTTGAAGCAAACAAACCTTTGGAATGATAAACTTCCAGTAACTGGCAGTGAGTCCGAATTGGTTTTCCTTTTACTGAGGTTTAAAATATAATTCAGCTCTAAATCTTCATGTAATTAACACTGAGATGAACAAATCACTGCCAACTGTAGAACATATCCATGACTCATTTCCCTTGGGAAGTATTACATTTTTGTGTAATTGCTACCTCACAATGCCTCAACTAGAGACAAGATGTACTCATAACCGTAGCTAACTACACGACTATTTGAAGACCCATACTTATAATTAAGTAAGAGAACAGCAGACAATGATTTAACTACTTAAAGCAATGAAACAAATCAAAAGCTGCACAGACTAATTTCAGCATGTTTACAAAGAGCACTGGTTACGCAAGAGAGCATTGATAGTGGAACAATCAATCAGCTGATTATTGATTTCCATCAGACACAACAGGGTGACCTCTCCTCATTTTCTCTGACTCTGAAACACACACCCACAACAAAACACACACACACACATTCAAACTTACCCACACACAAATCAGTGGGCTGCCAGGCCAGAGTCCAGCCTTTCAAACAAACAGCCATTGAACACCAATGAGGTCATGGATTCATCGCCAGGCAAAGAGCTTGAACCACTTGTCGGCCCAGTACAAACCCAGTCTGGGAAGAAAAAAAAACACCCACTGACAACTGTGATGACTGAGTGAGGACAGGGGAAGGTTTGTTGTGGCTCAAAGTGGAGCTTTACAGGAAAAGACACACAGCAAGTTCTGCCAGGATCACTAGAAACATTTGCTTTTGGACTCCTTTGGACTGTTTTATATGGATTCCTGCTTCGCTTCATGCCTGCTGTTTGCCAGTTAAACACTGAGTGGTCGTTCCAGTGCCACAGCACTGCACAGAGCTGGGATTTTCTCAAGCCAAAGGCTGATCTGCATCCACAAATCTGAAGCTAAGGAGAACAGCTGAGCACCGTTAAGCCCTAACTAAAACTCCCAGGCAGCTCCTCTCCCTATTCACCTCTCTGTTACTACAGAAATGCCTTGGGAACACATAACAATCCTCCTTTTGATGGTCTGCATCACATCCCTGGTGGTGGGTAAGTGGCCTGCTCATGAAGATGGTATTTTCTACTGCATCCCTTTTTTTGGTATTTTTCATGCAATAGTTTCAAACATAAATATGGACATGGTCATCTAGACTAACCAGAATACTGCTGCCAGGGTTTTAAGAGACGACATGTTATTCCCAAACTGACTCCCTGTATCTTAAATGCTTTGCCCCTCTTATATTACAGACTCCATATCTAGGATCTTCCACGAACCCTATGTCCTCCACAGCTGCATTTTTAACTATTCCCAGGGTCGCCACAAAAACCTTGGGGGATGCTACTTTTAACCAGTATGCCTTCAAAAGTAAACTATGCCATTAAATATCAGAGTTGCTGACTTGGTAAACCGTTTCAAATGAAAATTAAAAACATATCTTTTTTAACAGAGCTTATAACAGCTGTCTGTCTTAATTTATCTAAACATTATAATATAAACTGTGTTAATGCTATTTTATATATTCTCTTTTTTAACCTTTGTTTTTATTATTATTTATTGTAATTGTTGTTTTGCATAAAAGGTGATATTGAATTAATGCATGAACTCTATTTATATAGAGTTCATGCATTAATTCAATCATAAATTAAGTCCTTTTTCTTCAATAATGACTCCATAATATTTTACTTGCCGTCTAATTTAGTTTTTTTAATAACAATCAAGTAACTGTATTTGTAGAACTAAATATCAGTACCATAAATTAGAATCAATCTTTCACATCCACCTAATTTCAACTTGAGTATAGTACAGAAGTATTATCAGCTAAATGTACTTGAAGTATCAGCAGTGTAAAAGTAGTGATTCATTTGAGAACTTTCCCCTGTGACTAATATATTTTGTACTGTGCTGGTTGGGATAAATATTAGTCTTTGAGTCATAATTTTTAAAGTAACCAGTAACTCCAGCTGTCAGATAAATGTGGTGGAGTAAAGTGTACAATATTAACTGTATCAATAATTGTAACTTAAATACAGAACTTCATTGCGTTAGTGTAAGTACATTAACTGTTGGAGTGTGTAAATCTGACACAGAGGTTGTTGCAGATTTTTCTTTTAACATAACATTTTGCAATCATCATCATGGTGTCAAATACGCAACACCTGAGCTTTTATTTTATATTTTAACAAAAACAATCAGACCCGGTCGTGGTTATATCTGTCCTTCTATTCAACCAGGTGTAGAGGAAAGGCAGAGAGATGAGTGTGCTGACCTCAACAACACCACATGGATGGAGTACCGGCACCACAGGGTCAAACTGCAGGTGCAGTACCTGCTGCTGACCAGGAGAAACACAGACTGTGCACAAATGTTCAACCAGGAGTCTCTCACCGAGCAGCCCTCCTACTTCAACACCTCCCGCCCGACCAAAGTCATCATCCACGGTTACAGGTGAGTCTTAATATCACCACATCAAACCAGGTCTAAAAATCCACCTACTATTTGTCAAATCCAGTTTCAGATTTGTGAAGCCTTTGTTGTTTGTGAAAACACAAACCAGACCTAAAATGGTCAAATTCAGACTAGATTAATAGGGAGAGAGTAAAGACTGTGCAGTTTCATGTCTATTCTATTAGAGAGAACACACAATTTCATTGCACAAACAAGCAACTGAAGTGAAATCGCCATTGCACCGCCTTTTCACAAACAGAATAAAAGTGTCACAGAAATGAAACTGGATTTAAAAAAAGTTGATGGAGTCTGCTTGTTAATCAAGTCCAGGTTTGACAAGTATAAATATAGGGGTTTCTGATTTAAACTTGGTCTATTGTGCTCTGGTTGGAGAAAATAGCAGTGAAATCGATCTTGATTGTGTGTGTTTTCACATGTAGAATAAGGTCAAGCGATTTTTGATCTAGACCTGGTCTGATGTGGACTAAAATGCAGGAAAAGGAAGTGGAATTGAGTTTCATTAATCAAAAGTGAGGTTTAAACTATATTGATGCCTTAGGTAGGACCTCTACAATTTATGGATAAGTGGTGAAAAAATGGAGTATTGTTCTGTAGGCGATCGTCACTGCCACTAGATGTCGAACTAAACCGCCAGCATCTCGGACCAAAACAAAGGCTTCCTCGCCCCGCCCACACACAACAAGAGGCACAACTGAGTGACGTTCCTGTGAGCACGAGAGCCAACGAAAAACAACCGTTAGAAAAAGGGAGAAAAAAAACAACCGTTAGCCCGTGCTAGCATAGCCGCGATATGCTCCACAGCAACGCTAGCAGTAAGTCAGCTAGCGATAGCAACATTTGACGAGCTAATTCATAATATCCTTAACAAGTATCAAGTTAGCCGAAGTTATCATGCCTACTGTAGCCAGTTACTAATGAAAACGGACATTTAACTTTACACAGAAAGTAACTTACGCATGGAGACGAAAGAAAAGCCAGTTCCGAGTAAAGCTGGAGCCCTTCAGCAGCTAGTAGAGTTCTCGATCTTGGTAAAGCCCGACCAGTATTGGCTCCACGGTCGGACTGGGAAAGACTTATCCTTTGGACCGGGTCGCACATATGGTACTCACGGAGCCAGTAAAGACATTGACCGAGCAGGTAAAAACTCAAAAAAAAAATGTGGATTATTAGATGGTCCACCTGCGGATTTGAGCTGGTACTCCCCATGGCTAGTCCCCTTGAAAAGCTTTGACCTGTACTGTACAGTCTCACCTGTGGGCGGTCCCTGTGCGTGTATAAATGTGGGGAGTCCCAACGGTTTAATAGTAGGGACTCACATGCACCAACGTGTCAATGTACACGCACTAACATGCACGCGCAGTCCTACCAGATACCAATTACACCAACATCCACCAATCAGAATCCCAATCTGGTCGTTTTTTGTTTACTGTATTTGTTGGTTGGTTTAGTTTTTATTGTAGTTTTTCTTTGAGTTACAGTTTATACAGGTAAACAGAAAATGACAGTAGACATGAGTAGAGGAACTCCACAGTCTGAAAAGTGTGAAAGACAAATTAACAGCCAACAAATTCTAACCCTCATTCCTCCCTCTGCTGCCCTTCCTACATCCTACTCTCTCCACTGAACCCACCATCCATGACCCCACCCCACCCACTCAGAGCTCTGGGCAGTAAGCCGTCCTGGGTGAAGGAGCTGGCCCGGGCCTTGCTCAGGGCGCAGGATGTGAACGTGCTGGTGGTGGACTGGGTCTACGGTGCCTCCTTCGCTTACAACCTGGTGGTGGAGAATTACAAGGAGGTGGCTGTGCAAATCTCTGTCCTCATCAACCAGCTGCAGGTGAGAGGAAGGCTAGAGAGGGGTTTAAGGGACTTTGTATTTGCTTTTTCAAATTACTGGAGGATTGAAGAGAAATTTAGCAAACAACCTAATTAGGTCAAGTTGTCTGGAATATTTTCAGGGTAGATTAGAAACTGATTAATGCTATTTTAATGGATTTTTGTTTCATAGCGATATACTAGATATACTGGTATTGCTGTTTCTGCTTCTGTGACTGAATATTTGCAAGCTAGAATTGCAAGTTACTACAGCTACTTCATGCCAAAGTGGGCAATGACTGCAAGGCCCAAGTCAATTTTGTGTCACTTGGTTTGTGATCATTTGATTTATTGCAATTTTTGTGTAAAAAACGTAGTTTGTAAACATCTATGCTGTGTTTAAAAAGATGTATATTCCAAAATAAATGTGTGTGTTTTTTTTGTTTTTTTTTAATTAAAACAAAATAGTTGGGTCCAGAAGGCAATCCAGGGTAGGAGGTCCTGGTGAATCTCTGCCCTATAAACAAAGTATAGTTTTAGATATAATGTATATTTTACTGTTTGACAGATGCATCATTAAAGGCACATTCATACAGTACAGCTCATTTCTTCTTTGCAAGTTAAACAGCCATGCTTTTACTGGTACTGCTGACAGAAATTCTACAGCTATTGCAAACTGTAGAGTCTTAACTTCAATAAAACAAAAGACAAACAAACACAAACCCACATACACAGTAAACTCATAGTTCCACAGAAACAGTTCGAAGTGACTATAAACATGCCTAACATTGTGACTGTCTTGTCCAACAGGAGCATGGATGTAAACTGGAGTCCTTCCACTTCATCGGGGTCAGTCTCGGGGCGCACGTTGCTGGATTTGTGGGGACTCTGTTTGAGGGGAAGATAGGAAGAATCACAGGTGAGTCCAGACCACGTCCATGTGACACACATTAGTACAGTCCTGGTTCACTTGTGCTCCATTACAATTTGAAGAATCGCCTGACTTTAGTAGATAAATAATAAAACCATGAGGGAGAAACTCTAAATTATTGTTGGTGAATCGTACCAGCTGTTGTTATTCTGCTGCTACGTCTAGAGAAAAAAGTGACAACAACATCAGGTCACACCACAAAGGTCTCCACACATCAGAAGTCTCTCTCAGAGCCTGTGAGTGTCTGTCAGTGTGACCTTGGAAGATTAGCGGGGCTCTTCAAAAGACAACAGCACTTTGATAAGAGCCCTGCTGAAGCTGTGTGGAGAAGCTCCCTCTCCGCATCCCCAGAACAGCCAGCACAATACACCACTGTTCACTTGTTTATATTGGGTCTTTTTGTCTGAGTGGGGATACTTGTGCAAGTTTAAATGTGCAATTCAGAGGAACCACAGATGCTGACTGGAAACAGGAACATATGGGTCATCACGGGAACAAATTTTATGAAAACTTTTACAAATAAAATATTTGGCACTAAGAAATATATACTGGTGCGCAAATATATTTTTTTGCTCATCATCTTTGCATATTCTCACGCCAATGTCACGAAGATTAGGCAAATCAAGAGGAAATAGCATAAAAAGTGGAACAATGTGGGTTTTGTCATCAGTTCTTCACACAGCAAAACTTCTCTATGGGGAAAAAACCCACAAAAACTAACATTTACTGTATAGCTACAATGAGAACCATGAAGCCATTGTTTTGTTGGGTTGGGTGGATTTTTGGACTTTGGATCTTCTGACTGAATCTGAAAAAGAAAAAACTAAACTTATTTACTGCGTCTCCATTTTTCCTTGTTTTTTATTATTTCTCTTGCAGCTGCCAGGCATCTCAACCGTTGCTGATTTCTAAAAACAGCAGCTTTTATGCTCACAAAGTGCTGTTCAGCTCTGCAAACTTCACCCCAGTGGTTGTGGTCCATCAGCAAATACTGCCTTAGCTACAGAGGCTTTATTTAGGGTCCAACCTGTAACCATGAAACCAAAACCGAAAACAAGCATCCTGAAATAAAAATGCCGCTGAAGTTCCCACGTTATGGGAAAACGTGGAAACTTCAGCACCACGTGTGGGACTTTGTATGGAAACATACAGCACCGACCTGTGTGAAGCCACTGTCTACTTTAAGGCCACAATTTAAGTTTTTCAAAAGGGAAATAAAAAGTACGCTTCACAAAAGATTCTCAACTACCAGCAGCACTGAAGGAAAATGATCCTTTCCCATGCATGTGGTGAATTCCATACAGTCCTTGTATTCCCAAACATCTGTGTCACCTTTCAAACTGAGTTTCTCTTGTTCTTTGTCGTCCAGGACTCGACCCTGCTGGACCCATGTTCAAAGGAGCTGACACCTTTGACCGCCTGGACCCATCTGATGCTCAGTTTGTTGATGCCATCCACACAGACTCTGACTGTGAGACAGCTTTGACTTCCCATAAAGCCTTAATATGCTCATTTCTTTCCATTACCACCATGCTGCTTGAGGCTGAGGTTTCACAATGTGTACTGTTGTTGTCTACAACAGAAGCATTGGGAAGCATATTTTTACGTCCATGTGAGGAAGGTCAACAGTTCAGCTGGGCCACAGTACAGCGTTCTATTAAATTAATTATGATTTTTTTTACTGGACGTTGTACTGGAAGTTGAAGTAGAAGAGTAATACTCCAGCAGCGGAGTGTAACTACATTTCCTCAAGTACTGTGCTAAAGTGTGCTTTAAATTTTACTTTAAGTGCACTACTAATTTGAGGTACCTGTGCTTTACTTGAGTCTTTCTTTCTACTTCACTACAGTTGTTTACCAGCTTTTGTCACTTTACAAACTCAGCTTTTTGCATACAAAACATCTGGAAAACAACACAACAGTAAATACAAGTACAGCTGAAATTGGCAAATATATTAATCTTTTCTTAAACATTTCATGGTTCCATTTTTTTTTTGCTTTTAATCATATTAATTATTTTAATTCATATTCATTTTTAATAACTTTAAGGTTTGGATCCAGTTAAACCAAGCATTTTTAAGGTGTCACTTTGGCTTCTGGGTAATTGTGACGGCATTTCTTACTATTTTCAGAATTTTTACAAACCAAACGATCAACCGATTAATTGAGAAAATAGTCAATAGATTAATCTATAATGAAGACATCACGATGAATGCAACAGTTAAACAGTTAAAAATGAGTTCCTTCTCAACCAGCTACATCAGTTAAATCCTCCTTTCACATTAACGCATGAGTAATAATGATAATGTATAGCATATAAAAGTATAACACTCAGACCATTGACAGAGTGTTGACAGTGTGGTGTTTGTACTTTTTACTGAAGTAAAGTGAGCAGGTTCACCAGTCGTTACAGGAGATCATGATTTAGGACAGATAAAACCACACTTGTTGCACAAATGAAACGGTGTGTCCGAGGTCAACAAAAACATGGTAAAGAAAGAAAAACACAAACTTCCTCTTTACGATGAAAAGTTGAATTCATGAGCAATAAAACGCACCCTTGCTGTGGTTTTGCTGTTACAGGCGGCCTTTCTTGGTCTGGTGTGACCGTTATCTTATGGAGGCTAATGTTGCCAAACTTGAGAGAGTAACTGCTGCGTAAATGACAGTTTGCTGACTCTATAACACCATTGTTCACAGATACCTTCATTGGATTTTATCACAAAAGTAAAACAAGCAAACATAGCGCACCACAATAACAGATAAGTTTGTTATTTCCTGCATGTGGTCGTGTGTGTGCTCCGTTCACTCAGCCAAGTCTCTGCCAGAGATGATTTAAAGCAACTGACTTGTGAGAATCTGAAGAAATTAAGCAAAAACTCCCTGTGCTTTGAATGCAGCAAAAGTATATTCTCCCTTTAAGCAGCCCATCCAACTAATGTCACATAAATATTCTGGAGAGCTGGTTAAATGTCTTTTGTGTGTATAGAACATGAGTATTGTAGTTGGGGAGGAGGCATGTAATGGTGGGTGAACACACAGCACTAAAAAATAAACTATGAGTTTGAAGACGTCAGTTTTCACGTCTAAATTATTGTGATTTGTTTGTCTAAGGGTGGGTTTTTCCTTTTTAAACCTCGTGTTTTGTGTTTACAGTTTAGAACAATAAGAAGTAAGCAACAGAACTGCAGAAACTAAATGTTAATAGTTTTCTTCTGCATCAGATTTTGGCATCTCCATCCCTGTCGGTCATGTGGACTTCTTTCTGAACGGAGGGAAGGACCAGACTGGATGTGCCCGCTCCAGGTTTGCCTCAAGTAAGTTCAGAGCAGCTGTGTTTGTTGCTTTTAACCTTGGCTGTTCTTTCCTCTTAAGTGTTTCCCAGGCTACTTTCTTTTTCATCTAGAAGTTGTGAATAAAATGCAAGTTCTACATGAATAGATTAAACCCAGTTTTACTGATTGCTTTTTTTAATAACTGTAATTTTGAGAATGATAGTGTCCAGACATCGGGCTCCCTTAGTGTGTCTTTGTGTTGTCAGTTCTCGTCTACTTTCCAGTGTATGGTTATGTGATATGTGACCACATGAGGGCGCTGCACGTCTACATGAGCGCACTGAACGGCTCCTGCCCCTTGAGGGGGATCCCATGCTTCAGCTATGAGGACTTCCTGAAGGGACGCTGTGTGGACTGTGATGTCTTCAAGGGGACTTGTCCAACTATAGGTAATAATACATCAATACTTCTTTACTTAATTGCTTAACATACATTTTAACTTATTTTATGCATTGTTATTGATATTTATCATTATCTGACCCTCTGAAGTGCACTTAGTCAGTCTACACACGTTTGTGTTATCAACATTTGTCATTATGTTTTTATGTGACCTCTTGTCAAACTGGTATTATTATATTATCCCTTAGCCAGTGGCTAAAAGGACCTTCAGGCTTACCCTCTCTCTCTGAAAAAGAATAACATTAAATAAAGATGTGTGGACCATTTATTTTCTGAAAGAGAAAGTTTGATTGCATTATGTTTCGGAAACAACAATTTGATTCAGTAAGGATACAATACATTATGATACATTTTTGTGACAGTGATCTCAAGTCAATGTCCACTTTACTCACTAGCTTTTACAGAACTTAAAGTTTTTATTAAAGTATATATCAAATTTTATATAATGTATATTCATTAGAAATAAAAAAGTCAAATAATAATGATCTGAAACTAGACGAGAAGTTGGAAAATAAACAGTATAAGTACTGTATGTTTGACACATTATTCTAAGAAAAAAGCAAAAAGTAGAGACAAAAAAAGGATATAATAACATACGGTTTCCTCTATTGTTTGTTGCTGAAGTCAGAGTGATTGGTTTCAGTTATTTGATGGATTCAATTAGCAATATCTATAACTGATGCTTCCTTCACGGTCACAGATGAAAGACACAGAAACTGGACAAGAACAGTGGCAGTAATAGAGGTTTCCTCCAGGGCACAGAGGGATGACGAACATCCACCCACAGAAAAGAATAAGAAAATAAACCGAGCAGCCTGTTTCATTCTCTGTTAAGTCTCAGTATCACCAGTAGATACGGCGTCAGGCTGCACTCACGCAGCAGCTCTGGTCTCGTCACACGGCAGCTTCTGGCAGCTTCTTATCATCGTGACCCCTGATACACCAACACACACTGATACAGTGACACAGTTCATGTACATGGAGCCCTTTTTGATTTGTGACGTACATATAGGAGGCCGACAGTACGACTCTCACTCACTCTCTGTGTGTGTGTGTGTGTGTGTGTGTGTGTGTGGTGTGTGGTGTTGTGGTGGTGTGTGTGTGTGTTTCAGGTTTATCAGAAAACAGTGGGATAGCCATGTCTCCAATTCCCGAGGAGCAGAAGCTGTTCCTTCTCACGACTTCTTCGCCACCTTTTTGCAGTGAGTGTGTGTGTGTGTGTGTGTGTGTGTGTGTGTGTGTGTGTGTGTGTGTGTGTGTGTGTGTGTGTGTGTGTGTGTGTGTGTGTGTGAGACAGAGAGAGAGAAACAGTTTTATAGTCTCTCTGAATGGCATTGACAAGACTTGACTGTCTTCGTCACAAGAGGCAAACTTATTAATGGAATCAGACTGTGATCATTTTAGTTTGAAAACAGCTAATTACTTTAATGTTTTTATCATCTTGCCCTACTTTCTTGCCAGCAATCAAAATATACTTTATACATACCGTCTGCTGTAAGTCAGATGGTGTTCGAATCCATGTTTCCCTCTGTGTTGTTGTTCCTCCGCTCAGCTCATCACATCCTGCTGGAGCTGGACGTTTCTCCCCTGGATAAAAGCGCGGAGGTGGAAGTGACGCTCAGGACTGACAAACTGGGAACAGTGCAGAGGATCAGACTGTAGGTCCCACATCTCTAACACCACGTTTCATCTCATTTTTACTTTTTTAGGAAGGTCACTACAGCCCAGGATAACAATTAGGCCCTGATTGATTTGACAGGTTTTGATGAGGTTTATCCAAACCTGTGAGATTACACATTATCAAAGCATCTATCAGTCGATCGACAAACTCAGAAAATATTTAAAAAATCAATTTGAAGTTATTTTTCAAACAAAAATGTCAAACACTCATTATCTTGTGTTGAACTGTTGATCAAACAAAACAAAAACACAATTTGAGCCATTTGTTTGTCATTTTCTGACATTAAGATTAAAATTAGTGAATCGATAAATAATCGTTAGTTACAGCTCTAGAAAATGTATCCTCTGGCACAAAATGTCTGCATATAGTGCATTTACATGCAGTTTACAAAGAGAGAGGACGACTTGAGTTCCTGTTTCCAGAATTTTAAATAAACACAACAAGGATGAAGGATGAGAAGGAAAAAAAACACAAGATGATCAAGGGTGTTATTGCCGAAACTGTCTACGATGTTCCTTTGTTTAGAGATACTGAAAGATTGAACTTAAGATGGTGACTTCATGTTGACGTCATGGAAATCAACGTGTAAAATTGCTTAGAGAACAAAGGTCCAATTAAGGTTTTATTTAATGCACATTATCTTCATTTAGACTTATTACAAATACAGAAAAATGTAAACTCTGAGCAAAATTCAGCAGGGTAGGACTCTTACAGACAGACTCCCTTTGTTCAGCTCTTGTTGACAGACTCTAATACAACAGCTTCATCCCAGAGCTGGTACTGTAAACTTTATTTTTTTTCCCAGAAAAGATGAGGGGGCAGCTTCTATTTTGGGAGGAGAGGAACTGTATGTTCCACTGTAAAGACCCAGCCAGGTGCAAGAGTGTGGATGCTTACATTCTAATAATACAGTGTTAGGTTTAAAAAATAGGGCAAACATCGTAGAGAGATATAAGACACAAAAGAAATAAGGCAACGAGAACTGTATTTATGATCCAGCTTGTTGATTCAACACGAGTGAGGGTAAAACGGCAGGAGATGTAGCAGTCAGTCTGTTGTAGTTATATTTATTCTAAGTAATAAACACAGAAGGCAATAACTGCCCACCGTGATGAATGCTGGTTGTGTGTATTTATCTGGTCTTGTTTGGTTATGAAATTACTTACATGACACGCTGTGTGTAATGTGTGTGTTTCAGTCAGACGTCTACGACGGTGTACAGGACGGTGCTGGCTCATCCCGTCGCTCTGTGCGAGATCGACTCCATCAAGCTGAAGAACACCGGCGCTCGGTTCTACAGACAGTCAGACATCCACTTCAAGTCCATCTGTGTGTCTGAGTTCCCCTCTCTCCGGTACGGACAGGACTGTGTGGACACAACACACACACATTGTACTGTACAAGCTTCCACACCTCCTCCTGCTAGAGTTCATCCCTCTGTTTTTCAAATCATTAGCAGATGCGGGAATCCAAACAGCTTCCAGGCCTGTTTCTGTTTAGCCGCCACATAAGCAGATGATATATACAAACAGTAGAGCAGAAACAGGTTCTGGTTTGGGTTCTTGTCTGCAGCGTGGACATTTAGTTCCATAGTAAAAACAGCAATATCTAAGTGCTGCCTCACCGTAAACCAATGTTTTTAGAATCAAACACTTATCATCTGTAGGGCTGAAAGATGGCACTCAAACGTTTTTCACACCACTTATGATTGGATTTCACCAATAACAAAGTTTTACAATTACAAAAATAAAAAAATTTAAAAAAACAGCAGCCAATTCAAACATTTATACAGTTGTCAAAATATGGAAAAACACAGCTTCTGTCCTTCGTTAGTGCAGTTAGCTGTTAATGTTAAATGGTCCTGAATGGCAAAATGAAGCTAACGTAGTTGCCTCTGTAATAAACAGCTAACCGTGCTAGCAGCAGAAAGAAGCTAAATTGCAGATATATTGATAAAGTGTATGTGTCTGCCAATCAGTAACTAGAAAAGTGCTGAAATGACAGAGATATTGTGCTGCGTGTTTGAGGTAATTTAGGGGTTGACATTACATAAGTTGATCACCCAGAGAGCTGACAGGTTTATTTTTCGACTGTAACTCGTGTCACTCAGAACACGACACAAACTTCCAAACGATTCTTATAAAAATGTTTGTTTATGTTAGAAAATAAATATTTGCCAGAAATATCATCAGAATCTGTGTCAAATATCCAGTTGGGCTCGAGAAGGAAGGCTGCACAATACAGTTCTGTCAGTTCAGTTCAGGTCCTGAAAATGACATTTATACATTATTAAATCATCTGTAATATCTATAATCTTCGGCTGGATTACGTTCAGAGGTCACTGTGATCTTTTTCTGTATTAAACCAGACCAAGATCTTAACCTAACCTTAACCAACTGCTGTGAGAGTCGAAACATGACCATAAAAAAGTTTGACAAACACATTAATTAAAACATTTAATATAAAACATAATCCAGCCAACATTACGTTTCAAGACGTATTTGCTGTTGCACGTTAGTTGTATATAAATGTAATTTCTCAGAGGTTTATTATATGGTGTAAATATCATCAAATGTCAATATTGTATAAAATATTTTGCACAATATTTGTTTTACAGTCAGTTTTCACACTCATCTTCTGAGATGTCAGATGATTACTGTGGATAACGTGCCCACACCATCACTGCGATCTTCATCTTTAAAAGTAGAGTCTCCACCTGAACCACTTTGGTCCAGTATCATTAAGTCGGATGTTGTTTAATCCAATGTTTATTACTTTTTAAAATGTTAAATAAATAAATTACAGTTACAGTAAGCGCGTTTGTGTTTGTGTTTCAGGCGGGACGAGCCGCTGTGTGTGAACAACATCAGTGTCAGACGAGGAACTCCGTGGTCTCATGACTTTGTGCAGGTGTGTGGCATCTTCTGAAGGAAAAAAGATCTGCTCAAAAAGACTGGGGAAAAAAAAAACCCGTCCCGAACATCTACACTGAAGTCCCCCGAGGACACCAACATGAAATCAGTTTCACCACCTTTTTTTTTAATTTCTAATAATAAAACAGTGATCAAATCTCTCTGAATGATCAGAGAGTTAAATCTCAGTGGATGGAGCCAAAGAACCACCTTTTATTCTGGATTCACTTCACTACTAACTGTCTGAATGCAGTCTAATCCTACTGTTGTTTTGTTAATCTGGCTAATTTGGTTAATTATTTACGTTATTATTTCTTATCTTCAGTCTTGTTTTTTGTTATTTATGTTTGCCTCTTAGCTTATCCCTCTATCTGAAAAGTGTTTTTTTTTTCCTGTTATCTGGTTTTGCAACTGGAGTCTAACTTATGAACTCTGCACCATGAGACCAGACTCTGTTGTATATTTAGGGAATTTAGCAATAAACAGAGAAATAACCGGTGACTCTGTTTTGGTGTTCCCTGTCGATATTTAATATATTTATATTTAATCATTTCTCTATGACAAAACATATCATAATATGATATAATGTAATCAAGGATGTGGGTAGGTGATTTCCTCAGTTGCTACTTTTACACAAATCTATTTTAAACAATCCTTGATGATGATGTGCAGTCGATGTGTGTGTTAGCCACAGTAATAAAGGCTCATTAACTGTTGTACCTTGACAAAGCACCGACTGTGCCTTGACCTTTTGGGGTATTACAAAATGATTTTGAGCCTAATCAGGATGATATGAGCTCAGTGTGGGTGAGTGGAAGTACTGAAGACAGTCAGAGACAACACACAACACTTTTCACTGCAAACAAAGAGCTTTATGGAGAAATCTTGGCCCCATGAAAATACCTTTTTAAAAACACTGACTTCTTCATTTTAGTCCCATCTCTCTCTTTTGGCATCAAAACCAGACAAGTAATGCAGTTCACAGTATACATGTGTGTATTAAATACTCAGTTAGTTACAAAAACTAAACTTAAAAAAAAAAACATGGTCTTCCGGCGTCTGATGTATCGTTGTCCTTCAGATGAATTTGGCGTCATGCTCTGAAAATGTTAGACAGCATACATTTCTGACTGAACCAAGTCATGGTGCGTTCAGATCAATAAACTAAACATGCCCCACAAAACATAAAAGTGACATAAAGAAAATCTACAACAAAACAGTTCATACACAGGCCTGGAAAGTCCTTGAGAAGTATGCAAAACTAAATATTTTCCAGATCTTGAAAAGGATGATGCAGATCATCCCCTTTTAAGTTGTACAACATATCGTTTCATACCATGTCATTTTTTTTTTCTTTAATTTCTGACCAAATTCATCTAAATGAGTCAGATCCAGAAAATGTGTAGTTAAACGTGTGCAGTTAAATCAATGCTCTTTGTGATGCTGAGTGTAAGTGATTTGCGAAACAAACATTAAAAGTCAAATTGAACATTAAATCACGTGAAGTCCAAAGTCCAAATCAAACGATCATCATTCCAACATCAAATACGAATGAGATGAAAACCAAATTCATCCGTTTCAGAAACATAAAATCAGCTTTTATAACATGGAACAACATTTCAGACATTTAACGTGCTGGTAAGTGACAAAGTGAAGGTCGTCTCTCCTTCCTGTCTCGGTGCCAGTTCAGATCAAGGTGTCAGGATTTAAATCAGGGTCAGACTGATTATTAACATGTTTATCACATGTTGGATACAGGACCTAAAAGTCAACATGTCCAAGGAGGTACTACTGAAACAGCCTGTACAAACTACTGGCTGCTCTTTGAACATTTTGTGGATTCACTCAGTTGTTAAATTATATTTTTTTCACATAAATTAAATAGATGTGGTTGATCCCTGCTTTTCAAAGCAGCCAACAGATTTTAATGCAGAATTCAGAGCCTTTACATCATGACAAGAATGTGTTTGTAATTTTTGAGCATCAAATTGGCTTCATATAAAATTAATATTGTGATAAATATGAACTCTGCATATTGATTTTTGGCTTTTGAATCACTCAAACTGTAATTTGAAGAGAGAGTGAGAAGAGCACATGATGCTCAGGAGTGAGGATGTGAAGTGAGGTGAGAACAAGGACAGAGAGCGAGGAGGAGGAGGAGACAGCGTCATGACAAGTGACATGTGACACATTCATACTGCTATACTGTAAATAACATGGTGTTTCCAGGAGAGACTGTTCTCACAGTTTGGGAGTGTCGGTGGGAGCCAGCGGCGCTCGGCCCCTCTTGAATCGAGGTGGTAAATCTCCGTCACCATCACCTCCTGCAGAGTCAACAATCCAAGGGTCAGTTAGGTGGTGTTCGGTGGAGGAAGTAAGTGGACAGACAAAAACGAAGTAAGAAATCTTCTGTCAATAGCAAGTGTTACGTCTTAAAACTTTTACATCAAGAAAGAAAAAAAGAATAAACAATAAGGCTGCAAATTCTATTAATGCAAGCAACAATAAGAACAAAAACTGTTTGCTCCAGGTCGGATGTCAGTGACCTCCTACGGGCTCTGTCTGCTAAGCCTCATGCAAGTTCAGCTACACACATATATTATATGTACATATATGTGTATATATATATATATGTATATTTTGTGATTGAAGATTTTATAACATTAAGAGACACTTTGTCTGCTTTGAGCCATTCTGTCTAAGCAGACAAACCAGAGTTGGCTTCTTTTAATCAATGACTGACAATGAGACCTAAGGTTTTGTCATCTGCAGGCATTATTAGTAGAAACTATGTTGGAAACATTTGGTAAATTATTTATATAAATAAGGAAAAGCAGCAGCCCAAGAACCACGCTATAATTGCACTGTGAGAACGACGGCCCGACAGTTCACTAAGACAAATGTAATGTTCCCTCCATACAACTGCTGTGTCAAGAAAACCATATTTCTGCAGTTTACGTAATAAAATGTCATGATTCATTGTGTCAGACGCTTTTAGATCCAGACGTAAAAATAAAAATTCATTGTTTAGTGTTAAATGCTGCTGAGATTTTTGTCTGTCAGCTGAAGCAAAGCCATGGAAGTGGAGCCGTGCTGATGTCTTTAAAGAACAGAGTTTGAATTTGAGTGAATCAGAATCAAATGCTGGAGCTGCCAATAAGACACTTTAAGTTTTTAATGTGCAAATTTGCAGTGAATAAAATTACCGAAAAATAATTGGCACGCACAAACACACACATGCAGACACACACACACACACACACAAACATACAAACACACACATACTGGACCAGGGTTTTTCTAGGAGCTCCTGGTCGCTGCCTGCTTTGACCTGTTGGCAATTCAGCTTCATCCTCACTCACCAATCTCCACTTCACAAAGCTCGGCACAGTGAGAACCCAAACACTAAATATCAACTCTGAACTCCCCGTATCTACATAATAAACCTGTTCCACATGAGTGTGAGTGTTGAACGTTGGTGCAACATGGCGGCTTCCTCTTTAATTCTGTGCGACTGATGCCAGAAACACAGCTGTTCCGTATATGTTAGATGTTTGAAATATTTCCTGCTGACATTTTGCTGGTCACTCACTCACACACGGAACATCACAAATGTGTTTAAGGGTTTTGCAGGATGGAGGAATGTGTTGCCGTCTTGTGCAGACCCACACAGAAATGTAATATGTGTCCCTATATCAAGAGTGATGTTGCCAATATAAGTTAATAACATATATAAAATACCCATAGTAAAATTCGTATATACATATTAAACATATCTATGTGATGAACTTTTACATAGAGAAAAATTATGTGTTAACATATATTTAATTTATTCATGCATGTTTATTAAAACAACATACATGTTAAAAATCTATATGTTTATAGGCTATATGTTTTTCTTGTTAAGTTCTCATTAATTTTAAACAACAACAAGAACAGTGTTCTCACACTTTTGGACCCTCCTGTTTATAATATCAACATACACTTGACAGGCTGTGGGATGGATATATATTTATGTTACATCTGTCTACAATATAATCATACATACAGAAATGTATGTATTTGTATAGGCTAGATATATATGTCAATATACAAAATTGTTCCAATTTCTAATAGGTTTCATATATAATTTTTACATATATGTACATATAAAATAAAAATGTATATTTCATAAAATAAAATTCAACATATGTACATTTATTACATCTAGGTATGGGGATGTACATGTTGTTGCCCCCCCCATGTCTGAGCTGAAGCTGTGTTTGTACGCTCTGTGATAGAGTTGACCTAACTGCCTCACAGCCGCCCAGCAACTCAAACCCAACACTGACCCCACTGTCCAGCTATGAAACGTGATCCTCCATGGGGGGGGGCAGGGGGGGGGGGCAGGTGGTGGTGGTTGAGGCAGGGTGATGAACACACAAGCCGACAGATAGCCAAGTGGTTTGCACAGTGGATTAATAGCATGGTACTGAGTTTTTTTGGACATCCCCTCATATTCTAAGCTCTAATCCTGATCAGATAAGGACACAGCTGCTGCCCGGTCGACCTCACCGCTGCTCTGTCGCCAGTCACAGTGTAGGACCCCCACCCCCACCCCTCCGCCAACTCTCAATTCACCACACACATGCAGAATACATCCACACACACGATTAGCTGTCTGACACCAAGATGAACCCACTCTGCACTCATTTGCTGTTAAACTGTTTTCACTGTGCAGACCTCCGTTATCTGAGTGGACAGATTTATCTCTGCTACTGTACCAAACACGACCGTCAGCTTGTGAGTGGCAGAGCTGAAGCAAACACTAATGCAGAACAGCTGGCGCGGAGGGAATTTTAATCTTAAAGTATCGTTTGGAAAACAGAATAATAATCCAGATCTCCCCAAGGCTGATGAGGCCAGCGGCGAAGAGTTGTCCACACCATGTAATGTCAATCTACAGCAAGAAATAGTTTTCTATAAAACCAATAAATCAAAACTCAAATGAATCAAATGCAAAAGACCAAGCAGCCACAGCATCAGATCCTCACACGATAAATTACACAAGAGCCATAAAACAAAAATAACTATATTAATCTCTCAACATCACAGCAAAGGTTTCCTCCACGACTCAGAGTATCTCATCGGGGCAGGACAATAATTCAGTATTTTTGTATCTTCATAATATCATATAATCATTTTACAAATTATCTGAATGGTTCGTTGCAAATAAACTTCTACAAAATGAGTTGTTGAGGTTTATGTTTTACAGTTTATTACATCAGTTTAAAGAAAACAGTCTCATTACAAGGTCTGTTTAATAGCTGTTATGTAATATAAGTTTATAAGTTTTTGATCATATTTAATGATCCTCATCAGCTGATAGAGTTTGCTCAACTGCCATAGAACATTCAAATTTCCATTTTATAGATTTCCTGATGAAGATCATGCCATATGATCAAAGTTACAGAACAAGTTACTAAATGGACCGTCTGTTGAGACTGTTTTCACAACTACTGTTTCCATGGTGATGATTGAACTTTAAAACCTCATCAGTTTGACTGTTTTATGTGTAATTTGTCCAGTGGTGGAAGAAGTACTAAGTACATTTAATAAAAGTCCTGCATTCAAAATCATACTTAAGTAACAGTAAGAAAATATTATAGTATTTATTATGTAAAAGTGTTATAATATAATTTATTATCATTGGTCTATTAACAAATAAGCAGCATTTTAATGTTGTAGATGTTTGAGGTGGATTTCATTCTAAATACTTCACTATAATTTTTTTGTATTGGGTAGTTAAATCCATAATAATTTATCATATTTGTTTAAGGTGATCATATGTTTTGTATCTAATATCTAAATCTGCAACGTAACTAGTAACTACAGCTGTGAAATAAATGTAAATGTGCAGTAAAAAGTTATTTTAAATTATTTCTCTCAGAAATGGTATTACGTCAAAAATGTACCATATTTGAATAAATGTACCTGATGAACTTCCACCACTGTAACTGCAATATTATCATAAATCTGTAAATCAGTGTTAATAGAAATATTCATATTAATTCTGTGCTGGTTTCAGCCTTATCGTCCAGCCCTGTGTCTCACTACAAAGCCGGGTTAGTAAGAACTGTGCACTGCAAGCAGTCCATGCACAAACTCCGCCCCCACGCCGCTCTCCGCCCAGGTGAGGTACTTACATGTAGCTTAAGTGGTGACCCAGTGTGTTAGCTCCAGCACCCTGCCCCTCTACCTCAAATAATCCCTCTCACTGCCATAATCCATTAAGGAGCCCGCCACATCAGCAAAGTCCTCCAGGACCAGGCTGGTGGAGTCCTCACCAGTGGGCAGCTCCGGGTCTGACGCCCAGGGGTGCTGATAGTGGTCGCGCCGGGGGGCCTGGGGCTCATCCAGGTGGCTCTTCATTGGTCCCTGCAGGTGCGGCTGGAGGGGCTGAGGCTGAGCTGGATCGGACTTCTCGTGGACCAACGCCTGGTCCTCGTCTTGCCGCTCAGTTTGCTGCTCCCTGGCGATGCCGCCGTCACTGAAGCTGCCGCCCTCGCTGCTCTGCGATGAGGGGGCCAGCACGTGGTACAGGCTGGGCAGGCGGATGTCCAGCAGCACGCCGCTCTTAATGTAGAGCTTGTTGTTGAGGTTGTAGAGCTTCTCTGCGATGTCGTAGCCCAGCATGACGGAGAAGAGTCGGGCGATGTAGCGCTCCTTTGATATCAGCATGTAAAGGCGGCGGCGGCGCCATGAGATGTAGCGGGAGTCTTCTTCTGCTGTCAGGGTCACCTGGGGAGTACGAATGAAACACCTTGATTATTATTAGTGTGTTAAACTTGCAATAACAGTCTTTCGCCATTCGGGGGAAGCAGAAAACAGTTGTGGTCACGAAGCTAAAGTCATGTTTGTGTCCACCTGATGAATTTATGTCCAATATTCAGTCTCTTTTAGCTCTGTTTTTGGTCTCTACCAGCTCTTGTCTCTTCAGCTGCTAAATGCTCCTCCATGTTCACCTTTGACCATTTGGATATAAAATGTCGTCACTGCATCATTTTATCCTTGTAGACATTTGAGTTAAATTGTATCTTTATTAGTGTATGAATTTGTGAGTGTTTTGTGAGGTCACCTTGACCTTGACCTTTGACCTTTGACCACCAAATACTAATCAGTTCATCCTTGAGTCCAAATGAATGTTTGTGCCAATTTTGAAGAAGTTCCCTCAAGGACTTATGGAGATATCATGTTCACAAGAATGTGACAGACGGATGGACAACCCAAAAACATAATGTCTGGCTGTCGCCGGTGACAAAAAATAAAGATGAACTGGACACTTTACTGAGCCCTGAAACCCTGTTCAGTCTGGAGACAAACCCTGAATGTCCAACATGACCTTAGGCCCTGTTTCTACTTTAACTGAACGAATCTGAAGCGACAGGATACGTGAAAGACAAGAGGACAACTGCTTTCCTCTGTTTGGCTTATCAGTCAGATGCTGAGTCCGATAGAAGGCAACGAAAGACAACCTGATATCCACGTCTGGTTTCTCCTTCCACCTCCGACTGACTAACTTGTTGAAACAACATCAGCGTCTCCTGAAACTAACTGCACGTCTGGGACCCGTGTACAGTACCTGGAACTTTCCCTCCTCGTTTGGTCGGAGAGACTCCCACTCCGGAGAGTCGAGGAACTGGTGGCGGTGGATGTAATGCAGGAACTGGCCCTCCAAAGACACATTGATCCTGAGAGACAGAGACGCAGGGAGAGGGAGAGATACGAGGTTAAAAAGAGAGACAGGGATTAAGGAAGCGATAATGAGAGCAGGGAGGGAGCTGGAGGTCACTTTGCAGGGTCAGACTAAGACGCTGGAGGTAAATATTAGCATAAATATCCCTACGCTGTGGTTGGACTGAACAGTGTAGAGCTCACAACATTTTCAGATGAACTGATGATACCGAGTTTCCTCTTCTGTCTCATAATTTAAGACCTGAAGACCCTTCCCCCTTCAGAGGGAAGCTTTATTTAAAAGAGCTTCTAGCTTCCGCAGGGTGAGATAATCCAGCACACTCGACATCAAGACCTCGTTGGATTACGTCAAAAGTTTCTGTCAAAGTTTGTTTTATCTTTACTTCAGTGTGCGCCGAATGTAGTCAGATCTGAGCTGCAAACGATCTGCTTCATATCAATCACCTGACATCTACACAAAGAGATGGAGAAGAACTATTCTCCAAACTTTGTCTTATTCCTTCATTACAGCAGACTGCACTTACACAGAGTCAAAAAGTGAAAATTTAATCAAAAATCCAACTGTTGGTCACTGTGAACTGATGTGGAGAATCATGAATAAACAATAAGTCTAAATAAAACTCAGATTCTGTTTTGGCAAACATTCATTTCTGGCAGGTAAATGCTACTTTAGAGTCTATTCTTATGACAGTAGAAACTAGTAGAAGTCTTTATTAGACTCCTCACAACAATAGGTGTTAATTAACAGCTATGTTGTAGTGTACTGTGGTATTTATTACCCTGTGAGGCATTTACACTGCCAAGAATAGGGATTTCCACCAGGGAGTCCCATGCTAAAAATGTCACTGTACTTCGTGGCACAAAGTATGTGGACACCTCAGCCTTTTCGGCCTGGGGTTGTTTTTCTGGTTTAGTTCCATTTATACGGAAATCTTCATGCTATAGCACATTATTATTTTAGAGCATTTATATTATTTTAGATTTTAGATTGAACAGTATCCAACTTTGTGGTGGCAGCACTTTGACTCTTTCCTGCTTCAACAAGATAAGATGAGATACTTTCTCCGTTGGTTAATAAACATGGATCCAGGTCTGTGAAGAAAAGAGCCCAGACTTCAGCCCTGTCCTCAGACAAGTGGGAGCAGTTAAAGCAGAACATTAATGCCCATCGTCTTGGAATGAGGCATCTCAACAATCTCATGTTTGGGTGTCCACATACTTTTGGTCATGTAAAATAACACACTGAAAACGGATGTTGTTTACAAAACACTAATGCTAATCTTTAAATCTGAAAAGTGTTTGTGCAATCTGTTAAATGAGTATAAACTAGAACATAAAATGACAAACACGCTCTCTCTAACTCACACTAACACTCCACCACTTTAGAAAATAATTATCAGCTTTCTGTTCATTTGTCCCACATTTGGCTGTGACACCCGGAGCTGTCGACACTGTGTCCAACATTTACTTCAAGGTAAGAGGAGCAGTCGGCGTCCAGTCTCCTGTCCTAAGTACAAAGATATCATTTAACCAGCTGGCACTCTGCAGGAGGACGGCACACTGGTGAGTCACAGACAAAAATACTCTGTTTACAACATTTCTCTAGTGTAGGCTCCAGGACTGTGAGATCTAATAAAGCTCTACTTTGAGGATGTTTGGATGAAGAGGACACATTTCCTGTAACGGCTGCACGCTGCCAACAGCCTGGAAGACTCAAAAATAGAAATCCAGTTCTGGAGAAGCAAGTTAAACTAGGAGATTTGTTAAAAAATAATGATGGATGTCAGTTTTTCGTATCACAACAAAATGGATTACACCGATAAATAAAACACTATACACCTGTGGTACAAATGAGTGACACTTTCCGTAACACTAAGATCTGCAAAAACAAACTATTAGCCTAGAAATGTCATCTTCACAAAACTGTTCAACTACACAGAAGCTGTGAACAAAAGGACAAAATAACATGGACACCTGTAAAACAATGCAAACCGGTGAAGGCGCAGTGGAAACAAATAGTGATTTCAGAGTTTGTGATGTTTAGTTTTTGTTCAGACTGCTGCGGTGATGTTGACGTGGACTCCAGGATGTGTCGGTACACTGTGACATCACTGGTGGGTGTGGCACTTTAACTTAAGGTAGCTAATATCAATATGTAATGTGAAAAGAGTCTAATGATCCCATGACAAAGCAAAAGATTTCAGCATCTTAATGCTCATCGTTTTGGTTTTTATATCTGTGACTTGACTGTTTTGATTCACTGTCACCTCCACCTGCTCAGCGGCAGGCTAGCAGACACAGTTAGCAACTAGTTGGTGAACATTTAGCAGCTAAAGAGCCAGGTGCAACACCAGAGCTAAAAGAGAGTAAATATCACACCTAGATTCATCGAGTGGCCATAAACATGACTCTAAATGAATGTTATTAACAGCTGGATGTGTAAATAAGTAACAGTTTGCTAACATGTTAGCCATTTCAGTTTGAAAGGTGACGATACTGAACATGAGATGTTGTGTTTACAGCTTGTTTTCACTTCCTCCGTAACATCAGTAATTGCAGATTTAAGTAAAAACCTTAAATGCAGATGTTCTTCTTGTCATAAGTTATTTTTACATCATGATGTCGCTGCTGTTAGTTGAGTGGATTGGGTGTAATCTGTGAAGACATTTAGTCGTGGTGGTTAGCATCATGTTCTACAGGTGTGTAGATGTACACACACACACAAACACACACACACACACACACACACACTCCCCACCTCCCAGACAGCAGGAAGGAGAGCTGGTTGATGGGCGTCTTGCCCTCCACAGCGTACGTCTCTCCTGCCTTCAGCTCCACCACCTTATTCTCAAAAGCACTTGCTATCTCCTTGAACACCTGGACGGGCACGCCCAGCGGCAGGTAGACCGCCTGGTACAGGGAGGTCAGCTCCTCTCTGCGTATGCCCTCCTGGTGCAGCCGGAAAAGGAGGTGGCAGATTTGAACAAAGCAGGCCAGCAGCAGGAGCAGGTTCCAGGTGAAGACGTCCAGGCCGCACATCGTCATCCAGCCCCACAGGGTCAAGCACAGGAAGGCTGGGGTGAGGAAGCCAAAGATGAAGAGGCACCCATAGGCCCCACTGCCTCCCATGTAGCCCAGGAACAGCATGGTGTTGCCCAAATGGTAGATGGCTCCCTCCGTGTTGTTGCTCCAGCCATCGCACAGAGGGGCAAACAGCAAGTTGTCCAGCAGAGTCGAGTTGTCCAAGCTCATGTTTGAGGAGTTCAAGAGGCTTTTGATGCACAAAACAAACAAACAGAACCAAGAAGACTTCTCACCCAGTGAAAGTTGATGCTATTTCTGTCCCATGTGCAGTTTCAATCAAAAATAAGGAGCAAAAAATGTCAGAAGCAAAAGTTTGTTCCCTTGGTGTGCAGCGGAAAATTCTTCAATGTGAAGAAGTTCTCACAGAGATAGTTGTTATAGAAACACAGCTGGAATGGGTTTCTTCTTCTCCTCCTCTCATTATGTGTCCCTTCCTCTCTCCTCTGGCTTTCTCGCCCCGTCTTGTCCCCCCTCTGCGTCTTCCTGTCGTCTCCCTTGCTGTGCTCTTCTGTCTATGTCTCTCACCCACCAGCCTGCACTGTGGAAGCAACAGCTGGAAGAGAGGGGTTAAGGGAGGAGGAGGGGAGGAGGGGAGGGGGGGTGTCGATAGAGCCCTACAAGGATAACCATGTTTGGAATTGAAACCCAAGGAGGAAAGAGTGGTGGACGGAAAGCAGGCCTGCTACTTAACATAACAGAAAGAGAGGGAGGAAACAAGAGGGAGGAGAGGGACTATAACAAATATCTCTAAGAGGTTCACAGAGTGTCTCGCACATTTCTTAAAAAGTTACTCAAGAGCTGCGACACACTTCTTCCTTCATCCAAACTTCATGAGTTCAGTTTACTGCCAGGAGAGTGGCTCTGCTGGTGCATATTTAGAGACACTGAAATGAGTAGGATGACAGCGCAGGTCAGATTTCAGGTATGAACACCCAACAACGCCACCACCGCCTCACATACCCACCCGCCCTCTCAGCCCGGACAACTCCCAGCTCACAGGCACGACCCCATCTCTATTTTTCTTTTTTATTTTATTAGTGCAAGGCCATAAACAGACAATATAATATATAGTGTCAGAATGAAAAATTAAAGAGATAAGACCTGTATACTTCCTGTGACAAGTGGAAGTTGGCAGATTTAAGAAATATTCAAGGGGAAAATATATTGTGTGAGCTGTGAGATGTGTTAGTTCTTCACAATGAAATATTTTAATATGCAGGTGATGAAAAAGTTGAAACTAACTTTGTCTCACAAGCAAAAGAAAGCAAGATTTTGGTTTCTTTTTTAGGTTGCAATCACGTTACTTTATGAATTTTGATGGATGGATATGTAAGTTATGTGAATCCGTGTATGTAAGTTATGTGAATCCGTTTTCTTTACTTTCTTTACTTTGAGATTTTTGTAAAATCATTTGAAAACATGCTGAATTATGGAGCTGATTTAATTTGAACTGCTTTGTAAATTCATGCTGATTAGACAGAAAATATAGGATATAACAAAAGTGTAACTCAATGTTGACAGGAAACAACCTGAAATTATGTGAAATCATGGACAGATTGATAAATAAAAATATTTAAATTTGTACTTAGATTTGTTGAGTGCATACATCCACCAGGGGCTCACATTAGGCCCATTTTGTTAAACCAGGTGACGCCTGGCTGCAGATACACATGAAGTGACAGTGTTAACATTATGAATTGAGCCTTTAAAAGGTGTCTGCACAAAGCTGCATGAAATTCTGCTACAACAGGAAGTAGGCAAAATAATCTACACAATAAAAGTGCATATTAATTACATACTAACAATTTAATGCTACAAAAGTTACTCAGTTGCATGCCTTTAATATTATAAATCCTATAGAGTGAATATGTGTCATCATTTTAGGATCCCACTGACATACTAAAATATTTCTTAAAGGAATCCTCCAATAGTTTGGGAACAGATCTAGCTTGTTAGCTGCTTATTAATCTCAACTCTGAGTGCAAGAGCAAAGATTAATATTCATAATTTTAAGAAAACCATATGAAAGTGATTTTAATTTGCCATTTCTTTAATTTAGAAATAAAAGCTAAAGGAGTGGGTGAGGTGTTTGAAGTTGTGTCTTTAAGGATTTAGACCAGTGTATAAAACTATATATAGCAACCAATAAAATCATGCAACTGTGATGTAATAAAGAACAAACACTCCTGTATCGTAACGTTTTGAGCAGGTTCAGCAGATGAATGTGTGAAACTACATGTCCTCTGCCAGGCACTTCAGTAACAGTGACACACTGTAGAGAAAGAATGCAGATATGACAAGTATTGACTTTGCAGGGGCAGGAGTTATTTTTAAGCCTAAGTGCATACCAGGGACAGCAACTGTGGCAAGCAACAGTTTTCACGGGGAGAAAGGACCTTCACCACAGGACACTATTAATAACTCTTAATATTTAATAACTACAAAAGCATCTAATCCACACCAGAAGTGTTTCACAAACACAGACAACGAGTCTTATTGCATAGAACTTTTATTCAATTTCAGACAGTCAAACTTCTCAAAATTTTGAAGACTTTAAAAAACAATTTTCACAAAGAGATCAAACCCATCAGAGCCCAAGTGCATGATCACCACATTTCCCTTCACATAGAGGTATAAATAAGGGGGAAGGGAGAAGAAAGGAAAATCCAGGTTTGTCCTCCACTCACACAGCAGCACACTGCAGGAAGAGATCAGAACATGCAATTAGTATTTCACATTTCTGCTAGTACACAGTTAATGAAGCCGTATTCAAGAGCTTTAAACAGCTGAGACTTACACTTCAGCTTCCTATTCATTAGTTGCAAAATTGTGATGTCAATTGAAAATTAAAAAGAAACCCAAGATAAGGTCGAAGGCTGAGGCCTGGATTTATTATCATAGAACAGAAACGTGTCCAGTGATTCAGCTGGTGCCACAAATACGACCTACTACACATCAGCACAATGATTCTTCCTCCAGCCGACTGACTAAAGACTTCTCATTTACAAGAGCAAGTGAGCATGAAGGCTGCAACATGAACCGAGCTGCAGGGCTTCGGGCGCGTTTCATGTGTAGTCATGTAACTACTGATGAGACCTGCCCCCACCATCCTGCTCACCACAAACACACCCAGCTCCCGATACATGATGTCCCAGCCTGTTACTGCAGTTAGTGCACAACAATGGCTGAAATCAGCAATAGCCACGAGCCACAACTGACCCAGTGAGAGGGACGGGACGCTGTAAACAGCCTGGTGCATACAGATGCAAATGTCCACAATTCAGTTTAGATCTGAACTGACTTATCAATTAAAACAGATAATCAGCAACTTCAGCAAACTATTATTTATCAATTTAACCAAAATAAAAAATAAAAAAAAGAAAAGGGGGGCTTTACTTGCTTCTCAAAGGCAGATTCGCTCATTTGACATGCACTCAGAGCAATTTATTAGGAACACCATACTCCAGTCTCCTGACCTCTCAAGGTGTTACTGTCTGCAGAACGGCTGCTCACTGGATGCTTTTATTTTTTGCATCAGTCCTTTAGTTAAATTAAGTCGTCATTTACATGGGTTAGAGAGCGAAGGTCTACTCAGACTTCCATTAGCCAAATTTTACCAGCTGAAGGTAGGATTCACATTCAGAGGGCAAAGTGTGGCCTCCAGGAAATCTCTCATTAGTATCACTATATAAAGAAGGTAAGTGAAGGTTAATCAAACCATTCATGCTGTTGCCTCCCCAAAAATTACCACTTCACTCTAACCTATTTGTGAATCAGACTAAGCTTCATACATGAAAGCCAGTTTAAAGACTGACACGTAATCAGTTTAGAAAGGACAGATTAAATATTTCAGTTTTGCTTTACATTGATTAGATTTATTTAGAAGTGTCATTATTCTGGTGGCTCAGCTTGAACCCCAACAACAATGGATGAATCATTAACAGCTGAGGGACACAAGCAACCCAGCATGAGGAAATTATCCAGCTGCAAACAAACCAGATGATGGGACACTAAAAATAAAAATTACCTGCGAGTGTTTGAGCTTGTAACAGTTGAATGTGATACTTACCACACACACACAAAATGGAGTGGTTAAATCTTGAATCCAAGTGCCCTCATGCAATCTTTATGTGCCTCAATTAGTTTTGCACAGTTTTCCTCTCCCTTTTCAATGATGCTGTGGGGCAAAAAACACGAGGCATTAATAAATATTTTAGCCGTTTTCACTCCGAAGAAGTAGTGTTTCAGTCTCTCAGGCTAAATACTTACCAAGCATCTCTGACTTTCTTTGTTTCCGGACAAGCACAGCATGGCTTCAGTGGCTTCTTCTGCTCAGTGCTCTCAGTCACAGGAGCAGACTCCATGCTGGCTGCAGACACAGTCGACATCTTCAGGCTGAAGAGAAACGAGGAGATGCATTCACTGAACCGGCAGACTTGGAATTTAGAGTGGAAAACTTTATCATTAGATGAGTGCATTTACTCTCAGATGTTGTGCATTTTGCAATATTAATGGCCACTTCTTGTTTTGCATCCAACTTTTCAGAGAACAAGCCCTGGTCTATTCACACAGATGTTTCTAATTAACTCAGCTCGTCAGCTCACAGAAGACAATTTGACCTGTAGTAGGACAGGCTCAGGTGCAAACAACAACATTGGATTCCATGTAGTCGTTTTGGGGGATTGGTAATTGGCATACTGGCTCACTGTTAGCTTTCTCAAATAACACTGATGTTATTAGTAACACCCATGCTTTTCCCTAACAGGACATGTCCTGTTTATGTCCAAGTGGAGTTACTTAGTTTTATTGTTGAATCAATTAGTTCAAATTAAAAACAAAGAAAAAAAAAAGTCAATTAATAAAACATTAAAACAAAGGAAACCGACAAATTCTCAACCTCAGAAGTGGGACAAAGGCATATTTAGTATTTGCTTGAAAAATTAAAATCACATTAAAATAATTGATTGTCAATGAGTTGTTTCAAACATTTAAAGCACACACAGGAAAAAAAGCCAAACTTCTCAGTTCCAGCAACTAAATGTAAAGATTTGATGTTTTTATTCTACACATATATTAAACTGATTATTTTGGTTTTGCAATGACTATACCAAGCAGTAGAACAGGCAGTCACTATTCTGTCGTTTTAGACAAGTCGATTAATTGATTAATAATCTAGAGACTGAATTGATAATTAAAATAGTTGTTCGCTGCAGAACCTAGAAATTCTAGGTAAATGAAGGTGAAAGTACTCGACGGATTAGATCATGATAATAAACTTTGTTACTGATCCACTCGCATAATACCCACACAGTGACATTGGAGGAGGCTGAAATGATGTAACGTTAGCTAATATGAAACAATCAACTGGTCGACACACACAACACTGACACTAACGGGACGAGAATTACAGTTTAGAAATATCCCCTTTTTTGTCATGTGAAAGTCGAGGATAAACTCTGAACAGAACTAGATGGGTTTTACCAGCTTTAACTACCGGTTTGGAGACATTGCATAAGGCTCATGAAGTTAGCCGACAGTAGCTAATATGATGCTAACAAACAAGTTCACATAAACGCTCGTTCGCCGTGCCACGGCAGATGACTGACGCGATTGAATTAACAACAAAGCACAGCACAGCACAGTTGAGTATTTAAAACAGTGGATATTAAAACATGTTACGTAACTTACTTGTATGGAGTCCGGCTGGTAGATGCTTCACCTTCAAAATGAACGGTAAGAACGTCCCCACGTGTTCCGATTTTATACAAACTCACGTGCTCAAAAGCGTCAGCGAAGGCTTCTGGGAAATGTAGTACTTTCCAACAATGGCGGGAAGAGAATGGAAATTGCAACGATTTACAAGAAAGGTAACAAAAATAGCTCGATAAATGGCAAGACTAGAGCATATGAATATACTATTAGGACGTTGAATACATATTGTGATATTTCTTGACAATAATCTGCACAAAATGTTGTTTTTGTGTTGAGTGAAAGTTTATTTTTGACCCTGAAAACATTTGTTTGAGAAAAACAATCATGACTGGATTAACCTCCTATAGGGCCAAACTAACAAATACTCATTAAATCATTTCAAGAACTTTCAAACAGAAATGCCACAAATTTTAGTATATCGAGTATATTTGAGATGCTTTTTGACCGTTGGTCAAAAAAAACAAAGCATTTTGAATACGTTAACTCAGGTACCAGGGGAAAAATCTGTCATTTTTCAGTATTTTCTGCCATTTTATTCACTGAAAAATCAATCCCTTATTAAAGAAAATAATTGCCAGACCTTTTGATAATGAAAGTAATTGTTGGTTGCAGTCTTACAGTTCTCCTGTGATGGAGTAATGCTACTTTATCCAAGGTTTTCTGTGTTTACTTGTCAGAAAAACAAAAAGCATCTTCATAAAATGCATCTTCACAACTAATGAAAACAAAATAAGCCAGAGACAGAAACCCTCTTCAAGACCAGGGCCAAAAGATGGAGGATGTCAACATTGTTGATATTGTACTTCAGTGCTGCAATTTCTAACATATCTGCAAATATTCAAATTATGTCGAAATACCTTACTACAAAAGTGAAACTAAACTAGTAAACTAAAAGCAAGTAAGTGAGGTTTGATTTAAAAGAGTATTAAATCTTTTTTTATTATGCTAAAACTCTCTTTTTTGTCAAATTCTTTTCTACATTTTTCATCGTTTGAAATTAGCATAATAGGCACCACAGGCAAATTAAGGCTGTAACTAATGATTTTTCACATTTTAATTGTCAATTAACCTGCTCATTATCTTCTCATTAGTCAGTGAAACAGTGAACAAAGCCTGTAATGAATCCCAGAGTCTAAGGTGACCTCTGTCTTGTTTAGTCTGACCAACAGTTTACAATGATATAAAACACAAGAAGTAGTATTTTGAAGCAGTATCACAGTAATATTGTGTACTTGTATTACATTTCCATTGGGTATTACACAGGACAATAAGGAAATGTTTTACATTTTTATGATAAATGTCTTAAATTATTAATTTATTATCAAAAATCGTTGTGACTTTTTGTTAATTGACCTGTTGTTTCAGCACTACACTGATGTATGTCCCTGTAAAATATCAAAATGTGTAACTGTACAAGTGCTTTTACTGATAATTAGTGATAATTAAAGAATAAAGAACTGTCTGAGTTGAAAATGAGCCACCACACAGAATTACTGTGCCAGCTGCTTTGGCAGATATATTCTGTTCTGTAAAAATATATTGCTGATGGGTACAATATACTTACACTACAGTGGCTTGGGAGTTTTGTAATATAAAAAATCTTCATTTTCTGTCCAACAATAGTGAAGGTATGTGTGTTTTCACATGTCTGCTGGGTATACAGCGCGTCAGCACAGCAAAGCAGTGCGTAAGCAGAAGCACTGAGTCACTTATTCTAGTTTGAGGCCAGCTGTGTGCTAGATAAATGAGCAAGTAAGCATATTGCTCTGTACTCTGTGATAGATATGCACCTTCATTTGAAACATACCCTTCTGCAGTCTTTGCTGTTCTTTTCACAGGATTAGAATCCATATAGTGTGGCACTTCATGAAAACACATGCTGAATATACAAGTGGCATTTAAATACCTTTTTAATTCACTGTAGGTTTTATCTGAAGTTTGTCTTTGTTTTGGTCTTTCCTGTAGAAATCTGCCCCCTGAAGGAGGAGAGGTGTAGGTCCACAGCCGAGGTCCTGATCGTGTGCCACCTCCTCTGCCTGTCTGCAGAAAGCCTCCAGCAACATCTAGAAAAGCAGAAGTGTAAGCAATCTTTGTCTGTCTTCTTTTTATTGGTATTTGCCCCGCAGCAAACAAATGTTCTCCCTGTATATTCTAATAAGCCTTGTCCCGTGTTGGAACAGCACATCACATACCAACACACAAAACAATACAAGGCAGTAATGATGCTGACCCCGTAGAGAGGTCCAGTGTCTGCGAAAGTCACTGAGAAACATTTCACTTGCTCTGAGCAGCTACTGTTTAGGGTACAGAGAAGAGACAGTTTCTACAACAGCACGTTTTCAAATACTTAAATGGGCCATCATTATAATTTCATGTGACCTCTTGTGGTTGTGTGAGTAATGACAGAAGTTAAGACGTAAGTATTGGGACGTTATATCGCCGCAAAACTTCTTAGGGAGGATGATTTGGTTTGCAAAGTGTCTGTATATATAAAAAAAATATTGGTTTCTTTTAACCATGACCATAATCTTTACTTAACTTTAATCAATTAACACTTGTAGTTTCCTGTATTGTACTTAACCAGACTTTAACCGTAGAAAAACAATTTTCTCCGATTTAGTCATTTTTGTCAACCTGTTTAGAGACTGGGTTGGTAGCAAAGTCCTCTTTCACTCAGCCAGATGTTGTTGCCGGAACAAGATTATTATGTTATTTGAAATTTGTAGTTTGGATTTAATGCCTACCAGTTACAAACTACAATAGGTATGACATCTGATGATTTTCTAATCCGCTTTATCTAGTTCAGGGTCACAAGGGGTTGAAGCCTATTTCAGAACACACATCAGACTAGACACAGTGTTCACCTGGACAGGTTGGCAGACTATCACATCACACTGTGTTTTCCAGTCGCATTTCAAAATCTGAACCAAAAGAAAACCCTCTGCCTGTGGAATTTATCCATATATAATCTGGGAAAAGTTGCTGTTTTTCTTTCATATAGTCACTTCTGGTGTTTCCTGTGCCTCTCTACTACTGTCCTAAAAACAATCATCTCAGAAAATGTCGCATTATTAGACATCTCATCCCACGCACTAAGCTGCCAGTAATTCACCCACTGACATGACCCCTCAGTTAATCCCACCATGCTGCTACATCCTGTAATATCATTTTTGTTTTTCAATTCTCAAACTTTGCTTGCAACGAATCCCACCGACCTTCCAAGAAAAAGTGAAAAGATCCAGATTAATAAAACGAAAAGATTCAGATTAATAAAATCCCAATATTCTACTCTGTGTAATCCTCAAAATGAAACATTTCAGCGTGTGTTTTGTTTTGCTGCTGATGTGAGATGTGCAAACAAACAACACAGGAGCTGGCTCGGAGCCGCGAGCATATATACAGCATCAGGTAACACGGTACAGTGTTTAATTACATCCCTGGTAGAGACAGCCCAGACTGAACTTGTCCCTGCACACGCTGCCAGATGTCTAGTTCGCATGACAATAATTGTGATCCCCTCCACACACACGCACACACACACACACACACGCACGCACACACATATGCCATTGTCTTCAGTATTAATGTGAGCTGGACCTTACCCTCTTGACATGACTTGATTCATGTGGGGATGAGACACAGATACTGAATAGTTGATGAGCTGGGAGAAAAAGAAAAGAAGTGGATGGGGTTGGGTGGGACACGAAATAGAGAGAGGCTGACGGAGAGGGAGAGGGAGGGAGAGAGAGGGAGAGAGGGAGGGAGCAGGAAGGCGGGTATCCACTCGCCTCGCTCCACACAGCTTCAATAAGCCCTGAGGTTGGGAGCCTTGATGGAAAATTACCTTGTGACCAAGAGGGGAGGTCAGGACTGGTAGAGTCAGACTCCACTCCTCCTGAGAAGAAGAAGAAGCAGCAGCAGCAGCAGCAGCAGCAGCAGCAGAGGGAGGATGGCCTGTGCGTTCGGCTGATCACAGGGCAGCGAGGTTGGGCCATGGAGAAACTAAAAGGTCCCGCCGAGGGATGCACTATGGCCACCTGTGGATGGAGAGCCCTGCTTCTCCCACAGCTGAACAGACAGTCGCTGTACGTGTACGGCAGCGAAGTGGCCGTGGAGAAGGAATGCATCCGACAGCTGGAGAGCGGAGTCTTTGTCATTCACCCTTTCAGCCTCATGAGGTATTTAATATATCTGATAGATTCAGGCCAGTCCTGTACCGAGACACTACCCACACTGTTAGTGTGACTCTATCTTGTAAAGTTGTGCAGTTTCACTAAGTTTTTGTGGGTAATTATTTGCTTCATTTTTCTCCTGGGATTTATACAGTGTTACCTTATCTCATCTTGTTATTTTCATCCATGTTACAGCTGAAATGATGAGTCCTTCAATTGATTAATCATAAATTAATAGAAAATAGGAACAATTTTGATAATTAATATTTTTTTTAAAAGTGACAAACGTTTTCTAGTTCCAGCTTCTCACTTTCACAGATTTGCTGTTTGTTTATGGGAAAACAAGCAACTTAATTGTAACACCTTTCTGACATATTATAGAATAAACAATTGGTCAATTAATTTAGAAAATAATCAATAATGAAAATAATCATTAGTTGCTGCCCTGCTCCATATTTTTGCATATTGCATTATTAATTAGTATAAAGCATGATAACAATGCAACAATTCATTATGACAATGATTTGTGTTGCACTAAACCTTTTGCAGATGTGAAAACAAATATAGAAACAGATGCAGTGTAACTGCAACATCTAAGAAAAACATGTAAAATAAAAGAGCAACTAAAATTAGAAAATCAATAAATGAAAATTAAAATGATTGTTACTCTCATTACTCTGTGAGGTGAATTTAAGGATAATAGCTGAGGATTAGAAGAGGGGAAAAAACAGATGGATCAAATGGCTGCTTTAAGAACATGCTTTCATAGACGGCTGGTTTTGCATTATCCATGCAGTACTGTTGTTATTAGTGCGTAAGGCGATCAGTTGGAGTGAAAACAAAGAAGGAAAGAAACAATTGGGATCAGAGAGCAGAGCTATTTGAGCCTGGATATTGAACCCTGGCTGAGGATGTGTGCTGTTACAGTATCAGAGAAAATCAGCTTCCCTTACCGGCTGCAGCACGACTGTCTAATGAGTCCTTCTGGCAAACGAACTGAGGGTTACTCAAAAGTCACACATGCCCACACTCGCGTATGTCTGTCTGATGTTTTCCCTGTAGGAGTTACTACATCATGTGCATGATGGCCATCACGTTTCTGAACCTGATTGGGATTCCCATGGAGATAGCTTTTCTGGATGGAAACAGCGGGCTGGCGTGGGAAGGATTTAACGTGTTCTCAGACACGCTGTTCCTGATAGATGTGGCTCTGAATTTTCGGATGGGCATCATAACAGAGGACGGGGAGGTGAGAGTGGCTGTACTCTATTTTCAGACACAATCTGGAAGACTATAATCCCTGCGCAGACAAGCACGTACAATCCATCTCTGCCCCATCTGTAATCTACTCAATACACGAAAGGCTAGATTAACAAACTCCACCCCTCATCTCCTGGACATGGGCGAAATTGGCACTTGTTGTTTGATTTTATAACAGGGATTATTGTATTGGATGAATGAGAAGTATAACGTTTCCAATTAAGTATTATGCAGACTATATCCTGTTTGTTTTCATCTGCTCATGCTTTGTGACTTCTATCTTGCCAATCACAAATTGCCCATCTGTGTTGTTTTCACGTCTGTGGTGTTTACTCTGGACCGCACAAGCATCTGGTTTTGCCAGATTTATCCTCGGTCGGTTTCTGCCCAGTTGAAATATTCATGCATGAGCTTCAGCAACAATCCTACATCGCTGTCAAATTAATTCAGATTTTCTTTGAGGACGCTGCTCATCTCATGCCAGCATCACCGTCTCCCTTCGTTTTGGACAAACTCCCACAATGTTGTTTCTGTTCAAGTGTTAAATTATACATCTGATCGTGGCACGTGCTGCACAGCGTCTTCATCCATCTGCTCAATCTGCCGCTTTGTTCTTTTTCGCAGGAAGCTATTCTGGACATCAAGCGGATCCGAGTCAGTTACCTGAGGACATGGTTCATACCGGATGTTATAGCTGCTTTCCCAATCGGCTACATTCTGCTGTTTGCGGTAATAATGAACAGACTGTTGAAGCAGCAAAAAGCCAACAGTGTGCTGCAGCGTTTGTCACTTCACAAAGCAATCGTGCACTTAATTTTACATAATTTGTTCATGGTTTATTAGCAGTCATAAAAGTTCTTTACAGACAGGAAGTAATGAAGAAAAGGAAATGAAATGATGAGTTTAATAAACTTAAGACTATAATGATATAAATAAGTATAAAAGAAGAATAATAAATACATACATTTTTACTTCTACTATCCCAGGACTTGCAGTACCACAACGATGACAACCCCTCCAAGACCAACAAGATGATGAGGATACTGATGTTTGTGCGGATCCTCAGCTTGATCCGACTCGCTCGAGTGTCCAGACTCGTCAGGTTCTTCAACGAAGTGGAGAAAGTAAGTTCACACGCCCGACCGTCTTCAAAGCTCATCCCTGAAACTCAATCAACCTTTTCTCCCGCCTGCAGATACCTTACCAGGCCGGGCTCCGATGACAAATCTGACTTTGGCCACTTACAATGTCATTTGTAAAACGAGAGCTGGCTCACAGCTCATCGATCAACAATTGTATTATTTTTTATTTTTAGCAGAGTTTGTCTTTTTCTAAACACACGTACCCAAACTTAAGTGCTCAAGCAACCGAGGTCTGAAGAAAAGAAAAAAGGGATAGAAGAGCTCAAATTCACTTTGTTTATGTTCATGGTCACCTCATAATGAAACACAGTATATCTTGGCTCTCTTGATATTGCATAATGCATGTTGTCTGGAAGCCTTTAATCGGCAGCCAGCGCCTAAAATAAATTCTCTTGGTGTATGTTTTGGTGTCGTAGTGGATACTGAAGCCTCTCTCTTTGGAAATTGAAATAATTTACTTAATCCTCTTCGTTCCCGGGGGTGGACAGTGAAGCCACAGTGAGCTCCCTCCAATGCTCCCCATCCTTCCCTCCTTCTGATTTAAGTTCATCTTTGTTAGCTCGTCCAGAACGGCTCTGTGCCAGGTCATTTCTGCTCCGCCAGGTTTTCTTTTGCCTGGAGGAGTCAATCTCAGTGATACGATCTACCTCCATTTCAATCACAGGGTCCAGCCACTGCTGTGGCTTCTGTCACGATGTTCTTACTTTAGATTTTAATGTAGAATTCCAAGCTTGGGATTTTTTCCGGCCAGGAGATGCCACGTAGTTTCCTCAGGCTTCCACTGTGGTTTATTACAACCGGGAACCGTACATTAGTATGGACTTGACGTTGCTGTCATATAATTGGCCTTTTGCTATTTCGGCTGTGTTTCCACAATCTTGCATTGTGTCCTGATAAATAAGTGACGTTTTCAACAAAGTCAAGTGCTTCACCTTTTATTAAAAGTGGTGCTGAAAGTGTTGTATTGATTGTACATCACCAGAACTTTCGCATTGTTGGTGTTGCAACGTGTTTGCTTGGCAAAATATCAAATGTCACGCTTCTCTGTCTTCTCTTGTATGTTAAAGCTGATGGATGCAATAAATATTTTTGGTTACTTTATTTAATTAACTGTAAGATTGGGTTAGACCAGGCACACTGGAAAATGGAACAAAGGGTTAATCCAATCTCTTTTTCAGAGTTCTGGCCATCGCCCCCATTTATGATGGCAGCACTGTGCAATAAAGGGGATTCAGCAACATTTCAACTGCACTCACTTTTGGTTTTACCTGCAAATTAAGTGGTTTAGGTGATCTGGCTAAACTGTTGGCTTGTTTTACAGCCTGTCTGATCGTCTGACTGCTCATGTTTCTTGTCTTGTTGGACTTGGTTGTAGTGATGTTGTCATGTCATCAGCATTTACTTTGGTAAATACCAGGTTCTCATATCCGAAGGAAATAATGAACAAAACTATGAAAATTAGACCCAAGTTGTGATAAAGCAAAATAATCTTTCCTACTCTTTTATGGCAAGTTAAGGTCAAAACAAGGGACCTCAGGTCTGCATAATAAATACAACTCTGTCCATATTCTGCTCAACCTTTGTCTTCATGACTGCCAACATTTTTACATTGTTTTCAAGGTTTTTCTCTTTTCACAGTGGATGTTGAGTTACTGTAACTTAGCCACTGAGAAGACGTATTAACTCACTGTCCTAAACAAAAAAGATATTTTGATATTGTTGCAGGTGTGCCAGTGAGTGAGTGTATTCTGTTTGTACATAGTATAGACTTGGGAGAGGATAACGCCACAACGGTTCATGTTTTCATGTCATCTCTTTGCGGCAGGTGTCCAATGCAAACCTGGAGGTGGTCCGCCTCTTCTTCCGCATCTTGTCTCTGTTCATGATGATTTTCCTGCTGTGTCACTGGAACGGCTGCATCCAGTACTTTGTGCCCATGCTGGAGGAGTTCCCCACTGACTGCTGGGTCCGCAAAGAAAACCTGATGGTAAAACTCATTTCACAAAACGTTCTCTAGCTGAACACGGTGTGAATGATGACGGTTGTTGATGAGGTTTTTGTGAACGACGAGTAGGAGTCGTCAACTATCCACCGCAGGTTTCACCAGAAGTGCGCCTGTTAATAGTGTAAAATTGTTGCACAAAAGAACTTTGTGGTGCTTTAAACATCTACACCACACGCTGTGTTTTAAATTCATGTGAAGATTTGTTGTTGTTGCGAGATTAGAGGGTTATCCAGCTCCTCTTTGGACTTAGGTAACTCAAGTTTTCCCGTATCACGAAGCTGGCTCACTTTTAACCGGGTTATATCACCATGGCAACCCGTGCTGCAGGGCTAACCTGCACCGGAGCAGATTAACCTCAGTGGATCAGATCGAAACCTGTCAACAACCCAACTACTGACCAATCTGAACCAAATAATAAAGAGCAATAGATATCTGATCATGTGATACAGGGTTGATGCTTTCGGAGATGCTACTTACTATGACATTAAGAGACTTTGTGATGATAATTGGAAATAAAAGCTAAACCCTCTGAGGTATTTTATTAGAATAATAATCCCCAAACTGTTAAATATTTCCTGTTGTTATTAATTCAACGTGCCAGTCAGATTAACCTTATCAGACATCAACTACTTTTCTCCTCCTCTCTGCTCTCCTTTCTCTGAAATAGGCTGACGTCTCTTGTAAATTTTTTATGTGCATCAAAAATTATATAATAGTTTTTTTTATCATCAGACAATAAAGCAAAAAATACTCACTTTTCACTAAAGACCCTTTATAATAAATCCTTCGCTTTACGGTATATCCTTAGCTTTACTTTAATATTTGGAAATTATTATTATTAATGTTTCTACAGCTTCTTATTCTGTTCCAGTCATGTGACCATATTGTTTACAGTCACCTGGTGGAATACGACTTTCTGCTGTCACTATAACTGAATTTACCTGCAGGTTAACACTGGTTCAGCTTGTATCATATAAAGCACTTTATTCATGGTTCTCTGTCACATGAATGCAGTTACAGCCAGACAGGAAAACTCAGTTAACTGAACCAGCTGATAACCAGTTCAGTGATACTGGTTATCCAGGACGGTCGATGTAAGTTGGACTCAGTGAAGCCAGATAACCTCAAAAGGGCCAGACTAAGTTGTACAGGGCACAGATTTACAAATTATACCACTAATGATGAAAATATTTCTCCCAGAATGCCACAGTGATCGTGAAGTACTCATGGGGAGTTTTTCGAGCTCTCTCCCAGATGATTGCTCTCTCTTACGGCTCCATGGACGCTCCAACAAGTGAGAACTATTGATTTTCTTTATCCAGCACTAATAGCATTGAAGAACAGATGCATTACATTCTCCTTCAGATATAAATACACTAAATGAGCTGGAGTGTCGGCATCTTGTTCCCCAGACTATGTTGAAATGTGGATCGTCATGGTCAGCATGGTGTCCGGCTGTCTGATGTACACCGTCCTCGTGGCCAACGCTACAGCCATGATCGCCAACGTCGACCCGGCGGCCAAGGAGTACAAGAGCAAGGTCCTCCTGTGTGATAATATCTTAAACAGAAACATGTAATGAATTGACAGGTTGCAATTCAAACCCAAAATTCATTTTCTAATAATAATGATTTGTATTTGTGGTATTTGCTTGGGTTACAAAGGTTACAAAGATAAAAAAGATAAAACCAGTGGTGTAAGACAAAAGATATTATGAAAAGGGAATTAAAAACTGAATAAAAGACGGATAACAGTAAAATAAAAACTCAAATAAAATCAAGGTAACCTCTAAATGAATATGTGCTTTAAGATGTCACTGACTCACCAGAATATTTAACATTTGTTGAATATTGGTTAAACATTTGTTATATAAAATCTCTCAAATAATGAGATATATTATATTATATTATATTATATTACAGAGACCTTCTGATTTAATTATATCGTAGAAAATTTGATATTCACTTAATATTACACAAACTTTTGCAATTCATAGGAGTGAAGAATCAAAATAACAATTTGATTTATTTTATGCCTTTTAATTATTTAATGGTCTAATTATTAAGGTAATTTGGGGATTGAAATTTATATTTTCCATGTGATATTTCTTTATTTTCTTTATTATTAGTTGATATTTTCATTTTTTAATATTTCTTTTTATGAATGTAGTTATTTATCTTAGAGTCGTCAGTAGGAAACAAATGGGTCAAGGCTTGTTTTATTTCATTCATGCACAGTAACTCAGTCAGTGGCTCTCTGAAACTAACAACTAACAGTGATACATTATTATAATTATCATTATTATTATTATGATACATTATTATTATTATAATTATAAATTTGGTAGTGTAACGCTGTGTGTTAAAAGACTGTGACTGTCCACAGATGAGCCGTTTGGAGCACTACATGACCTTCATGAAGCTCCCACCTGAACTGCAGCTTCGCATCAACAACTACTACCAGGCTCGCTACGGAGGGAAGTGGTTTGATGAGAAGGACGTCATAGACACAGTGTCCTCGGCACTGAAAGAGGTACAGATTTGAACTAAAAGCTCATCTCTGGACTGCTGCATCCCATATTGATGCCTTTATAGTATGAAGTGCTGCGGTTCTTCCATGATAAGTGTATCTCAGAGGCAGAGTGGGGGATTCTGGAAACACCTCACCTACATCCCAGGTGCATGGAGAAGGGAAAGAGTCTGAAGAGCCCCTTCTTGATGGAAGCTGAAGTTGCAGAGCTGCATCTAGTTTTTATTTTCATGATGACTAAACCTGCAGTTATCTTATATACTTACAGACTTTTTTTGTTTGAGCAACCGTCATTAAATCCAAAGATATTCTATTAGCAACAATATGAAAAAGATAATGGCAGCAAATTCTCACATTTGAGAAGCTATAAACTGCTAATGTTTTGCACATTTTCTGTCTTTCAACTAAGTTTGTGAAGCTGCAGTGCAGGCAGTCTGAAACAAACTGAATTAAATGAAACCCATTTTAGTTATTTTAACAACCTCAGTATTTATGTGCAGATCACAGATTCTTTGTAACCTCACATTATTGACTCATTCATATACTTAGATATACATTACATATACATCTATATATATGTTATTCATTAAATGTCTTAATGTCATTCTTGCTTTATAGTCATTTAGTTGCTCCTGTTATTCATCTAAATTCTTTCTTTCATGTGAATTAAACATGTTTTATAATTATTTGTATTTATTTTTCAGCAAATCCTGATGGTGATGTGCAGCCGGCTGCTGAGAAAAGTGCCAATATTTCAGAGCAGAGATGAAAACTTCATCAATGCTGTCCTCCCCAAACTGGACTACGAGGTTTTCCAGGAGGGAGACGTCATCGTCCGACAGCACGTCCCGGGCGACCGCATGTTCTTCATCGACCACGGCCAGGTCCTCATGGAGACTGACTCCTACGAGAGGGAACTGTGTGATGGAGACTTTTTTGGAGGTGGGTTGGATTTACTCTTATTTTTGAATATCTGGAACATCGTGGAAAATATTTGTTGACATGAAAAAGCGATTTCCAGACAGCGATAGTCAGTGAATTTGAAGTGGGAGAGAAGGAATTAAAGGAACATCAGGGAATCTCACTTTAGAGACATTAACACCAGAATGTGTTTTACAACTCTGCTAAATGAACTGGAAATCAAACTGAGTACATCACATAATAAGTACAACAATAAGAACACCAGAGCGCTGTTTAAGTGTTACATAATGAACATAATGAACGAACAGAAACAACAAAAAGTGCTACAAGCCGTGTTTACATTTGTGTTTCCACTGTGTGAACACATCCAGGTACATTATGCATGAGGTGCATTAATTAATTTAAAATGACGTTTACAGCGGTTGATTCAGGTTGATATTCTGAGGTCAGTATAAATGTGTGATGACCAGTAGTGTGTGTTCAGTTTATCAAATTAATTGATTAACATCTCACAGTCGTTGAGGCTCAGTTCAGTCAAATCACAGAAGACCGTGCGGTATAATTAGATTAGTTTATGTTTCATTACCCCGACTCTGAGATATCTGTCTCTGAGGTTTCTGCCTCCACACCAATACAATGGACGTGAATGAAATTCCATATAGTGCTTAAAGCATTAAATTAAAACTGTGTCATTGTGACCTTGTGGTTAAGAGACATACTATACACTGATCACAATGTCTCTGCTTCAATGTGATTCCCACTCTCGTCACTCATTTCCTGTCACCTCTCCACACTCCTACTTTTTAATGAAGGTAAAAATGAAATAAAATAAGCAGCAACATGGTTTTCAAGAAACAGTATGTCAGAATGCAAAGAATATATTGTCAGTTTTTAAGGGATTATTTCTTTGGTGGAAAGTAGTTCCGGTAAAATTGTTCAAAAGCCCTGCAACAATAACTGCAACTAAAATAAATAATCCAAATTGTTAAATTGATGTTATTTTGTTGTTTGTTGGAACTTTGTCAGAGATGTGGCTCTCTGGTATCTAAACACTACGTCCAACAGAGGTTGTATATCACAGGGCTGTTAGCTTTGTAAACCACAGTCTCACTGGAGGAGGACATCACGCCAAACTCACTTTTAAAAATCTGTCGATTTTCTGTCTCACGAAAACATATAACAGTTACACTCTGGATAATCCACAGAGCTCGCTGTGAACAGGTTTCACTGGAACTACGTTCTACCAGAGGAACAGCTGACAGCTTGTTCTGTGGATTATCTATAGTAACAGGGATCATGTTTCTAGGAAAAGATGTTGCTCTCGTCATTTTTAGGTGCTGTGAGCTCCACAAACAAAACTACATTCCCCTCCATTGCATTGGGGAAAAAAAAGTCTCTGACAGATATTTCAAAACGTGGACAAATAAAAACAAAACTATCTGCATGTATGTATGCATGTACTATCTGTCTTTTTAAATTAATATATTAGATTATTGTGTATATAAGGGCAGTTTTTACAGGACGCTGGAACAGGTGCACACAGGAAGACATTACGCTTAAGCAGCTGCCATCTGGAGATTTAGTTAATTAGTTCACATCAATATATTTTAATTAACTAATAAATCAAAATTTATTTGGATTTAGATTTTAGTGTGATTTTGAAAGTTTATTCTTCTATTGCTTGTCACATATACATCTGCAAGCTTCTGTTTGTTAACGCAGGTGAGCACAGAGTTTGTTTTTTTCAATCACTGTCACACTAAAGTGAATAAATCTATCTTTTCCAATTTTGGGGGATTTATTTAATTCTCGGGCTTTAAGTGGGAACAGGTCCTAATCTTTTTGGCAGCAAACCTCAGCAGCGTTTAGAGCTAAGCAGGCTTCCCGAAACAACTCAGCTAAGTCTGGTTATTTAATTTAGGATTAATTGTCAGAGCTCATCCCCGTCATTAGGGTTTACTCGCTCATTAACCACGCTCTTGTGGTTCCCTCTGTGTGTACAACAGAGACGTGCGTGCTGACCAAAGGCAAACATCTGGCCACGGTGAAGGCGCTGACCGACTGCCAGTGCTTCTCTCTGTCCTGTAAGGACTTTCGGGATGTGCTGGAGGGCTTCCCAGATGTCAAGAAGGACTTAGAAAAAATGGTTCAGCTCAACTCGGATGGTGAGCTCGTATAAGAGCAAAAACAGTACTTGGACTTCTTTACTTTAGGAAAAGGACAGGAGGTGCGGAAATTTCCTGGACGATTTATGTTGTCATGGGATGGACAGTAAGACTGTGGCTGAGTCCTCATTAGGATATGTGGACACTTATTCATGGATGAGATGGACACTTTTAGTTTTCTGTCTTCTAAACTGTCAGTTATAAGCAATAAACAATAACCTCAACAGTAAAGACGGGTCAAACAGTTGATCTCTGCTTCCTTGTTGATGTTGCTATTTAGCATTGATGTTTGGAAAGTCAATGCATGTCTTAGTGACAAAACAAGACGGACTTAGTAAACACTGAAGGGACATTTTGATCCGCTTGTTTTTCCTTGTTTTGGCCGTAATTCCTATCAACACTGTACTCCTCGAGTTAACTGCTGAGATCTGCAAACATGTCAACGTTGTTGAAACAGAAGTGAGATTGGGAAAGAAACACAAGCGGTCAGACAAACATAGTTTTAAACAAATTACTACCCAACAGTTCAAAAATACTTCACTGTTAAACTGAACTCTGGTTCAACTTTGATCTTCAGTTAATTTAGATAATTTGGCTAAAGTTAAAACAGCAGCTGTCTGACTTCTTGTGTTTCTTCTCCCTCTGGACTTTGTTGTATCTATCAGCATGTTCATGAATGAGCATGAATGTCTGTACAAAATTTGAATCCATCCGTTTTTTTGTTGAGCTACCGTCCGAACGTTACCATCCCTGGACCTCCAATACTGAGTAAAAATACTGTATTGAGTATCAGCGAGTACGCAAGTCTATGCATTGATCCAACACCATGTAATTTATTAATAAACTTGGACAAAGTTACAGTTTTCCCAAAAATCAATTCTTATTAGCTGCCGTGAAACTGTAGCCTACACAGGAAGTTGATGTGTGCAGCCACCGGCAACTACTCCTTAAGAGCAGTGAAGAAGAATTGATTTCCGGTAAACAGCATAGAGTTACTTTTCTAATATTACACTGGAGAGTCCCACCAGTAAAAAGCCAACGTGTACAGTATGAAAGGCTTTAATTTCGAGGGGGCGGCTCTAGTGTTAGGACGACTAGTTATAGGGATTGTTATTCCTAGATTTATTTTTTTTTAATGATTGACAGTCAAATAATAATAAAAGAAATATTCTATGGCATTCATGTATCTGTTCATGTGTTACAGAAGGTTTAACCTGAGCCATGCCAGACAAACATGGACAGCAATCATATCACATCCGTACAGGATTAGTAGTGTACAGCCGCTGTAAGCTGTGAGGAAGGTAAAAAATCATGTTTGTCATTTTTCCTTTTCTCTAAAATGACATTTATTTTGAAGTAATATTACACGAGACAAGTTAATGCCAGTGTGAAAGCAACAAAAATAAAGCGGATACTGTAACATGATTATGAAACATCTGTGTGAGAACAGCAGGTGGTTTCCTCCTCGCCTCCCTTTCATCCAAACACGCACACGGTGCCCGAGGCCAGACGGTGTTTGTACTCGTAGAGGTAGTAGGAGGCTGGGGGGAAGTTGCACTTCATCTCCATCCTGCCCGGCACCACGTGGACGGCCACGCCGGACCCCAGCCCCTCCTGCAGCTTCTTCAGCATGCGTGAGGCCAGGTAGCGCCGCGCCCTGCCCGGGTCCTCCTCGATGGAAGCGTACACCTCAGGGGGCGGGTTGGGGATCTTCCACTCCAGGTCCACGATGAGCTGGTGGATGCGGCTCTTGTCCAGCGAAGTGGGAGTGTCACGGTAGCACGCCATCACATGGGGGATTGGAGCTTCAGACGCCACAGACAGGAAATTGTTGGGCTTCTGTTCTGCCGGGGGAGCTTCCTTTTGTTCCTGCGCCTCCTCGGTCTTCTCCTCCTTCTCCTCCTTCTCCTCCTTCTCGTTCTTCTCGTCCATCTCGCCCTCCTCCAAGGGTCCCACAGTGGGGTGGAGCATCACCGCCCAGCGCAGCCAATCGTAGTTCTTCTCCAGGGTCTTCAGGATGCTCGTGGCTGCGTCTTCAGGGGGTGCGCGGTTCTGCACGGCTTCATGGAGCTGTTGTCGAATGTCCTCTTCCGCCTGCTCCATAAAGTATCCCAGGCAGCGGCCACCCGTGTTCTTCATCTTCCTGTAGAGGGCGCCCATGCGGTCGGACCAGGTCTTCATCAGCAGAGCCTGATCTCTGCCTGTCAGAGAAGCCTGCGTGAAGAGACACAGCAGACCGGTGCCCAGGACAAAGTTTATCTGTTCACAGAGAGAGGAGGAAAAGGAGAAAGAACGCGCTTTCAAACTGTGGTTTAGATAAAATAGTTTTAACATGTTCAGAGTCTAAAGGTTGTGGCTACAGAAATCCTCTAATAGTCCTTTAACGGTCTAATGGAGCCTCAGGAACTGACAGTCCTTTTTTAGAAATTCGCCCTTTTCCTCTTAGCCACAGAAACGGTAAATTAGACCAATAACAGATTAAATAGTGAGGAGATGTTTGTCATTTGCACACACACAGAGCATATGTGCTTTAATACAATTTATAATTTCTGTCATTCTTGCAAGCTGATTGAATGCTGTGTGCAAGTTTGATCAGTCAGTGACCTTCTGTTGCAGTTTCAGCTTTGATAGTTCCTGGGCCATCAGAACGTACTAAAGTTTGCTTTCTTTTCACCGACTCTAACGCCAAACACTTCCAGGAGAGATAACAGCTGACTGCTGCCTCCTCTGCACAGAGCAGTCACTCACTAGGCAGAGGTTTGGATTTCAGGTTCTAGTAGATAGTCATTTCCCATGAGCAGAGAAGCGGCCGTACCCAACACCAGCACATATTTTTAATGCATCATTAGCCTCTTCGTTAGTGAAAATGAGATGTTCTCCTCTGTTGCTGTCAGATTTGCTAATTTTGTCTGGTGTAGTTTACATGAAAGTCAGGCCTAGCACAGTTTTAATGAGCTGTCTATGACGCTGTATTGTCTTTAGCAGTACACCAACCCATCTGGGATTTCTGGCGACGACACTGACCTGAAAAATGTTTCCAGATCTCGTCATTACAGCACAACAGAGGCTGGTTACGACTGTTCTGGCTCATTCTCTCAAGCCGAAGTGACCACTTGGCCCCCGTGAGGCCGTCCACGCTCCTCTCTTTCCTCAAAATAAACCTCGCAGATGTCACAGACTCATTGTAAAGAAAGAGCGCTATGAAACGTTATCCCAGGTTAGAACAGGGAGTCTGTCAGCCTCTGCAGATCTTTTTGTTGACGTCAAAGAGAGTTTCAAGCATGAAAATAAATGGGGGCACGGTTATTTTAGTTTTGAATTACTCATCCGATTTGAAGTGTACTTTATAGTTTGTCTGATTTACAAAAAAAGAAAAGACATCTTCGGAGTTCTTGTGCCACCGGGAGAGAAAAATCCAGCATGACACAAAAACTTATCAACAACAACGTGTTTGTATATGATAAGTTTTACAAGGTTAAAGAAACGTAGCTGTGGTTTCTTTGCTCAACAAGGTCACGTTCTCCGGGTCTGGAGGCGGTGACTTTGATCATTAGAGTCAGTCATAGATGTCGCTGCCCTTTGTCTCAAAGCGCCGTGGATTCCTCGGCTCCTTACAACAGGATCAACTTACGTTCGTTGCATCAAATTGTTTATTGGGTAATTTTCACTGAGATTCACTCCGACCGCAGCGTGAGGGCAAATTTAGCCCAATTCTTTGCGGCTCAGTGAAATCACCGGGCTTTTATCTCACTCAGTGCATTTATGCAAATCAGGTCACAGTGCAAACAAGTCCTTGAAAAGAGCAGTGCACAAACAGATCGCTCCTTCAGCACCAATTTCAAGCTGAAATTGCTTCAGCATTAAGGCTCATCCACTGAGTCTAGCCCTAAAGCCCCTTGATTAGTCGACTATGGACTAATTAGAGTTTCCAGGATGAAAACCCTGTCTTTACAACAGTGAAGAAAAACAGCTGTTTTGAACGTGCCAACACTTTGTATAGTCCTCACACTGCCTTTAAAATGACCTCACATATCGTAAATGCTGGTGCAACGTAAGTCGTGCCGACAGTTTTATCTATAAGATAAATGCAAAATTAATCTTATGTAACAAGCAAGCCTGTGACTGCTGCAATGTCCAAGGTCCATTTCCTCTCGAAGTGGACGCTCATTAGGGAGCAGGCTGGTTCTGTGTGTCTTGCTCGAGGGCACTACAGAATGACAGATGGACTAATGGACACAGTGACTTTTTATTTTTTTAAAAAGTGAGTGGACCATCCTGTCGTCTGTAGTTTTTATGTAAGAAATAGGACAGAGAACTTTGATCATATGCACAAAAAAAAAAGAAAAAAAAGGAAGTGTGTACATGTGTGGTGCTCAAACCTGTGACATTACAGTTACACCACAGTCATGTGATGTTTCAGAGTATTCAGGTTTTAATTTTAACCCTAAAGCCTGCTCAGCCATCGCAGCACTCTGTTGTCCCTCCTTTTAGTGGATGAAAAAACTCCTTTTGTTTTTTTTGTTTTTTTGTTTTTCTACAACAGTGTAGGCGAAAGGAACTTGCCAACTCAGCTCACAAGAAAGACAACAGAAGGTTACAGCTCTCCTACATTAAATATTCAGTTTATTTTCATACCAAGAAGATAGATGCAGCATGCTTCATTCCTCACAGGACCTCGATGTTTTTCTGTCACATTTATCTTTTTGGTCTGGAAACTGAATTTTTAATCCTGTACAGCTGTGCTCCTCAATGCTTTTTTAATTATAAACTTGTCCTCAAAGAGATTGAGTGTATTTGCATTATTTTCATGAAATGCCATCTGAAATAGATTCTTAATTCTTAGATGTGTTGCCATTTAAGAATATAAACAGATGACAGATCAGCAGTTTAAAAAGTTTTCTGTGCAAATGTCCTTTTTCCTCTCCGTCATTTTTATTCCTTCCTACATATGTGTGCACGAGGATGATAGCTGTGTCACCTCAGGCTTCCTCCTGCTGTACTTAAGCCGGGGTGCGTGACTCTGTATAAAGACTTGTAAGATAAGACAAAATGAAACTTTAATGAACCCTGTAGGGAGAAATGAGTTGAACACAGAGACTCCCCGGCCCCTCCACATTATCCCCTGCACCTTCACCAACCTTGACGCAGAACTCCCTCAGCTCCCAGCGTTTGGGCTTGCGGGTCAGTATGAGCTCCTCCAGCAGGGTGGGCTGGTCGGTCAGCGCCGACACTCCCATCAGACGGTTGTAGAGCGCCGTCAGCTGCCTCTCCAGGCGGTAGTCCTTCACGTACTGCAGGAACACCTCCGTCTCCTTCTTGGTGAAGTCTGACTGGGCCCTCACCTGGAACAAGCAGGGATGACAGGTCTCTTTCTCTTTAAGATAAAAGGGTCACTTTTAGGGAAACTTTTAGATGAGTAAGAAATAATATGATTCATGTCTTGTCTTGCATTTCATTTTACATCTCTTTGTGTTTGTTATGCATCTCTTTGTGGTCATCTTTCATCTCCTTGTGGTGTTTGTGGTTATTCTACATTCTTTGTGGTCATTTTGTGTCTCTTTGTGGTTGTTTTTCACGTTTCTTCATGAAGTTTTACTAATATTAACACCTCTCCACTGATGCCCTGCTCGTATTAGCTGGAGGTGGGAGGTGGCAGGAGGCTTTTCAACACTTGCAACCATTGTTAAGGTTTAAAACTTGAGTTCGTTCGGATGCGCTCAGAGGACAGTGGTTGGTTGAATCTGCAGGTTTCCTTCTTAGAACATATCACAATAATGATGATCGTGTTGCCAATAGGTTTGATTCTCCACCATATTTATCTCTTTTTACCTTTGTAGACTTATGTCATTTCATCCTATATCAACCAACAAACCCTCATGGCCTATTAATGAGTCTCACAGGACATCTTCAGTGTTTTTAAAAGGGACTGAAAGTGAAATACAAGTTTATTTTTAGAGCAAGAAGACTTGAAAATGACAAATTCCAAAGCCAGAATTTAATCCTCCACCCTGCTGCCACCCCCTTTTTTTAAATTTCTGCTTGTTGTAGTTGTTCCTTGTTGATGAGGAGCCACATTTTCTTTCATATTCTCACGTCAGTAAAAAAATAAATACGTGAAAGAAAAACATTTTCTATTAACATTTTAGAATGATTACAAAATAAAAGGCATAAGCCTGTTAATACTAAGTCTGGCACAACTAAACAGATGCTTCAATCATACATCTGGTCACATATCTACATTTACATAATACACTTAGCATGATGAGTTCAGTCACAGCCTTGCATCAGTGTAGGGAAACTGGCAGAGTGCTTGCTACTCCTCAAGGTCAGCTCCACCTTACAGGCCTTTTGTAAAAACACGAAATCTTGTGCTTCAGTCAAATGAGCTGTATATACACATTTTCTTCTCTGCAGCACATTGTTCAGCTTTAATTCTTTAATTCTATGACTGACTCCTTTGTTTTCTGTTTGTGTTCTTCATGAGACGAGGTAAGGAAGTTGATCTCAAGGCTGCTCAAGGACAGTTTCACCTCAGACAACAGCTACAGGTCAAACTAGCAGTGAAACATCTGATGCCTGCATCTGTGTGTTTTAAGTTCACATCACTCATCAGGGGAAATAAAGTCCCTGATTTGTTGTTTGTCCTTGAGCAGAACCTTAAATCCCTACCGTTCACAGGAGGGACTGCAAGTTGACAATGTCACGTCTTTTTCCTCTTAAATGCACAGACTAATAAACAGTGGGCTTGGACCTTCCCTCCAGAGACAAGTAGCTGACTGTACTCAGTATAACTGCATGCATCTGATTCAGGGACAGTTTCCTCACAGCTGTGCCCAGTTGGTAGTAGACCACTGCCAGGTCGTCCTCCAGTCCGTGGACTTCCTGGTCATCCAGCAGGCCGTGACCCGTCGCTCCCAGCTCCTGATCGATGTGGTCCAGGTTCTTCTTGGCCAACTCCGTCTCCTCCGCTGTGGCGCTGCCGCCCAGATAGGAGCAGATGCCCTGAACCAGGACCCTGAACAACACACACACACACACACACACACACACACAATCCTGATTTACTTTGAGCGCGTGATATGAGCAGTGACAGGTCGTCATATGGGAAGGAAATGCATTTGGAAAACACATTATTTGCTTTTTAAACAGGAAATTACTCACTATGTGATTTATGATATTTAAAACTCACCTCACAGTTTGCATGTAGCCCACTGGCTCCAAAACTTTCCCAAACATCGCCATGGCTCCAGAGCTTTGTACTGACAAAAGCTAAAGAGAAAGTCGAAGAATTAACTCCACATCCCTAATAACTTATGTAAGAAATGTTTGCCATTTTTTAGAAAATGATTGAAATTGGTGTAAATCTATTCACTCATCTAATAACCCATTTACCAGACCACACCTGAAACCTGTTGAGCTCTCTCTAACTCACCTCAGTTGTTCTGTCTCAGGTCTGTACTGACCTTCACAGTTTGTCCAATATTTATACTCTCTCCTTAACAACCAGCAAATCTGATAAGACATCTACACACCTACTGTTCTGTCCGAACTCCACAGGATGATTGGAGTAAAACAAAATAATGATCCATGATAGGAAATTTATAGTTAGTTAAGAGGTAGAACTCTTCACACGACCGTTTAATCTGTGGGGATTGAAGACAAATAAATGAGGACCTCAGGGGGTCCGTGCATGAAGTGTAATTCTTCTGCAGTTTTTCACGTTGTGTAATGAAAAATGACAGTTTAGATTGTATTGCTTAATGATTATTTTCATTATTTATTGAACTGCTGATTATTTTCTCAATTGAATCAACAGTGATTGTTTAGTTTGTACAACTTCAGAAAAAATGACAAATCACCATCTAATTCAGCCAGAGGTCAAAGTGAGCCAAACTTTTGCAATGTCTTGTCTAACTGCTGGACAAATAGGCCTATAAAATAAAAGGCAGCTAACCATCACATTTGACAAGCTGAAATCGTGAAACTTTTGCCATTTTTGCATGAAAAATTACTCAAATGATTTTGTGTCTCCATTAATTTTGTCTGAGGTGACAAATCATTTCAGCCCTGACTGATCATACTGCTGGATAGATTAATCTATGTTTTATATGTAAAATCTTACTTTGCAACAAATAGTTATAGCTGACAGATATATGTTGTAAAGTACATGTAATAAATATAAAGTTGCATGAAAAGATAACAATCAAGTAAAGTACAAATACCTCAAATTTGTACTTAAGTGCAGTACTTGAGTAAATGTGCTTGGACAATTCATTGTTTTACATTAAGCATAAACAGATTATTATAAATTTATTTATTAACTTATACTTTTACATTTTTGTCTTTCATCAATTATGAGATACAACACAATAAAAAAGGCACATAAATATAATTTAATATATGATATGATTAAAACAACATAAAATAGAAGATAAAAATAAGCTAAAATAAAATTATGTTGAATGAAATTACATGAATTATTTTTTTCACTAATCTTCGTTCAGTTCCAAATGTCAACATAGGGGGCGCGAATGAGACAATTTGGAAGCTGAGCACAAGAAGAAGAAGAAGGAACTTCCGATTGATGCCGGAAAACGCCGAGGCGCCAAAATCGAAAAGTTATTCCTGTCAGAGGAGAGAAGGTAAACAAACGGCTCGTCCGGCCGTGTTAATTGCATGAATTTGTAATTGTTTAGATAATTTAGACTCCTGTCTGAAAATGGACTCGACGACACGGTTCTTCACGAAGCTGAGAAAGCTGGCCGTGACTCTAGAATCGGAAACTGCCAAGCTCCAGCACTCGTTTGAAAACCGCAACAACGACGACGGGGACAGCGGTGAGTGACACACCGGCAAAAGCGAGCATGTTGTCCGGCCTCTTCAAAGTACGGATAAATCATTCAGCTAGCTGCTACATGTCAATACCAGTTCATTTCTTATTTCAGACACCGCTGCCAAAGCGATGCGAGCATACCACGAACTGAACTGTGAGGTCGGGAACCTAAAGGTACGACGACGACGTCATGATGGAAACTTCATTAATCTGATATTTTTTAAGGCAGCGTCGTTTAACGGAATAGCAGCCACTTAGCTCAAATACGCCAAATATTACGCTGCTCAGTACATTAAAGTTAGTCAGTTATAATAGTGGGGGAAGAAGTAATCGGATATTTTGCTTATGTAAAAGTGCGAATATGTAAATGTAAAAATATTCAATTACAAATGGAAATTCATTTTTCAAAATCCTACTCAAGCAAAAGTAAAGTATTATCAGCGAAATGTATTTAAAGTATCTTAAAGTAAAAGTACTGCTTCTACAGTAAAATGATCTTTGTTAATGGTACATTATTATGCGTGACATTATTACATGTAAATGCTGGTGCATCAATCTATAGGCAGTATTGTACTGGTCAAAGTGGAGCTAGTTTTAACTTATTTATATACAGTAAGGTGGTTTAGTCCAGTGATTTCCTGAAGGGGTTGTGAGATGATTAATGAAATAAGAATGAAGAAAAAACTAAATTCCAATACACACAATTCTAAGTTTAAATAGAAATGTCTCCTTACAGACATGAAATGTGACAAGGAATATACCTGTCAGTTGTAGTGGAGTAAAAAGTGCAGTGTTTATCTCTGGAGTAGAAGTATAAAATAGCAGCATCCTCAAATTGACAGATTTGAAATTAAGTTTGGTGCAAGAGTGACAGCTGTATAGATCACACTGCTCTGAAAAGCTGCTGATTAAACATCCTAGACTAATCAATAACAATAAAGTATTCTTGTTGAAAAAGAAAAATTCTGAAATGCCCAATCAATGAATCTGTTGTTATTTGAATGATTGCTTAAGCCATTTGTCCAATAAACTGTCAGATACCATATAATAAAATATTACAAACCAATATTTGAAAATATAAGGAATTTTTATATGTAAAAGTTTTTAAAATGTTTCATTCAGCCTGTTTCTAAAACACCATGTTTATAACAATCTGTGTAACTGTTAACTTTTGAAAGGAGTGTACTAATGGATCCGGTCTGTCCTCATGCAGGGGCAGATCCAGAGTCAGTTGACTCAGCAGAAAGCAAAGGAGAATGAGGTGAGCAGCTTCATTAAGGCCTGCAGAGTGATGGAGCAGAAGGTCACTCAGGACATCCAGGTTCTGAAGGGATGCTGGGAAAAGTATGGGTACGACGCTCCCAAAGACGCCCAGAGACCAAGCAGTAAGTAACAGTTAATAGAAAGTATTAAGTCTGTAGAGATTGGGTTGGAGTTTGATCTGCACTAAGTTCTACAGTATTTCCACACTCATTTCCACATTGTTGTACAACGATATTAAGTTCCACCACTGAATCACATAAAGTTAGAAACCATTCCCCGTTATGTTTTCAGATTTGAAAAAGCGAGAACAAACAAAGTAATATTCTAACTATATTGATATTAGAATATTGATAAATTCTTATATATCAAATGTACATCACACTGTAGCACTTCTGCCCTCTGTGTTTCCTTTTGATCTACTGCAGTATTACACTAAAACTGCTGTGGGAATTGGTGCATACAGCAGGCACTGGACTTGTGGCAGTGCATTAATTAAATGGTTGTTATCTTTGTCAGATAATAAGTTACCCTGTTTTCCCCATCAAAAATTTATTGAGGTAGAAGTGACACTATAATTTTATAACTTTGACACTTTGTTGTAGCCTTTCTTTTAAAAGAGCATACATGGTAAAAGATTTGAAATTCTCTATCTGTCTGTCCTTATACTGAAATTTACCTTAGTAAAACCTTAGTTAAACCAGGTCTGCAACAGGTTTTAGTAAAACCTCAGATACAGTGACCTCTACAGGAGTTTAGGTACTTTCTACAGAACACAACAACCTAGTTCAGGTTACACAGGTGCAGTTCAAACTGCAGCTTCTGACCACAACCTGACCCTAACCTTAAACCACAGCTAAGCTAATGACAGAGCAACAGCTTCATTATGTCTACTGCTCTTAACTATTCACTACAGGAAACAATATGCACTCAAAATGTGTTTTTATTGTGACTTTATCTTGTGCAGAAGACGTGGGTCAGGAGTCAGATGCTGAAGATCAAGTAGCAGAAGAGAATAGAAGTAAGTCAACTGAAGGAGAAGAGGGAAGCGGGGAGGAGGCTGGAGATGATCAATCCTCATCACCTGTAAAAGTGGGGCCGCCGCCCTTTGCTGACGTGCTGCGAACCCCGCAGCTTTCTGACTTTGGTCTGTCTGAGATGCAGCTGAAGAGAGCTCTAGCTGGGGCAGAGTGGTGCTCTGAAGTGCCCCCTATGCCCGAGATGAGCCTCCCTCACCCCTCACTCAACACACCCGCACCACCACCCATGCCCTTAACTCCCAAATGCGCCCTGCGGATGGACGATGACGAGCTGCAGACGCCCCAGATGCATGACTTTGGCATCTCGGAGCACACCATGTGTCTGAACAACGACTTCACCATGGATCTGCTCCGGAAGAACGTTGAAAAGCCCCAAAGGTAAAGCCTGATAACATTTCAAGCAGTATGTGATCTTTATCGACCTCTGCTGGCAACATGCCGGACTTGCAGTAGTTCTCTCAGGAGTCTATAGTTGCTGCTTATTGCTGCTTTATGAGTGTCCTCTGCTTTAACAGACCCTCACAAGACAAACCTGAACCACCAGTGGACTCTTTGAGGGAGAGTTTGCAGACAAAAGGTAGGAAAATGCCTCGACTACTAACTTTACCTCTGTTTCTCCTCAGGAGGGTTTATTATATTTGTTGCACCTCCTCCTCCTCCTCCTCCTTTTTCTTACGTTCAGTATTATTAAGGACCTCGTTCCTGACCAAGCAGCCTCAGGTTTAACCCACTCCTCAGTATTGTTTATAATTTTCCAACACTAGTGTCGCATGAGAATAACAGAAAGCCCTGAAATTAAACATGTTGTGTTATTCCTCCTTTATCACATTCTTCTTAACGCCATCAGCAGAGAACTTGGAGTCCCCGAAACCACCTGTGTTTTGTACCCCGGGGTTCAAAATCAAAAAGACAAACAGTCACTGCTCCCCACCTGCGCAAGTCAGTGGTGACCCAGAATCCCCTGTTTGCCCTGGACACCTGCCTACCACCCCTGAGGTGCCAGCGTTTCAAACCCCATACTTGAACCGACTTGTCAGCAACAAAAAGGTATAAAGGTGTGTGTGTGTGTTTGTGTGTAACATTTATACATTATATGTAACATTTTTAACATTTAATTCTTCATCCTTTGTGCATTCGCATGTGTTCACAGAGTGCGCAGCAGCCCGAGCCGATCACCATGGAGGCAGATGATGACAACCACACCTTTAAACTTGCAACGCCCACTCATAACGGAGCAGCCGGCTCCAAACGCTCCTGGGAGTACAATGTGCCAGAGATGTCTATCATGGGTGTGGAGGACAAGCAGATGCCGGAGATGCCAAACCTGGAGTCTCTTCTGGGAAATTCTCTACAAACTGTAAGACCAAAGGAAAGATTAGTAAAGCAGCAGTGGACCTGTGACTCAAGGCTGGTGATTGCCTAAAGTCTTTCCAATCACAGTCAGAAATTCACAACCCTTTGGTCTGAGGGTTGTGGTGATTCCTCTTCTTGCAGCCTGATAAGTCAGTTGCTCAGTGTGGTTAAATCAACCCTCACCATCCCTGGCTCAAGTGCCCTTTAGCAAGGCACTCAAGCCCTCAACTGTTCCAAGTTTCTTTTATTATTATTAAGTATCTGAAACTTTTTTGGTAAATTTAACAACAGAAATGAGCTGAAATTTCTCAAATTTGCTTTTGACTCCTGTGCAGTGAAACAAGGACTTCATATGAAAAGATCATTTCATTTGTTTGGTTTGTTTAATGTTTTACCTGTCTCATGTTTACTTCCCAGAGAAGTGCAAAAATCCCAAAGAAGACCAGCGGGCATGACAAGGTGACCAAGGAGCCCACTGTCAACCGTCTGGAGCTGGACGGACCCACCCAGGAGTTCAGCTTGGGGACACCTCGCATCAGGATGGCCTACGAGGAGCCCAGCACCCCAGAGATGCCTGACCTCAGCTCTGTTACACAGGACATCTGTAAAGTAAGTTGTTCATTCCCATTAAAAGCGCATCTTACAGCTAAAAAGACCTGTAGTGTTGTCATAGCTGATGAACTGCAGACGCTGTGTATTGCTGGCAGTTTTGATTTCCCTGCCTCCCAAGGAGACTTTGGTTTTATGCCTGTTTTTTGTTGTTGTTGTTGTTGTTGTTCTTGTTCTTGTTCTTGTTCTTGCTCTTGTTCCTTTTTCATTTAAAATGTCTTTTATTTTGTAGCTTGTGTCCCAGGCTCAGTTGAAGAAGACTGACGTGGCGGTTGTGCACCCAAATGTCCGACCAGAAAAACATGAAAACAGGTGAAAAAGAAAACCACTTAACACTCACTTGGGACTGAGGAAATGCTGTAGGTGAGGTGGCAACGCCTTCACTAGGATTTATTTTATAGCCTCTCCTTACTAAAGTTAAAGACCAGATGAAATCAGAAAAGAATATTGGTTGAAGATACTGAAGGATCTAGTATCATTTCATATATATTCAATAGATTTGGGAGTTTTGGGGTGTTTCTTGTTTTTGTTTTGTTTTTTCCCTCCATCTTGTTCTGTCCTGATGTCCTTCAGTCCTGTGGTTTTCAAATCAAGATTTTAATTGTAACGTGTCCTCTTCCCAGCGCTGCGAGTATGCCTGTGGTGTCAGAGAGTGAGTTTCAGAGTTTACCCAGCTACCTGAGGCAGATGACGCTGTACAACCTCAACCAGGTCGTCCACAACATCAACAAGTTCACAGCAAAGTTTCACGGTCAGTGCCGCAGTGCACTCATGAGCAAAGTTAATAAACAATGTTTTATTTGTAAAGAAGCTCTGTGCTAATCTGTTGTATTTATAATCAGTTTATTGTATTTTAGTTACTGTGATATTGATTTTTGATGTCCATGGTGCCAGTAGTTTGGCCAGAACCCCTCTCAGCCAATAACCATGGAGTAGAATACACATTTTCTCATGTAGTTCATCACATCAAAAGGATCAGACGGCAACACATGAGTATTTTATCTTACACTGCATGACTGTATTACATGGTATCTATGATGTCACACTCACCTGTGTAAACTCACAGCAATCAGTGTGACCCCAGTTACAGCAGCAGGCATTAACCACATCAGCTGGATCAATAAACTCCACTGTAACCACTGATAACAGGCCACCTACACCTTCAACCTTTAACCTTGTTTTCACTACCACTATGTGACCATAAAGGCTGGAAATACATAGTGTGATTTAATAGACTGCTTGTAAAGGCTCAAGTAACAAGGTCATTTCACATCAAACAACCACAGTGCAACTCCAGTGGAAATCATATGGTATATATTCAACTGTCATGTAAATTTCATCTAATCAGTTGCTGTTCTGTGGCGCCCCCTGCAGGAGAAAAAACTGAGCTTCAGATGGAGGACCTGAAGAGGATCACCAATCTTGGAACAAAGACCCCAATATACATCCTCTGTCTAGCTGAGCTCAAGAGGCTGGAGCAAGTGGGAGGAGCCAGGGACACCTCTGTTTACAAACTGAGTGCACACACCTGAAGGTTGCTTGGATACATTACACATTGTCCAATTGGGAGCAGAAATCTAGTCTCATCCAGACTCTCAAAAACCTGCTCGTACATCCAGAAAGCAGGCGTGGTAACATTTCTATCTTTTTTTTTGGCCAGATTTTAAATAGCTCTGATGCATGGCTGGTCAATAACTTGAACTTCTATAATTTGATGGATCTGAATATAAGCTGACATGTATATAATAAATCATAACACATTTCTGCACATGATATGGAAATGAGCTCTCCAGAGACTATTAACTGTGTATTACATTTAAAGCTTTAGGATATTTAACTTTAAAGAAACATTTAACTAATGGTGGATAAAAGGTGATATGAGTATTAACTCAGTATAAGCTCATGACTTGAACTCTAGTCTACAGCATTAATGATTGATGCTAAAGAAACACTTCCTAAAACAAATGTGGGCACATACAGTAGCTACTGTAAAAATGTAAAAAAGATAAAAGGCCAAGTGTAAATAAAATATCACATAAACACAATATAAACAGTAATAGTCATTCATGAGTCCCAGTTTTTGAGGTTTAACAGGTGTATAATACCTTGTATATCATTTTTGAAGTAGTAATTTTGCCCACTGTATTTCTCTCTGACCAACCGGCACCTGCCACTGTTTTTCCATATATCCTGTGATTGATCTTAAAATCTATAATTCAATGGAAACTGGGCAAACTCTATTTGTTCAGGAAGATCATATGATACACTTCCAAAGCTCCAGAACAGCTACAATTGGATCCTGTAGTGAATTTGTTTTATCGGCTGCTGTTTCCAAGGTCACAGTCCTTTCGATCTCAATCACTGTATGATGTAGCATCAAGACTTCCCTTCTTTGCATGAGTAAGAGCCTCTGTTTGCAGTGGCTGTTCTTGTTGTAAGTCAATCGAATGACTAGAAAGAGATGCAAAATCATTACACAGACATGCAAAACATCCTCAAGGAGACAGAGATTTAAAAAAAAGTTTCATAGAGACACAAAATGACCACAAAGGGATGCAAAACGATCTCGAACAGGCACAAAAAGGTGATAAAACGACCACAGAAAATGGAAACAAACTAACACAAAAACAACTACTAATGAGATGCAAAAGGCCACAAAGAGATGCAAAACAACAGATGCAAAACTACTAAAAACACAAACAGCTACAGATGCAAAATGATCACACGGACACAAAGAGATGTAAAAAAAAATGTGTTTGTCTCTTTCAATCTGGGGGTCTTGCTCTTGTGTATGAGAGGTTGGGGGGCCTTTTATGACTATCTTTGCCCAGGGGCCCAGAGTTTCATAATCCGTCCATGCTTCTTTGACCCTCTAATTGCATATTTCAGATCATGAATAACCCTAAACCATAAGTGTCCGCATACTTAAGGCCGTGTAGTGTATGTGAAGTCTGGTACGACCACCATGTTATCACTGATGGTACTATGAAGTTTGCTAAAAGCAGGAAGCCAGGGTCATGATTGCTAAAGTCAGTTATACATCAAAGGTAGTCAGTTAACAGCTACGTAGACGCTTTCTCCCGCGGTGACTTATTGTTGTTAATTAATCTTATCCGCCTCCTGAAACCACCAATAGTTGACATTTTGGTTATTTCCACCATATTTAGACCCATTTGCTAACATTGCAGACCGTTGGCGTTGTTGTAGCACCGCGTGAGTAAAGATCTCATTTCAGTGACGTCGCCTGAAAACGATCCAATCAGACCGTTGAATGCAAACGACCGTTAATGACGTTACTACCGTTTTTTCCCTTTTTTTCCCCACCCTCTCGTCGGCCACCATTTTGGGAGTCAAAACACCCAACAAATAGCAGCGCACACCTCCACGCTTCTCCGTGGCCTTACTATGGTTCACACATGTGTGGTGGCAGGCTGTAGGAACAGAAGGACACCAGGCACCACCTTATCTTTCTACCGTTTCCCGCGGGACCCCGAGAGGAAGCAGCGCTGGATAGCTGCTGTGAACCGAGAGGGCTGGGTGCCGAACGACGGCAGTCGGCTGTGTAGTACTCACTTCATCTCAGGTATGGATGCAGCACAACTCCGAAACAGAAAGTAGACCACTGTTTGTTTTGATCCGGGTCAGATTAATGTTGCTGAAATTCCACAGACAGAGAGATTCGAAGTGCGTTTTCTTTCTGAGTTTTGCTACCAGTGGATTAGGGATATTTCTAAAGATTGATGGTTTGATTAAATTCAAATGGGTACAGTGTCATATTTGGTGTAATTTCAGTGGCTAATACGCTTGATTTAGGCTTTAATCTAATTGTTTTCTACACTATCAAATTATGTGCATCATCTATTTTTTATTATCCAGTCGTTCTCTTAAGTTATAGAAACCAATTTGACGTCTTTAAATAGACTTGAAGCTAAAATCAAAAAAAGAAATTAGTTTCAGGTATATTTAATGGCGAACCAAAACTATGTGCAGCTGTGAGGCCATAAATATCAAGATTAATTTGATAATCAAACTTGAATTTGATTTATTGCAAAAGGAATAATACCAAACGAAATACAGTTCATTAACTCACATTTAAATGACTTAAGCCAGTTTTTTCCCCCCAATTAATTAGTACAAGAGACTGGTAAAGCCTGTTTAGTAAATACTTCAAAGTTAACTAGGGCTGCAACTAAGGATTATTTTTGATATCTGCAGATTCATTTCTTGATTAATTGAAATGTCACGGTTTCCCAGAGTCAAAGGTGATGTCTTCAGATATATTGTTTTGTCCAACCTATATTCCAAAATGCAAAGATATTCAGTTAACAACAAAGAAAATCATCAAATCACTACATTTGAGAACCAGCAAATGTTTGGTATTTTTACTTGAAAAAATTAGTGAATGATTGATTATCAAAATAGTTGGCAATTAATTTTCTGGTTATTGACTATTATTTTCAAAAACTGTTAATTCCACATCTCTTCGTTCCATAATTTACTCACTCACTCCAATGACTGGATGTTTCTAATATTGCAGTTTTCCAAGTTGCTGATGTAAAGTTCTTGTTAAAAGAAAAAACCTTCATGGATGCATTAGCTTAGAATGAACATTTTGTTTGTGCAAAATCATACATATGTATAGTAACTTCATACGTGGAGGTATAACTTGCCGTGAGAACATGCGCTAAATTGTCACACCTACAACAAACCCTTCTAAGACAGATCCTAAACCGAACCCTAAAAACTGTCACTCTTTCAGCTTTTGTCAAACAATGTACCAGCTTGGACAGGGAAAAAAACATGGCTGCTTTCCCACCACAATTTGCCCTCAAACTGTACTGACTAAACTAGTCTGTTACCGGGGGAAGTGCCATAAACAGACACTTCCATTTTTCCACATTTTTCTTATTATTCACCACCGCCTCCCCCTTTTCTACATCCTGTCTTTCTACACGCAGGTAAACAGGTGAAGAATCCGCGTTCGCCAGATTATGTTCCTTCTGTGTTCACGACAGCTCCCTTGTCCCCAGAGATGAAGGAGCCAGGTGCCTTAGAGATCCTGGACAAGCAGGAAGCACGCGTGGAGGCGGCCAATGCTTTGTTGTTCCTGCAGGGGCAGGGCAGGTCTGCGGTGGGGGAACGGGGCCAGGAAGAGCATCCCGAGGAGAGAGAGCAGGAGGCCATCGTTGAGGAAAGTGCATCATCTTCCATCAGCACCGATGAAGACGATGAGGATGATGATGAATCTGTGAGTGACAGCAAGAAAGGAAAGTTCGCTCAGACGTCGGATGCACCGGTTAACTTTGATGACATCCTGAAAGCCCTGAAGAAGGAAAACCAGGCCCTCAGGGAGTCTGTGGAGAAAATGTCCCTCTCTGAGAACTCCTTGAGGAATGATGCAGAGAAAGTAAAGTTTTACACTGGTTTACCCAACTACTTTGTGTTAGAGACAGTCATGTGGCTGCTGGCACCTCACATGGACGGGATGAAGAACGTGAAGCTCTCCAAGTTCCAGCAGCTGCTGCTGACACTGATGCGACTTCGTCTGGACCTCCGCAATCAAGACCTGGCCTACCGCTTCGGTGTGAAAGTCGGCAGCGTCACCAGAACAGTGCACCGGATGGTCAACATCATGTCCTCCACTCTGGTGCCGACAGCCGTCTTTTGGCCCTCTAGAGCTGAGCTCCGGAAAAACCTGCCGGCAGCTCTGCACACCTCCCACCCTGACTGCGCTGTTATCATAGACTGTTTCACGGTGCCTTTTGAGGAGCCGGTTTCCCGGGGCAACCAGCAGCAACAGCAGCAGCAGAGGGTGTTGTCAACGTCTCAGGGGATGGGGACAAGTTATAATGTGTTGAAGTATCTGATTGGTGTGGCTCCGCAAGGTGTTGTCACCTTTGTGTCCAGGGGTGTGCTGGGAAACGTCAGTGACAAGAGCCTCGCTGAGGGCTGCGGATTTCTGTGCAAGCTTCTCCCAGGCGACATCGTATTGGCGAGTCGCAATCTCGACATTGCTGATTCTGTGGCTGCCCGCGGAGCCCTGTTTAAAATTGCTGGCAGCTACCAAGGAGAGGCGAACGGGAGCCCGGAGGGCTCACCGCTGGCCGACACTTCCTCTGAGACAGTGAGCGTGCAGAGGCATGTGGAGAGGGTGATCTCCATGGTGAAGCAGAGGTACGCCATGCTCACTGGCCCTGTCGAGAGCCCCTTCACCACAGCCTCCGAGCGCACGTCGAACCTCTCCACCTTTGATAAGATTGTGCAAGTTGCCTGTGCCTTAAACAACCTGTGTATCTCTGCTGCTCCACTAGAGTGATTCATACAGAAATACCTAGTGCTCCTTAATACTGGTCAGGCACTTAAGTTCCCTTTACTGCTTTGGACCTTATTCCATGTTCTTCCACTACATCCCTGTGTCAACACTACATGATCACTACAGAAAATTCATTTATACTTACACATGTTTATTTCTCACTTGATATGTACGTGACTCCCTGTTATCTAGGCCAGTTTATACTTGGAGCACTTCTCCCAAATCCAGAAACCACATTGCTAAGATGTGATGTCATTAAGTTATGCAACTCAACTGACAAAGAATTGCAGTAAAGGGCGTTTTTTTAATTTTTTTTTTTTTTTTTTAGGCTTTGAATGACAGCTGTGTGAGTAAAATGTGTCTTTAAATTCGTCTTCATTAGCCATTTGTAAATACTGAGGTACATAAACTTCAGTTTGGGTGGTGCAGGCAATGTTCCCACTAAGCCAGTCCTGTGCCATGCAAGAGTCTGCAAGTTTTTTTTCATTCCCAGCAAACACCACAGCAGCTGACTTTACTGATTATTTTCTCCCTCGGTTGCAGAAAGAGGAGTTGTCGGTTAAACCAGCTGTTTTGTCGCTTCTCTGTTTATGAATCAAGAACAGTACACACAATACAAAAAGAATAAAACATGTTAAAATAACAAGAATAGCATGCTTAGTAATGCGTCTCTTAGATAAGAGTTTCTCCTGCCTGTTC